GGTGAGCACAGAGCCTCTGGGGGGAACGCGCACAGAAGTGGTCTGGGGCCAGATTCTCTCTCTATTCTGTGCTGACTACAGAAATAAAGCAAAATAATTTGCCACATGTAACATCTTTCCACTTAGGGATGTACCCTGTGCTTGAGTTGTAGTACTTTATATGTGTGCGCTTTGTGTGTTTTTCTGTGTGGTTTATGTCTTGGAGATCTTTCTGGATTGGCAACACATCACATTTTCCACTTAGTAAACGTGACCGCAGTTTATGCCGTGGGCAGAGTTTTACAGTCGTTGCCAAATTCTTGTTTTCCTTTTGTTTCATTTATTTTTTGTAATTAGGGATGACACTCCCATTAATTAATGCCTGTGAAGTTACAGATACATTAGGCTGACATAAGTATTGTCGCTGAAGTCTGTAAGCAGATGTTGGGGTGTGTGTGTGTTTGTGATAACAGTGCTTACGTAATCTCATCAGCCAGGCCCTGGGGACTCACACTTGGAGATGGAACAGTTGGTTTAAATTAGGTTTCCATGTGAAATATGGTATCGTTATTTTTTTCCTAGCATTGTGGGAAAGTATATGGAAAATCATTTGACTGATAGGAAATAAATCTGGATGCTTGATCGGGATTGAGCCACAAACCACGTGGTGGTCTGTGCCTGCTCTGTGGAGCAGGACTCTCCAGGGGAAGACGAGTTAACCCTTTCAGACCACTGGACTAAGAAGTCACAGTGTGATACCAACATAGCCAGAAAGAACCACAACTTCCAGAGACATGATTTGCCATCAATTTCAACAACAAAAAAAAGGGGCTAAAGCCACAGAAAGGTATACCCAGAAGTCTCAAAAATTTATGCACTGGGCATCTTTAAAGAATCATTTTAATCCTTCATGATTTCATTTTTATTTGTAAGGAGATGGGTTTGAATTACTAGCTCAAAAAGTTGATGATTTTATGATTCTATGTGTTTGCTGATGACTTCCCACAGCAGGGTAGGGCTCATGAAAAACAAATCTCACTAAAGGAAAAACTGTACGGAAGCACCAAGGGACACTCAGTCTCTACTGGCAAAATAATTTCTTTATCTAGAGAGCCTGTTAACCAGGTACCCAGGTGAAGAGATAAGACATGGTGATAGTGAGCAAGGGCTTGCTTATAGCTGTAGGGGAGGGGTTGTCTCTGCAAATCCCAGAGGGAGCTATGTGCTTCAGGCAGTCCTAGGAGATTGGAATGAATGGTTATCTTTTTCCCAAGCAGCTCTAAATTCCTTGCAGGATGATCTGGACCAGGGCTCGTCCCAGGGGTCTGATGCCAAATCATTCTTTTGATGTTGCTTGAGGACCCAGTAAAGTCCAAAGCAGGTAGAGAGCAGAGGAACATACTCAGAGCCCACTGGGCTGGGCTGGGCCCATGGCAGAACAGTGGCTTGTCATATTTTTGCTTCAGCTGACTTCAGAAGGGAAGAGGCAGATTATAACTGCAGAGCTCCTGGCTGGTACCAGAGCATAATCCTATTTTATCACTGAAACTCCTTATTGCCATTATTTCCCAATTAGTTCCTGTATAGGAGAGGAAAAAGATGTTCAGCATCAGTCTCTTCTCTTCTGCTTTGTTCACTTCTTTCACCATTTTTGGTACTTCTTGGTATCTTTTCCTTTTATTCCAGCTCTGTCCTCTTACTGAGTGCTTAGAAGGACCTAACCAATGCCAAGTTGAAAGAAACTCACCCTTTATCAGGTGAAAGAGCACCAGACTGGATTTTAACATCAACAAGAATTGTGACCTGAGAAAAGTCACTTCTCCCACGAGCCATAGATTCCTGATCTGGAAAATGGGGTTGGATTGCCCTCTGTGGTTGCTGCCAGCAATAAATGCCTTTCATTCCTATCCATTTACAGCAGTATGCTATGCACCTTGGACTCTTTTTCCTGCAGTTGTCACGTCATGAGTCACCATGAACTCTGTGCTCAGGCCTCATTCTCACTCAGGCCAGGGAAGTGATTGCCTCCCCACGTTTCAACACTGTTGCTGAACCAAGTGCAGCTAATGACCCATGTGGGGTTAAGACAAGAGCTGTGGTTGTTAAAAACTGAGCTCATCAGCCCAGACATTAACCAGAATGGAGAAAGTAACTTAAGTGAATGCTAGTGTCCAAGAACCAAAGTAGAGCTAGCAGCAAAATAATCTTAGAGATTAAGCAGAGGATTTTGAGGCTGCATATCATAAAGGGGGTCTTAGTATTGGGTTGTTATTAAATATAATACTCTAATCTGTATAAAGATTTTTTCAAATCTTATATGATTTGAAAAAACAAATCATATTAGAATAAATTAAGCCTGGATCTGGAAAACATTAGAGTTTGTGTATACACATTCAGCATTTAGCAAGTGGTTAATAGTGCTCCCTCTGGGGCACGCATCTAAGCTCAAATTCAGACTTTACCACCTCTTTGTTTGGGGACTCTGAGCAAGCCTCTTAGGCCCTCTGTCCCTCAGTCTTCATCTATATAGAATTAGGATAATAATAGTCCCTGAGTCAGGATTATTGTGAAAGAAAAGTGAGTTAACATATGTAAATGTTTAGAGCAGTTCCTGGTTCATAGTAAGTGCTATGTAAATACTCTTCTCATTATTGTTTAATCATTTGGGGAGCCTAATAGATAATGCATCTGTAAAAGATAGTTCAAAATATGCCTTTTTTGTATTTTTCATTTGATATTATGTATTTTAATACTGATAAGTGCCTTTATTTATGGGCTAAGTGCACTGATTGCATTCAATCTTGCTGTCCATCAGTCAAATATATTAAAATCATTATCCTTAGGCCTTATTTTCTTATAGCTTCATGGAATTTTATGTATTAAGAGGGATTTCATGAATTATTTTTCATCTTCCTTATTTGTAAAATGAAGGTAAAGGACATAGAAAGCTTAAGTCACTTTGCCAGAATCCCTTTAGAGATTTAATAGTGTCTTGGCTGGGTCCTTCATTTTCTAATACTAAACTGGCATTTTATTTTTTTTTAATTTTTTTATTGATTATGCTGTTACAGTTGTTCTATTCCCCCTTTCATTCCCCTCACTCCCTACCCCCCATCCCCACCATTACCCCCCCTTTACTTTATGACCATGTGTCTCAAGTCCTTTAGATTCTATATTTCCTATGCTATTCTTGCCCCCCCCTTATATTTTCTATCTACTGTCTATGCTACTTATTTTCTGTACCTTCTCCCCCCTTCTCCTCCTCCCACTCCCCTGTTGCTAACCCTCCTTGAGATCTTCATTTCTATGTTTCCACTCCTGATCTAGCTGTCCTTTTAGTTTCCTTTTGTTTTAGATGTGGTTGTTAATAACTGTGAGTTTGCTGTCCTTTCACTGTTCATGTTTCTTTAACTTCTTTTTCTTAGATAAGTCCCTTTAACATTTCATATAATAAGGGCTTGGTGATGATGAACTCCTTGAATTTGATCTTATCTGAGAAGCACCTTATCTGTCCTTCCATTCTAAATGAAAGTTTTGCTGGATAGAGCAATCTTGGTTGTAGGTCTTTGGATTTCATGACTTGGAATACCTCTTTCCAGCCCCTTCTTGCCTGTAAGGTCTCTTTTGAGAAATCCACTGACAGTCTGATGGGGACTCCTTTGTAGGTGACTGTCCCCTTAGCTCTTGCTGCTTCTAGGATTCTCTCCTTCATTTTAATTTTGGCTAGTGTAATGATGATGTGCCTTGGTGTGTTCCTTCTTGGGTCCAACTTCTTTGGGACTCTCTGAGCTTCCTGGACTTCCTGGAAGTCTATTTCCTTTGCCAGATTAGGGAAATTCTCCTTTATTATTTGTTCAAATAAGTTTTTGACTGGTGGCTGTTCCTTTCCCCCTTCTGGTACCCCTATAATTCGGATGTTGGAGCATTTAAAGATGTCCTGGAGGTTCCTAAGACTCTCCTCATTTCTTTGAATTCTTGCTTCTTGACTCTTTTCTGTTTGGCCATTATTTGCTTTCTTCTGGTCCACTCCATTGATTTGAGTCCCAGTTTCCTTTTCATTGCTATTGGTGTCCTGTGCAATTCCATTCATTTCAATTAGTTTCGTCTTCATATATTTGTCTAATTTGTGGCTATAATCAACCAGTTCTGTGAGGATCCTGATGACCAGTGTTTTAAACTGTGTGTCTGAGAGTTTTGCTATTTCTTCATCGCTTAGATCTATGGGCTCTGGGGCTTTGAGATATTCTTGCGACATTTTTGGTCTGTTCTGGTCCTTTAAGTGTGAGAAGCGGCTGCCTTGGACTCCCAGGTCGCTGGGTTGTGACGCTGTATGTGGGGGCGTGGTCAGAGCGGGGAAATGGCGACCCCCTCTGCTGTTTCTCACATCTGGGTAGGGAGCAGCGCCTTAGGTGGTTCACCTGGTCCGGGCCACTCAAAGTTGCTGGGTTATGATGCTGTATGTGGAGGTGGGGTCAGAGCAGGGAAATGGTGGCGCCCTCCACTGCCGCTTGCCGAGGGGACCCGCTGGGCCCCGGTCCAACCGCCCACTTCCTCGCCTGTCCACCCACGCACAAATGCGCGACCACAGTCAACACGCAGCACCGCTCCCCGCTGTCTCCCCCACGGTCGCTTGCCTGGTCGCTCGCTCAGTCGCTCACTAGGTCCAACCCTGCGCCTGGATTCCACGCACTTGAGTCCGTCTGACCGAGTTTTCCTGTGCAACTCCGCTTCACCAGCCGCTGGTTTCGCCCCTTACCGGTCAGGCTGAAGAATTTGTTGTTAACGGGACTTCCGAAAAGTTCAATTTTCCGTGTTCTGGCTGTGTTTTCTGTTGCTAATATTTAGTTGTCTCTAAACTTGGTTGTGTGAGAAGGCACGGCACATCCACCTATGCCTACATCTTGGCGGAAGTCTCCCTAAACTGGTATTTTAAAAAAGAAAAACAGTTTTTTTGTGAAAAAAAAAATTGATCAAGCTTCCAGATCATAGTTTCAGTCAATGCCCCTCTCTGCATTTTCCAGGTGAGCTCCTGGGTGACATGGCTGATCCTCACGGCGGGCTCCATGGAGGAGAAGCGGGAGGTCTTCTCATACTTGGTGCATGTGGCCAAATGCTGCTGGAACATGGGCAACTACAACACTGTCATGGAGTTCTTGGCTGGCCTCAGGTATCTGGACACATTTCCTCTTACTAGTCACATGGCACTAAACTAATTGCCCAAAACATAATTGGTAGTGACCACCAAGTCAAATTATTCCATTAAGTACCCCTTGTTCTTGAGGGATTTTTTTAGCCTTTTATTGTATAACTTGAAAAGGAGTTTAGATATTACTCATGTCTGATAATCTCTGCCTTTGGGTTGGAGGTTGTTTTTAGAATACAGAGGAAATACATTGTCCACTGATAGCACCATAAGCCTTGCCCCTCCAGCATGCTGCAGAATTCAGCCCCAGTGGGCCATTCACAATCCCAGTTAGCTGTGTCTGCTCTGATCCCATGCTCTTGGCCAAGTTGAGTGAAATTACCTGGTTGCATAACTCTATCAACCTCATCACTGACCCCTGCCCTCTTCTTCCTGCCCTGTACACTCTACTGTTTCTCTTTCCAGCTCTGCCTTATGAATTGCCCAAGCACTGTAAGCTCCAAGCCATTGACTGCCCTCAGTGACAACATTGATAATAAGCATTCAATAATTTTAGCTTTCATTTTTTTTAACACTTGACTATGTGTCAAGCATTGGACTAATAAGCACACTTCATGCAATTAAATTTTTTAATTCCCAGAACAATTTTTTGATATAGATATCATTATTGTTACCTCTGTATACAAAAAAAGAAACTAATGTTAGCAGAAGTTAAGTCATTCATCCCACGTCACCTGGCATAGCGAGGACATGAATGCAGGCAGCCCAGAGTTTATGTCCTTCACCTCTGCGTTATTCTGTTCTTATGCCTTCTCCATCAAGCTAATAAGATCACCATTCTGTCAGTAAAGTTTCTTTTGCCTTATTCCCTTTCAAACTCAGTTACCTGGCATGAAGTGACTACCTTTACTCTTATGGGTAAGAAGAGCCTGAGTTGTCAAGTCAGAATAACAAGGAATCAAATACTGATTCCCCACAGAATAGCTATGTGATCTGAGTGAGTTACTTGACCTCACTAAGCCTCAGTTTCTACATCTGTAAAATGGGGTAATAATAAAAAGTACCTACCTCTTGATGTAGGATTTAGTGAGATAATATATTTAGCAGGTATATCTGGCATACAGTAAGGCTTCATAAAGACAACTGTCATTGTTATTGTCTGACATCATTCACCTTCCCAGTGAGAGTTCTGAGTAGAAATAGATCTTGCTTCATAACATTATAAGGATTTTTCTTTGATTCTCCAGTGATGGGACTCATATTTCGGGGAGAAAAGGAAAATTCTCAGAGTTGGACTTTTTTTTTGTTTTTTTGAACTTTCTTAACTAAGAATAAATTCATGTCATTGACATTTAAAATGGTCATATAAATGTGCCAGTTGTGGCTCAAAAGAAGAAAAAAATACAAAAATACTGGGAGAATAAGAGGCTGTATATTTGATTCTCTTTGTCATAGATTTTTTAAATTAATTTATTTAATTGTTGTTCAAGCACAGTTTTTTGTCTTTTACTCCTATCCCAGCCCCCCCCAGTACTTCCTACCTCCCTCCCATTTCCACCCCCTCCCATTTCCACCCCCTCCCATTTCCACCCCCTTAGTTTTTGTCCATGTGTCCTTTATCGATTTTCTTTAAAGAACCTGTATTGCTTTAAAAAAAGAATATTCATATTATGATAAATTAGTTCTATTTTAATGATGCTCATCCTTCTGTGTTTGGCAAGTTGGTGCTCACTGTGGGCTGTGGCCTCACTTTCTTCTGGACATCACTGTCCTCACAGCATGGTGGCTGGCTCCCTCCAAAGTGAGTGACCCAAGAGAGCAAGGCAGAAGCTGCAGTGCTTTTGATGTCCTATTCAGATGCCATTAACTGTCACTTCTGCCATGTTGTACTGGTCACGTAGGACCTGCACTGGTTCGTTGTGGGTGGGACTGCATTGCACCAGGAGGCATGGATCACTGGGGGGCATCTTGGAGTTTGGCTGCAACATACCCTGCATTAGAGATTCTCCTGATACAAGAATGGCCACTGAATGACCCATGGAAGCCTTAGTGAATGTGACTTTCACACCCAACTTAGTGTGAATTCAAAATCCAAAAAGGCCATAAAGCCAAGTGATCTTCTCTTACATGAGGAATAACCTCAAACCAAGCTAAACCTCCCCACTCATCCCTGTGAATTTTGTTTCATACCCCAGACCCACTGCCATCTAGTTTCATCTCCTATATTTGGCTTAGAACTGAACTGATCTTTACAAAATGATGGCTTCAAGTATCAGGTTTAAGAATTCTTTTGCTACAAAAGTATTTTTAGGAGATAAGTTGCTAGGTGCTCTTATGATGGAATGATGGTGGGGGTGGAGCCAGTGTAGACACCTTCAGGCTTGAAAATATTTAGATTAAAAGTAATTTAATTACATTAAGGTAACTAAAGGTTTTCTTCAAGCAATTAGATGGAAAGAGGAACAACCTTATTTAACAATGTCATTTAACACTGACCTTGGTTTTCGAACTGCATATTTTGCTTCCTTAAACTAAATTCTCATCTATTTTTAAGGAAACAATGAGAAATAAAAAGATTCACATATAACAATATTTATTCAGTCATAGTGTCAGTTTAAAATAACCCAAATGAACAACAAGAGAAAAAGGAAGGAACTAATATGATATATCCATACACTGGAATGTCATTTAGCCACCAAAAATGATGTTTATGAAAAAAACTTAGTATTGGAAAACAAATATCATAATACATAAAAATACATAGTAACAAAGCTGTCTATACTTAATAACCAGCAATATTTATAAATCAAAATTTATAAAGTATACAAGACAGACACAAATAGAATAAATACTGGAAGGAAATATACCTAACGTTGTCTGTGAATGGTAGAACTGTGGGTGGATTTTCCATATTTTTGGAATTTTTCAGATTTCCTGTAATGAGCATCTAGTACCTTTATAGTCAAAAAAAGAAATAAAAGTTTTAAAATAGTGTCAATTCTCAATCTATCAAAAAAACAATCATTGATCTTTGCAGAGGTTTGTCTTTTGCTCCAAAATGTAACATAGGTACTCTATTACTCACAGAAAGAAGGATAATCAAATAATGAGAACCATGTCTCATTAATTTAATCACTTTGCTTATTTATACCTCCTTTTTACTCCCAAAATAGGATTCTCACCAGCCCATAGGAAACCAGTTATAGCACTAGCTGGACTTAATGGGATGAAATCAGAAAACTGTTTTATTTTTCCGACCTCACTGTGTTTGAAACGTACCTTATTGGCCCTCCCTCCCCTGGCTCTGGATTCTACCTTGGGAGAACCTATAACTTTCCCAGCCACTTACGTGCCTCGTAAGCTGTCTCGTTGGCCTACGCTCAGGGATATGAATGAATCTCAGAAACATACTGCCATGAAAAAAAAGCAGGTTTTCTATGAGTGCCTACAGTGTGACACCATTTATATACAGTTTATAAAACACAAGCTGCTTGGTGATACATACACATGTTGGGTATGTTTAAAGACCTGGTAAAACCACTCAAGTCACAGCTGTGATCCCCTTTGGCGAGGGAGGGGGGCATGTGCTCACAGAGGAACCCACTGAGGCTTCGACTATATTATTAATGTTTTATTTTTTAAGCTGAGAGGTTGGTGCATGGGTGTTTGTCATGTGGTACTTGTCTTTTAGATATCTTATGTAGTACATAATGAATTCTCAATCCAGTGTGATATAAATCAAAACTGAAACCTCTCGTTCAAGTTAAAGCTTTGCTCTTTTCCCACATTGGACAGCCCACCTAATCTCAGATACCTGTAGCAGGGTAGGAAAAAATGGTTTGTCTCTTCTCTCCAGCTCCTTCCAACTTGATCCCTGCAGGAAAAGTGGACAGGAGAGGAGAGAAAGAAGGAGGGGTAGAGGAAGCAAAGGTCTTACTTGCCTGGACCAGTCGTAATCTGGGCCAGGTGCTTCCAAATGTGGGGTGCTTTGAGAGGTGCTCTCTAGTTATGCCCACTAATGTCTCCCTACCCCCATCTTATATGTACCTCCCAGTGTACCTTCAGTCCCCCAGGGCCAGCTCTGGAGGTCTCACTTCCAGGGTGTTTCCTCTAGAGTCACTTCATTTGTCAGGCAAGCCGTTCTAGATAGCTCATGTCCAACTGCCTGTGACAGTGTCCACTCCTGGCTCACAGGAGCATTCAGCATTTTGCCTACTCAGATTTGCAGATACAGACACCACCCCCCCACACTGGAACTTTCTCCCTCATATTGCCATTGGGCAGCTCCAGGCAGCCTCTCACTTCAGACTTTCCCACGCAAGAGTCACACACCAGCCTCTGTGATCAACACACTGCCCAGGACACAGATCCACCTCTCCAAAGAGTTGACTCGAAGCCCCTGAATTCAGGTGATTTCCTCCTCCTCCCAGTATTCCCACCTGGCTGCCCTGATCCAGTTCCTCTGTGCGCTGGTGGAGGCCAAGAGACCACTGAGGGCAGAGCAGTTTCCGTGATGCTTATGACAGTCTGGTGCCTCTCTTAGAAGGTGGGGACAGTGTCACCTCTTACTCTTACCAGCAATTCAAAACAGGAAAAGCCCCATTTAACATCCTTTTATGTACATAATACTTCAAGATAACATCCCTTAGGGTGAACCAGTGGGTTAATGTTACAGCTGGATTCAGTAAAAGCAAAGAAGCTAAAGCAGGCTTCATGTGTGTCACTGAGGGAGTGGTGTCATCCAGGGATAACATTTAAAAGATCGAGAGGAGTGGATGAACCACGTTTTCTGCAGACAACCCTCCATAAGTATTTGTACAAACCATATTACTAGGCTTCCTGTTTGTCTATGGCTGCTAGGAAAGCTAAACCCAAGCTCAGTGCCCACCTTCCAAAATTAACTCCTCCTACGTGTTTTTGTTTGTATCTGTCCTATTTAATTTGTTTAATGTATAAAAGTAATATGAAACATTATTTAGGAGAAGTAGGTGGAAATATGGAGCCTGAATAAATATTAAAACAGAGAGAAAACAAGCCAAAACAACAAATTTGTATAGAATTTAGGCTATTTACTGTAAATCATATTATTTCTCCTTTGATCTGAAAGAAAATGTCATTTACTTGCAACAGATCAAGAAAAGTTTTAAAGATGTGGCAGTTCATGGACCAGTCTGACCTGGAGACCATGAGAAGCCTGAAGGACGCCATGGCTCAGCACGAGTCCTCCTGCGAGTACAAGAAGGTGGTGACTCGGGCGCTGCACATCCCTGGCTGTAAGGTGGTTCCGTTTTGCGGGGTGTTTCTGAAGGAGCTCTGCGAGGTACTAGATGGAGCCTCCGGCCTGGTGAAGCTCTGCCCAAGATACAATTCCCAAGAGGAAGCTCTAGAGGTGAGGCCTTCCAAAATCCTCGTGATCCAGAGTCGCTGTTGTTCCCTGGCTCACCACTTCCCGAAATGAGGAGGGAAACTTAGTGAACCTGGGTATCTGCTGTTTCTGTTGTGTTGGATAACAGTTGGGTCCTTGAAAGTTCCAGAGGAAAGAATGCCAACTAGCACTGTTAAGGTAGCTTTAATGGGACAGTGTGAAGGTACAAGTGGAAATGGGTATTGTTTTCTGATTTTATTTATATTTAAGACTGATGGTGTTTTCTTTTCTCTTATTCGGTGGGAATGTCTGGCTGCAGGGGACAAAATAAGTGAAGTGAAGGGAAAGTAATGACTTTTCTGAATTGGCAGAAGAAAAAATGTGGGAAAGTCAACAGTGCCTTCCTCATCCTTCGGGGGAGGAGAGGGAGGGCTGACAGTGCTGGAGAAGCTGGTGCCTCTTCCAAAGGCAGGCTGCAGGCTCCTGACCACGGCTGACTCCGTTTTCCCAACCCACTGCTACTCCTTTCCCAGAGAGGAGAGGAGCATGTGAGCTTTGCCCCAGGGCATTGGGCACTGGAGAGGAAGGACACTGAAAAACTGAAGAAGATAAGGAAACTTCCCTATATGGGGTTTAGAAATGAAAGGAGGCTGGAAACTGGAGGGAACTTTATGGTGAGTTTTGAGTCATCCCATAACTGGAAGTCCCACACCCAAATCTAGAGTCATTCTCACTATGGTGATAGTACTCACTATTACACACACAATCACCCACATACACCCCTTCTTGGTGGCATTGGGAAGACACTTCTAAAACTGAGCTTCTTCTGTGTCACCTGGGAACAAAGGCATCACCTGATACCAGGAAGAGCCCCTGATGGTTATAGGCAACACTACCAGCTTGCATCTCTCCAGCTTATATGAGGGGCATGAAAGTGCAAGAAGTGAAGGAGAAAACTGAAAGCAAGTCCCCCACACCAGCTCCCTTGTGCTTTGGAAGGAGAGGATGCCACATCTCGGGGCGGCTGTGATGGGGGGATGGGAGAAACTTCCTGACCACATACAGACAATAAGAACTTAAACACTGCCAGGGAGCCTCGGCATTGCCATAGGACATATGGGAAATAAAGCAAAACATCACTTTTCTTGGTGATTTTTATCTGGTTCCACAGCACAGTATACCCATTCATGGTTTTTCTCAATTCTCACTGCAAGGATAAAATAACCCTGCCCTTCCTCTGTAAAGTGGCTAATCTCCCGAGGGAACCTTGGAATAATATTGCTTTTTGTGTTTTCAATTCAAAGTGGAGTGTTGGTTCCTAGAGGGACTAAAGTTGTCTTAGTGGAAACAAGAGTAAGTTTTGATATTTTATGTGGCGAAAGAGAAAAATGTTTTTCCTGGAGGTTCTTTTTTCCTCCCCAAACGAATAGGCACAAATACCATTATTTATGACTATTATGATTTCATTTCCTTAGCTGAGTAGGTTATTCAGACGTATTATATAAAGTCGCAATAACAAACTCTTGATATATTTTTCCATAGTTTGTAGCTGACTACAGTGGACAAGATAATTTTTTACAACGTGTGGGACAAAATGGCTTAAAGAATTCGGAGAAAGAGTCCACCGTCAACAGCATCTTCCAGGTCATCAGGAGCTGCACCCGGAGTCTGGAGACGGAGGACGAGGACAGTGCCAGCGAAGGGAACAGCTCAAGGAAAAACTCCTTGAAGGATAAAGCTCGATGCCAGTAAGTCTCGCATTTTAACAAGAGGGAGGATGCTCGTTGCTTCCTTTCCCCACTTCAGTTGGTTTCGGACAGACACCTAATAAAAACCCACTGCCTTTATCAGTAGGTCATGCTTCTTTATCTTCAGTCTTTACCACTTCTGAATTAGAATTTATCTTTTTCATTTCACTGCCTTGTTCTAAAATTACTGTTTATAATTTAACTTCTTGCCACCCATTCACCCTATAAAGGAAACTAGGGCTACCCTGCCACATCTGGAAGTTCAACTAATAAAATTTCAGGATTAGAACCATGGTCTCTTATTTGTTTCTTAGCTTCTATAAAAATGGTTTTTACTAATTTTTAAACAGGGGCAGTTATTAACATATTTTTAAGTGAAATATAGCAATTTAGTAGGGGTAGAGTAAGACCTCGATCCATATTTTTTGCAGCTTCTCCCAACCTCTGGGAGATCCTGGGTAGTCAGGGATCTCTCACTTTCAAAAACTCTGCTCTGTGAGGTGGCAACCTGACCTTTGCAAATGTTTAGTTGTCCAATTGCTGTTTATCCGCAGGCATTGTACTCCAGCCAGATGTGCTTACCTGCAACCAAATGAGAAAACAGAAACCAGTGGTCTTGAGCATGCATTGCCTCTCTTCAAGGCCATTAATTTATAGTCAAGCTTAGCTTACTGTCCCAGCAGGAGGAATCCTTTAGCACCTCCAAAACTATCAGGTCTACTGGCTTTGACATCTTTTACCAAGAAAGGTTTTATTTGTAGTGAGCATTCACAAGTCAGACCTTGCAGTTGTCTTGGAGTCCTTATACACGTGTGTGTGTTTGCAAGACATTGCTGTTTTTTTCTGCAGAGCCTCCCCTGATTGTGTCTGTGTGTGTGAGCCTACAGTGGCAGGGGTAACCGTGGACAGTGTTTTCAGAAAAGAATTTCTTTGGAATTGGAGTACTTAGTATTGGTGGTAAACACAGAAATGAGTGCCTTGTATCCGAATTTCTAAGGCTATTATGTTTTAAGAAGGTAAACCTATAGACCCAATTTCTCCAAAATATATAGTATTAGTATACCATATAGTATAGCTGGGGGCAGGGAAGACAAGCTACAGATAAGCATGTGTCTGCACAAGAAGCATCTCAGACCCTTTTAAGTCCTTTACCTATATCTACCTCTGTTTATGTGTCTACATATGTATCTGTGTATATATCTCCCTCCTGCCACAAAAGATTTTGTAGATGCTTATGAGAGTAAGTATAAATAATTAAAGTTATTAAGGAAAACAAGTTGGGAAAAAATAATACTGTCATTTACCGTGACTGAATTTTGTTCTGGGATTCTGAGTGGCCAAAGAAAGAGGAAATAGTGATTTATTGCAAGTTTCACAACATTTGTAAGAAAAATCAAACAGATGTTTGAAATAATGAACCTTTCCTTCATACTGAGATATGGCCCAAATTCCTTCCTTAAATTATACTATAAGGGAAGCATCATCCCCAAATAGATAAAATAATGAATTTCATATGGCATTTTTTACAACAACCTCCACTTGTTTGGGGGTGGGGTGTTAATTAAAAGTGTCAACCTTTCCAAAATACTTTTAGGAGTGTTACCTTTGGCTGAGCCTTGGAGACCTAGACCCTGAGCTTTCGCTTTACCATCTTTTCCTTTTTGCTGTGGGTTCCTTCAAGAGATATGTTTTTTACCCAATCCTGTCACCTTTCATACAGTTTTTATTTCCAGCTTTTGGCTTATGCTCCTGTCCCCTTCCTAAGTGTTTTATCATCTACATCCTAAGAACATTTCTCTTCCACTTCCCATTTTCAGACCCTGCTTCTAAGCGCTCTTAAAAGGGAAACATAGCACAAAAATGCAAATATTTCTTCTACAAAACCTGTGAAGCTATATTGAAATGCTCACATTTAAACCTGTGTGTCAGTACCGGTAATACTCTCCTTCCCCCATGTGACTGCTCCTCCGAGATGGAGCACTAAACACAGGAAGTGGGAGTGAGGTGGGTGTTGAACAGACTTCACTGAAACCAGACCAGCAAGCACTGTTTCTGGGACCTGAGAACCGATTCCTGATCCAGAGCCTTGTAGCGACTTCATAAATACAATCCCGACAATATTTATGTTAGTAACATTTAACATGTTACTACTTATTGAGAGTCAATTTAAAAGAAACACTGTCCTAATATTTTACATATGTTAAATTATTTAATCCTCCCAACAGTTCATTTTGCTCAGGATCCCACGGCCGGCCAGCAGGGCTAAGATTTAACCTCAGCATGACCGGCTCCACGCACCACCCAGATGTAATTTAGAAGCTGCCTGTTGTTGAGGAAACTGCTAGGTTAATTAAAAGCAAGAATTTGCCAGAGGCAGGTTTGAAACTCTGGATTTTATTACAGGGAACAGCTGTAGTTAGTCCTTTGGAAAAGGTGTACATTTTCTCCCATCCAACAGAATTACTTTAGGCTTATCACTTGATGAATTATGTTCATGTAATCATCTTAGCTTTGTAGGAAGTAATGAACACTTATTAAGAAAAGACACTTGTCCCCTAATATAATATTTTCATCAGGGAACATTAGAAAATGTCTGTCCATCATTTTATGGTTTCTAATTGAATGATGCTACAGAACTGCTTCTGGGATCGGGTACAGACTCTCTTTCTCTTTTTATCCCTTAAAACATATGACCTAAGTTTGACAAGGTAGTTTCTTCACTGGTAAGCCACATATTTGACATTTGGTTAATACTGTTTGGTTCCTAAATAAATCTTTAAGTTCCATCTTATTCCTTTTTGCAAACCCGCAGAAACTTGTCTCCCGCAAGAGTCAGGCACAGAGTGTGTAAAACTCAGTATATGATCCAAGAGATAAAGCTACTGGTTTCCTTCTTGAAAGGAACTTCCTTCCTTCCAGGCAGTTGTCAGCTTTATCTGGGCATTAGTCCCTGGGAGAATGCTTTTTAATGGAACTATTCACACTAAACATCAGTTATTTCCATGTTCTAAAACGGAAACCGGCGCTACAAAGACAGCGACCGCCTTCTCCCAGCCCACACCGTCTCTCAGCAGCTGAAACAGGCTCCGGAAAAGCCTTATTGTAATTTGTCTTTCCAGACAGTATTTTTTATAATGCATGTAATTTGTTTTTTTTTTAACTGGAAAAATACTTGATTTAGTTCAGAATTCAAATTAAACAGAATTTGGGAAACACCATTTCTCATGCTACATTTAAATCAGAAGTTCTATGTCCAGATTAACATGTGTTGTATTTCATGGGTACTAACACTCATCAATTGAATTCTTTTTGTACTTTAAAAAAAAGTATGACATGGAGAATGTGGAAGTGGTTCCAAAGAAAGGAAATAAAAAGATTAAAGGGCTTGGATATGACTTAAAAGGAAGCCCCTCTGGAGGAACAGCTGGGCTGGGTTAGCCTCGGGAAAGGAAGTGGGGAAGAAGTGGGAGGGATGAAACCTCAGTCTTCCTATATTTAATCATAGTGATAAACTTTACGGAGCCAGACCCTGTGCTGAGTGCTTTACAACAATTATCTTATTTGAGCTTCACCATTAATCTCTGAAATGGGCATTGTCTTTTTGTCATTAACAGATAGGTAAACTTGAGTGATTTCATTAGGTCACACTGCAAACGGGTGGGGGAGCCGCACAGTAGACCCAGCGTGATTCTAGAGGGCATGTTTCTAGTCACCATGCTTTATGTAGGAAGCATGGGCATAAGTATTATATATATGAGAACATAAGTATTGGTTTTCTATTGTTACTAAGAGCAATTTCAGAAGGATAGAGCTAAGTTAGACACAAAGGACTGTTTTTTCTTCCTTTCTTCACTTTTTTTATGTCAAATGGAACATTAAGTGCATAAAATAGAATGTATTTTTATACATAGCAACCAGATCTTAACTTCTACTAACATTCTTCAGTAAAGGAAAGCAAAGCTCCTTGGAGAAATGGTAGATTCTAGGACTGAGATAAGAAATACACAAGTGAGCCTGGAACATCTTGTTACGCCAAAAAGTAAAGAAGTGCTAAAAACACACACACAGACAGATGTAGCAATGGGGGTTATAACAAAAGCATATAAGAGCCAACTGCAGAAGCCCCTGGTGGCCAATTTGAGTAACAAAATTAATTGGCATTAGATTATACCCCAAAGTATTAAATAAATATTAATGACTTTATATATACAGATGATAAGCAAACAAAGGGAGAGAAGAGATAATCTCCCAGGCAGAAGAATTCCAAATAACTTATTAGATTTTTCTGCCCTCTGTGAGGTAGAGCATAACCACTTACTCCTTAAATATGGGCTGCACCTGGCAACTTCCTTCCAAAAAGGACAGTACAGAAAGGAGGGGTTTTTTTAAGTCACTTTACAGTGACAGATGCCCAACACTCCCTCAGCCAGGTCAGTGTCCACAGGGGTCAGTCATGTTGACAGTACATTCCCTGGACACCATGTGGTGAGAATGGCACTCTTCCTCTGTGGTCTTCCTGCCCAGAGCCTCTAACCCTAGTCCAATTATAAGGAATATATCAAGCAAATTCTAATTCTACAAAATACCTGACCAGCGCCTCTCAGAACTGTCAAGATCATCAAAAACAAGGTAAGTCTGCAAAACTGTCACATCTAACAGTCTAAAGAAACAGGACAACTAGTATAAATATACTGTGGTGTCCTGGATGGAATCCTGGAACAGAAAGAGGGCAAAGGTAAAAAACTAAGGAAATCTAAATTAAGTATGGACTTGCATGAATAATACTATACCATCAAGTATTAGTTCATGAATTATGTCAAATATGCCATCTTAAAATAAGATGTTAATAATAGAGAAAAGTAGATGTGGAGTATACTATCTTCACAATTTCTCTACACATTTAAAACTATTCTAAAATTTAAAGTTTTAAAAAAACTAATGCTTTTGGCCCTGGCTGCTGTGGCTCAGTAGATTGAGCATTGGCCTGCCAACCAAAGGGTCGCCAGTTTGATTCCCAGTCAGGGTACGTTCCTGGGTTGTGGGCCAGGTCCCCAGTAGGGGACACACAAGAGGCAAGCACACATTGATGTTTCTCTCCTTTTTCTCCCTCCCTTCCCCTCTCTCTAAAAATAAGTGATTAAAATCTTTAAAATGAAAAATAAAAACGAATGTGTCTGAATAATTATCAAGTAAATATTTGCATAACTACCATCTAGAGTAAAAACGTTACCAGTACCCATAAAACCCTTTTTTTCCTTCTTAATTATGTCACCAGTTTGCCTCCTAGAGGAAAATTCACTGCTGTAAATTTTGTGATAATGCATCCTGCTTTTCTTTATAATTTTACCACTGTTATGCATTTCTATGTAATACAGTTCCTCATTTAGAAGTTTACATGTACATAAATATAGTATTTATTCTTGTGTGCCTTGCTTAAGATTTGTCTGTGTTGTTGCAGATAATTAGCTATATTGTGTGTTATTTCCATTGCTGTACAGAATTACTTTGTATGACTACATGACATTTTATTTATACATTTCATTGTTGCTGGACATTTGGGTTGTTCCCAGTGTTTCCGGTGTGGATCATCTGAAGGGGATGTTTTGACCATGAGCTTCGTGAGATCTCCTGGAAGTTTCTTTTCTTTTTTAAGAATGTCTATTTATGTGAGACAAGGAAGAAGAACCTGCTGTTTGAAAGCAGACATGGGATGCTGCTCAGGACTAGGATCTAGAGCGAGTCCAAGGAGCCCAGTGCTGCTGCTCACACTTTACCAAGAGGCAGTAGGCTACCCAGTGCCTCCAGACAATGAGAACATTCTTTCCCAGACATGTATAGACCAGCCCTTTCCCAGTTTTACTCACCTCTTTGCTATGTTTATGGGTCAAACAGCAGAAACCTTTATCTTACTAACAATTCCTCATTCTTTGAAGAGAATGACTTTCTTAGGCATGTTCCTACGAAGGTGGCCAGGTAGAAAGGAGGCAACAAAGTCACCCTTGCCTCCCCCCAGATTCTTCTGGCCCAAACAACATAGGTTTCTGACTCAGGGAAGGCAGCTTTCTAAAGTTTCCAAGTAGACAAGTCCTTTTTGTGCACATGCATGTGCATACACACCCAACAGAAATCTAAGGTTGAGTCAAGGAGAGCTGTTTGTGCTCCTCTGACCACCAGGGCTGTATTTCAGGGCTGACATTCAATGAATGTCATTGAATTTTTCATATTTTTAAAAGATTTTATTTATTTATTTTTAGAGAAAGGGTAAGGAAGAAAGAAAGAGAAACATGTGTGCAAGCGATACATCAGTTGGTTGCCTCTTGCATGCCCCCGACCAGGGACCTGGCCCACAACCCAGAAATGTGCCCAGACCAGGAATCATATTGGCGACTCCTCGGTTTGTGGGACAATGTCCAACCCACTGAGCCAAACCAGTTAGAGTTATTGTATTTTCTTTTTAACAGAAACTCTTATCAAGCCAGCTTATTAAGTCTTATTTTTGCCTATTTTTAGCAGCATTGTACTCAGGTCGTGAGTTTTGTTAATGATCAAGTAGAAGGCAAGCAAACCTAGTGAAGAAGATCCCAGACTAAGGAGTCAGACCAGAATCCTGCCTTGGGTAGGCGTCTTCTAAGCTGGGTAACCTGGAACAAACTACTTACCCCTTTTGAACCTCTGGTATTCTCATAGGTTAAAAAGAAAAAAAAAGAATAAGAAATTTTATTTCACAAGTAGATCAAATTAAGTGAAAAAATGTATATAAAATATTTAACACATTTTGTGACACAAGAGGGAAAATTAATACATAATGATTATTGCTGTTGATATTAAAAATACAACTGCTCTATTATGCCTGTGATCACAATATTGCTAAATATAAGGCTTTGGAATATAGCTATTAAAATTATTTATGACTTTTAGCATTTTTATATTTCCAATGCTAATTTGACTTCATAGTGTAACGAAAATTATGTCCAGCATCAGTGAAAGGCTCTGTGTTGTTCTCACTTCTGGTTATAAAACAGACCAAATTTGTATCTCTTTCCATTAGGTTTATAATTGGAGATTTGCTGGATACAGAAAATGACATCTTTGAGCAGCCCAAAGAATGGGACCCTCATGGACTAGAAGAGCCACAGAAGGCCTTCGACCATGGGACGGAGCTCATCCCGTGGTACGTCCTGTCCGTCCGAGCTGATGTGCACCAGTTCCTGCTGCAGGGGGCCACAGTTATCCACTATGACCAGGACACACACCTCTCGGCCCGCTGCTTCCTCCAGCTCCAGCCTGACAATAGCACCTTGACCTGGATAAAGCCCACCACTGCCTCCCCAGCCAGTGCTAAAGCAAAACTTGGTGTGCTTAGTAACACATCTGAACCTGGCAAATTCCCATTATTGGGCAACGCTGGATTAAGTGGCCTGGTGGAGGGGGTCTTGGATCTGTTTTCAGCAAAGGCTGTGTACACGGGACACCCTAGCATTGATATACACACTGTGTGTGTTCAGAACAAACTGAGTAATGTGTTTCTCTCAGAGACCGGAGTGACACTGCTCTATGGGCTTCAGACCACTGACAATAGATTATTGCACTTTGTGGCACCGAAGCACACAGCTAAGATGCTCTTCAGCGGGTTGTTGGAACTCACTAGAGCTGTGAGAAAGATGAGGAAGTTCCCTGACCAAAGACAACAGTGGCTGCGGAAACAATACGTCAGCCTCTATCAGGTAAGGGTACAGCCCTCCCCTCCTTCCTCAATAGCATGTTCTCAGGATATAAATGGTGTAAGAGCACACTTGGCAACTAGACCATCGGCTCATTCTCTCAGAGGTTTAATTTAGTTAATATATGTAAAGCCATCATGTAAATTCATACATATAAAAAATAGTGGCTTCACGCATCTGGAAAGAAACCAGTTAATTTAAAAGCATTTTCAATTAAAGTTTCCACTGAAAACATTGTAATCTGAATACTTTTGTTATTAATTAGGAACTGATACATTGGAAACCTTCACTTTGGAAATAAGAATTCTGCTTCATCACCTTCGTGCTTCACATGCCACGTGACTCTCAGAGAGTTATTTAACTCTGTATTTCTGTCTAACTATAGAACTTTTAATGTCAAAAGAAACTTTCCCACATGTGAGCTAACTCATACGTGGAGTTCTGCCTAAGCCGGTTCATAGTGGCAGCAGCCCTGAGAAGGTAGTTTCTCACAGTGGGCTGCTGAAACCGAGTTTCTCATTAACCCTAAATTACCAGGTACTGTAACGGCCCCCCCAGCCCTGCGCCGTGTTCAGGACTGGCAGCAGGACGGGGCTGAAGGAGGTGGTGAGGGGAGACACCTGAGGGGAGACACCGTGCTCCTGGAGGGAGGAGGCAGAGATGGGAAAGTGACTCATAAACCTGCCCCAAGGCAGCGCTGTTCCCAGCGTCGTCCAATGAGTTGCGTCAAAGTCTTCAGTTTCTCTTCTTTATGCTTTTCTATCTTTGGGGAAAAATTTATCTTTACTGGTATCACAGAACAAATAGAATTATAACTTAAATTAATAAAGTGACCGATTTTACGTATTTTTCACAGTTCTAACATGTTTCTGATGAGTGAAAACATTTCTCCTCTGGGATGTTAGTAGCAGTGCATAGAAAGCCCCTTCTTCCTCCTTTCTCCATATCTGTGCAACACTTATGAGGAGAGAGAACATCTGAATAAGCAACTTAACTAATTAATTCATTAATCGGCACTTAGGCCTCCATACATGATTGTGCTGATGCCGCACAACACAAGACCAGTTTTCCTGAACTCATCCAAACTGGAAACCATACACCTGCTTCCCGTCTGCTTCACAGGGACCCCTCAGTGCAGTCAGAGACTTGGACGAAAAGTCTTCAGGAGCCATTATGAATATTGATTTTTAGTAACAGTCATTCCATAGCCTTCTAATCTAGGGTCATGAAAACCCATTCAGCTTGGCCACAAACCAAAGTCTTTGAGCTCAATTACAACCATCACAAAACCTATATGATTTATTTGCTCCATTTGTTTCCCTCCCAAGCGTAGAGCGTAAAGTAACTGAATTAACCCACTACGTATAGTTGGTTTCTCATTACCCTGTCAGCCTTCAGTTTTTGCTGAAGGAGGCACCAGCTGAAACCATGAACAGCGTATGGGAAGAGGTAAGAGGTGCTGCTAGAGCAGAGACACAGGAAGTGACCTGGAGCAGACTCGGTCCTACCCAGCTACTCCCCTCCTTTCTCCTCTCCACGTCCCCATCCCTCCACCCCTGCATGGAACTAAGTGGTTACAGTGTAAAGGCAGAACAATTCTGTGTACCTCTGTCACTCCTGAAAACATAAGTGATATTCTTCCTCAAACACTGGTTTTATTTTATTTTATCGTCACCCAAGGACACTTTTTCATTACTTTTAGAGAGAGGAAGGGAGAGGAAGAAACATCAATTGGTTACCTCCCATAGACTCCTGGACCTGGGATCATATGTGCCCTGACAGGAGCTCAGACACACAACCTAGGTATGTGCCCTGACTGGGAAGCAAACCCACAACCTTTCAGTTACGGGGTGACGCTCCAACCAACTGAGCCACACTGGCCAGGGCAAAACTTTTCTACATGAGTCACCTAGGAAGATAGGTGCCGTGTCTTCCAAACAGGGTTAAGATTTTTTTTTTTTAGTGAAAAAGGCCCATTATACAGACCCGTTTCTCAAAATGTCTCAGGGAACATCAAAACGATGCTATTTTGATACTTGGAGAACAGGAGGTCAATCAGGGGTCCCCAAACTCCAGCTGCTGCCAGTACCAGTCCATGGTGTGTTATGAACCACAACACAGCAGGAGATGAGCGGTGGGCAGGTGAGCGAATATTGGCTCACAACACCACCTGAGCACCACCTCCTCACTCCCACCTCCTCCTCCCAGCCCCATCCGCGGGAAAGTTGTCTTCCATGAAACCGGTCCCTGGTGGCAAAAAAGGTTGGGGACTGATAGGCATCATGCTAGAGGCCCCTCTTGGTGACTTATAACAAGGCTTAGCTCATTTAATGCTCTGATAAGTCCTAAGTATAAAAGAAACCTATTTAAATATATCTAGAAGTTGACAAAATTTATGAAAATTGTAGGATTCTTACAAAATTATTTTAACGGCCCTAAAAGAGTATTTTATTATTCCCTAGTTTGGGAAGGGCATGTATAGAAAATAATATTTCTAACATTGAAGTCCTTTTGTGTGATGAACACATGTGAATTTACCTTCAAATACAAGTATTTTAGCACTAGTGAATGAAAATTGGTGTAATGGAAATAGTAACAGGAGATACACAAAAGACAAGAAGAGATAGTAGCATTTGTAATGAAGCCTAGGAATAAAATCGGATAGTCATTGAACATTAGGATGAAGGAGCAGGCACACACACATAAAACATCTTTATTATTTACAAAGCCAAGTCCATTTACAACCACTTCTTTGGAACTACAAAGGAGGACTAGCCTTAAAAGTCTGCAGAAAATAAGGACAGTAAAGAGAAAGTAATTTTAAAAGAGCCCTTTTAGACAACCTGTGAACTATCAATATCTTTAATTCATATGCAACTTTTTGTAGTTTTATTAACTGGCTTTCCTAACTTATAGAGAGAATTTTTTTACTGTTGTTAATTGAACAATTGTTATTTAATTCAATAAATAAATCAATCTTTGCTGCTACTTACTACATATTAAATTTAGTTGTCTTAAGAGAAGCAGCTGTTTATTGGAGATCATTATCTACCATTCGAATATGTTTTTGCTGCTCACAGCATCATAATATGCATGGTGCTCTGAGTTGCTTGGGCTCTCTATTTTTGAATTTTAGTCACTTGAGAGGATGGCAGCCCAAACTAATTGAAGTGCTCCCCAGAGCCCTGCAAAGTGAATTTTAGGTATGCCACATATTTCAAGTCAGACTGTCCCAAGTCTGACTTGATTTTACATTTTATGTATTCTATGGAAAGACACAAAAAGTGATATAATAACAAATAGGACTGATTTGAAATAGATTCATACATGTACATACAACCCCTGAAAGTCCTCCAAAGCCCTAATTTGCAAAATACCTCTTAATGAATTTTTTTACAATGGTAATTCTAAAACATAACTTCTAAAACTGGAAAGAAATTTTTTTGTTGTTGTTAATCCCAGTTGCACATGGCCCTGTTAAAGCTCATCACTGGAACTCAAGAGGGATGTGACCGGGACTCTAGAGGATGTGATGAAATCCCCAACAAAGAGTCCTGACAAGGGGAAAACAGGGCCACTTGGGTGGCCAGATTGTAGTTCTTCTGCAGCTGCCTGTGCTGTTCTACCCCTGGGAATTTACTGGGAGCCATGAATATGTTTACTTCCTCATTGCTTGCTGTCCCCTTGTGTTCAGCATGTGTTTGTTTTCACAGGAGGATGGACGGTATGAAGGCCCAACTTTGGCTCACGCTGTGGAGCTGTTTGGTGGCAGACGGTGGAGTACCCGAAACCCTAGCCCTGGGACATCTGCAAAGAGCGCCGAGAAGCCCAACATGCAGAGGAACAACACCTTGGGCATCAGCACCACCAAGAAAAAGAAGAAAATCCTCATGAGGGTAGAGTGTTACTTGTTTATTAAGCATTATACCAAATCACCCAAGACCATCAATGTATGTTCTACATCACCATAAATGATTTTAGGTCATTTGGTTTGGGGATAGGATGAGGTATAAAACAAATGAAGTGCAAGGGCTTACCAGGTACCTCCTGGATGCCAGCCCCACACCAGGAACTAAGTCAAAACCAGGAAAAAGTCAGGTTCTGTAGAGGGCCCCAGACATGTGAACCAACACAGTGAGACCTAATAAGTCATTGTCAAGCATCCTGCAAAGTGCTGTAGGAGCAGAGAGAAGGAAGATATAGGGCTGAGAGGCAGGCAGGGAAGACTTCACTGAGAAATTGACAGATGGGTCTTGAAGGTTGTATAGGAGTTTACCAAGCAGACAACACAGGGAAAAGCATCCCAGGCAGATGAGGCAGCAGAGAGGCATGAAAGATTCAGCTTGCTCAGAGAAGCACATGGAATTCTGGGTTCATGTTCCAAGCTAGAGCAGGGACTCTACTGGGGGCAAAGAAAGGCTACAAAGGAATGGGATCACATTATTAAGGTCTTAGAGGATCTACTAAATGATGTGGAACACAGTTTAAAATATATTATCAAGAGAAAAAACCTCTTGTTCATCCACAAATGAAGAATAAAGAAAAGGTGGTATACCACCACCCTGCCCCTGCACAGCTGATCCTCCACAGAGGGCGGAGGTGCATGGTCAGTGGTCACAGCCAGTCCTTGCAGCTGATTGGCCTGGGAAAATCTCTCCTGTTGACCTTCCAACAGCAATCAAGGCTCAACTACAAGAGGAAGTTGTACTCAGCCCACACAAAGGGCACACCTTGAGTACTCAGCTTGGGTGATAGGGGAGGCTGTGCCACTGAACCTTACAGGACACCTATGACACTAGGTCATGCAATCAAAACAGGGAGTCATAGCAGCTCTACCTAGTGCATAGAAACAAACACAGGGAGCCTGCCAGAATGAGGAAACAATGAAATATGGCCCAAATGAAAGCATAGATCAAAACTCCAGAAAAAGAACTAAGCAAACTGGAGATAAGCAATCTATCAGATGCAAAGTTCAAATGCCTATTTGTAAGGATGCTCAGGGAACTTAGTGAGGACTTCAATGGCATAAAAAAAAATCCAGTTAGAAATGAAGGATACACCAATTGAAATAAATAACAATTTATAGGGAAGCAACAGTTGAGTAGATGAAGCCAAGAATCAAATCCATGATTTCAAACAGAAGGAGACAAAAAACAATCAGAACAACAAGAAAAGAGAGTTTAATGAAATGAGGATAGTGTAAGCAGCTTCTGGGGCAACTTCAAGCATTCCAACATTTGCGTCATAGAGGTACCAGAAGAAAAAGAGAAAGAGCAAGAAATTGGAAATCTATTTGAAAAAAGTAATGAAAGAAAACTTCCCTAATTTGGTGAAGGAAATAGACATGCAAGTCAAGAAAGCACAGAGAGTCCCAAACAAGATGGATGCAAACAGACCCGCATCAAGACACATGATAATTAAAATACCAAAGGTTAAATATAAAGAGAATCTTACAAGCAGCAGGAGAAAAGCAGTCAGTTACCTACAGGGTAATTCCCATGAGACTGTGAGCTGATTTCTCAAACAAACTTTTCAGACCAGAAAGGACTGGCAAGAAATACTCAAAGTCATGAAAAGCAGGGACCTACAGCCAAGATTGCTCTACCCAGCAAAGCTATCATTTAGCATCGGAGGCAGATAAAGAGATTCCCAGGCAAGAAAAAAAACTAAAGGAGTTCCTCATCATCAAACCATTATTATGTGAAATGTTAAAGGGACTTATTTAAGAAAAAGAGGATCTAAACTGTGAACAGTAAAATGGCACAAATACATATCTATCAACAATTAAATCTAAAAGATAGACTAAGCAAACAAGAACAGAGAGAGAATCATGGATTACAGAGGGTATTTGTATAGTTGCCAGATGAGAGGGAGAATGGGTGAAGTGGTGAGGGGATTAAGAAGTACAAATAGGTAGTTACAGCATAGCCATGTGGATGTGAAGTACCATAGAGGAAATGGAGTAGCCTGAGAACTTATGCACATGACCCATGTACATGAGCAATGGTGGGGGGATTGCCTGAGGGAGTGGGGAGTGCTGGGTGGAGGGGAGGAAGGGGGAAAATTGGAACAACTATAACAGCATAATTAATAAAATATAATTAAGGAAAAAGAAAAGAAATGGTTCTATATACATATAGTGAAATACTTTGAACAATGAAGGAAATTCTTTCGTATGCTACGATATGGGTGAGCCTTAAGGACATCGTCCTAAATGAAGTCAGCCAGTCACATGAGGACAAATACTGCATGATTCCCCTTGTATGATGTACCCCGAGTGCTCAAACTCTTAGAAACTGAAAGTAGAATAGTGGTGTCCAGGGACTAGGGAAAAGGGAGAAATAGGAGTGGTTGGATGGGTGTAGAGTCTCAGTTTTATAAGGCAAGAATGTTCTAGAGATGTGTTGCACAAGAAGCTACATGTAGTCAGCACTACACTACTGCACTCTTAAAGATGGTTAAGATGGTAAATTTTATGTTATGCCTTTTATCACAATAAATACACATATATTTATCACTCTGTATTATATATTTCATTATATTCATCATCACTATAACACGATAATATATTTTCTCCATGATTACCTAAAAAAAGTGTCACTCTTTGCAGATGGAAAGCCGTTAATACCTAAGTCAAATTTCATCTGCTATATAATTCTGTCTCAACACAGAGATTCCAGGGTCATGTGCCTTTTCTCATGGGCCCCCTCCCCTGAGGAGCGCTGCTTTATAGTGAGGGACAAATGGGGCAATGTTCCATGAGAGTACTTAGCCTTCACGTGGGTCTTTAGTGGCTTCACCAGGGGGAGGCAGCCTCACAGGTGAGTCCATCAGAAAATTGGGACCAGCCCGAACTAAAGCAGTGACAGGAGAGAAATGGAGAATGAGAAACACTGTGTGTTTTGTGTTCCCAGGGGGAGAGCGGAGAGGCGACCGACGATGAGATGGCCACTCGAAAGACCAAAGTGCACAAAGAGTGTCGCAGCTGGAGCGGTTCTGACCCTCAAGACATTAATGAACAAGAAGAATCAGGTAGAGCAGCAGCACATTCACAGCTGAGCTTTTTTAAGGGAAAAATTTGCATTTGGGTTTAAATTGTGATTTAAGGATGGTGGGCATTCTTAACATTCTTTATCTTGTTAAATATACTTACCTTTGTTTTAACTAGATGATGGAACCCAAGAGGTATTTCTTGCAAGCACAGTGTACTTAGAAGAATATTCTTATTACTTAACTTGCCATTATTAACAGGGAATATTAGCTATACAGATACAATTGGATGAGTCACACACATGATTCTGAACCACAGCAGGATATTAGAGCTTTTTAAAAAACATCTGGATGCCTTGGCCACACCCCACGTGGTTCGGATGCTGTGACTGGGATCTATACATTTTAAGCTCCCAGATGATCCTCATGTGCATGAGGGTTGAGAACCCACCGGATGAGTCCGCTCTTCAGAACACTTCGATGCTCCCTGTACAGAAATTGCCTGTACAGAGTGATTTGCTCAGACATTCAGAAGCATTTTTGGTTTTTATTTGATTTCTGAGGGAAAATGTAATTGGGGTCACTGTCTCTTTTTTGTTTGTCCCTCTCACAGAGGCGAATGCCATCACAAGCCCGCCTAACCTTCTCCCTTCCAGAAGAGCCCACTCTCTGACCACGGCTGGGTCCCCTAACTTGGCTGCTGGGACGCCATCTCCCATCAGGCCAGTGTCCTCCCCTGTGCTGTCTTCAAACAAGAGCCCGTCCAGGTGGGGCCTTAACATGATAGAACAGAAGGACACTTCACATCACTCAAGTTGTGTAGCAGGGGGGCTTCTCCAAGTGCTCTGTGCAAAGACTGTCTCAAAGTTTGACTTAACAATTACATTGAGAACTGAAAGACCCCAATTTTTTAATGTTCCTAATTTTCTTTATTTTATACTCCTATCTTCTCATATTACTACAATTGCTTTTAATTATGTGATACATCATCCCTTCAAAGGTCAATAGCAATAACAAACCTGAGCTGAGATTCTTGAAATTAGCACTGCCCAGTATATTAGCCACTGGCCACAGTGGGGAAAGTGGCTATTTAAATTAATAAAATAAAATGCAGTTCCTCAGTCACACTAACCACATTAACAGTTTCTCATAGCCACAGTGGCTTGTGGCTACTATACTGAACAGTGCAGAATATTTCTATCATTGAAAAAAGTTATATTGAATGGCACTGCTAAGTAAAGAATAAATTAAGTTCTAAAGTAAGCTGCTTGACCCTTTGCTAATGGGTAAAATATATTTAACACTCTTCTCATATATAACTGAATATATTATATAGCAATGAAATGCTATATAGAAATGAATATATTATATAGCAAGTTGAATATGTTTAGATAATTTCAAAGCTGGTATTATAGTAAATTATTTCATAAGCTCCATGAAGATTGCAGATTTGAAATAACACCTGCCCTCTCAGAAGAAATAATATTAAAATGAAAACCCTCCAAAGGAATCAGAGTGCCACACCATTTTCTTCAACCCCACACTGAAGTTTCCAAAATGCAGAGATTCCAGACAGATCCAAGATAAAACGGGCACTGCCCTTTGTCAGAGAGAAGGGTGGGAGGAGGAAGTGGGCCTGTGCAGACATTGGCTTTGGAAACATTAATTACACACACACCACAGCAAATCATTTCTTACAGGGAAGCATTCTTTCACGCTGTGAATAATGAACATCATAATTTATGCTGTATACATTGAAAACTCTATACTTGGTAAAACTGGGTCAAGGGTACAAGGGAATTCTTTGTGTCACTCTTGCAACTTTTCTGTAAGTTTAGGTGTGTAACACAGTTAAAAGCTACAAAGAATCAGAATTCTATATGTTATATTTCAGCCTATAAAATATCCCAGGTAAATAAAATAGCCAAGTACCTAGGATTCAGTGGCTTTTCCCTTTTTTTCAATCACTCATGAACAGGAGAAGGAAGGACAGAATAATGGAGGAAACTCTTGTTGAAGAGGTAGATGTAGAGAAACTACCATGTCAGATGCAAGACCACAGGGCCTCTTCTAAAACAGAAAGAAAAGACAAGGCAGGAAAAGAAAAATCAGCCCAAATGCTGTTGTAGGAGAAAGTGAGACTGAGGGAAAGAGTGGACAAACGGAGGTTCCTAAAGTCAGAGGAAGTGGGTGCCTAGAGACCATGGCTGAACCGGGACTAGAAGGAAGACAGGGAATCACTTGTTTAAATGCAAATGATAAACCACTTCACGGGGCTTTCTTCCTCTTCCTGAAACTCCACCTTCTGTTTCCTGTGGGGGGAGGTCTATAATCCTTCCCCCAAAATAATATAAACTAACCTTTTGTAATATTCTGAACCTTCAGATGTCAACACAAAATAATTTTTGTGAGTAAACATTATTAGCAGGCGATGGTAAACAGGCTATTCATTACAATATTCTCTATACTTTCTTATATATCGAAAATTTCTAAAGTGAAAAAGACAAAAACAAAAATGAAATAAAAAGAAAGATCCTGTTCACTGATTTGGTGAACAACCAGCCAAAACATTTCTCATACTGTCCTGTCAGGGAACCAGTGTAGAAAGTAAAAAAATGTTGTGAAATAACCAGCCTGAATTTTTTGATCTAGTTGACTGATATTTTTATACTGAATGGATACATTCTTGGCAGGTGCAAATATGATCCTAGATAGAGTTGGCTTATTGCCATTCTTAATATTTTTCAGACTCACATTTTCCATTAGTATTAAAAACCCTTCCTTGTTTTCATCTAAGAACTGCTTAAAAAAGGAAAAAGAGAAGACGCCAATACATTCAAGACATTCTTCTTAAATGTGTTTCTGTAATTCAGAATATAGGGGAAAACATGCATATTTTTACAGGTTATAACTGAGTGATTTGGGGCTGTTTTTTTAAATGACTTTTCTTCAAAGACACTGAATTTACATTTTCTTCCAATTAACCTGTGATTTCAAAGAACTGGTTTAATTAAAAGTATATGAACCTCAACTTTATACCCTTATTGAATAGACTGCAAACATGAAGTGGTTTCAATGTATAGTGTTTTATCTCTGACATAATATAGATTAATTCTGAGAGCAATGAAAATAGCCTCCACCCTGTGACTTGCAATCCATCTTTCTGGTCCTGTTGCTAACCAGAGAGTGTCTGTTAGGGCAGAATGACAGAGGCAGCCTTGTTCTGCCCATCAAGGCCATGTCTTTGTTGCAGTGCTTGGAGCAGCAGCAGCTGGCACGGGCGCATCAAAGGAGGAATGAGAGGCTTTCAGAGCTTCATGGTTTCCGACAGTAACATGAGTTTCGTTGAATTTGTTGAGCTGTTCAAATCCTTCAGGTACAGTGTGCTTTCTTCTTACCCTTTCTCAGTTCCACATTTTCGCAGCAGTACTAAAAGGGGGATGTTCTCATTCCTCACCCAGTGTAAGGAGCCGCAAAGACCTGAAAGATCTCTTTGACCTCTACGCTGTGCCCTGCAACCGACTGGGCTCTGAGTCAGCCCCACTCTACACCAACCTAACCATTGACGAAAACACCAGCGGTCTTCAGCCTGACCTAGGTCTGTGTAACAATTTAATCTTTCTCTTGGAGACCTTTCTATCTTAAAAAAAAAAAACAGGATTAGAGAGCCTATCACACAAACCTTTAGCTTGTCCTTCATGGTGTGCCTGGGGCATGGCAAAACATGTGGAGAACTTTTTCAAGGTGTCATTGGCATTTGAGACAAGGACATTCGTCACTGTGTAGGTCTGTCCATGTATTTCAAGATATTTAATTAACAGAGCCCTCCAGTTATTCTGGCAACCAAAAACCCTTTCCTGCTCAGTTCAGATGTCCAGTGGGTGTGTGGTATGTCCCAGGTGGGAACCACCAGTCTCTCCCCTGCCTGCAGGCAGGTGGGTGCTCAGCCTCAGGGAGGGAGTTGTCTACACTTTAACAATGAGAGTCTTAATGGCCTCAGCATCCAGGACGTTTTCCCAAATATGTAAACCAGAGTGTCTAGTTCTACCCCACTCACCACTGCACCCCCACCAGCACCCCTTATGCATTTTAAAGGCTATAACCTTCTTCTTCTGTTCTTGCTGGAAAATATAAACACAAAAAAGTAAAAATAAAAAAACCTGTCCTCTTTCATGCAGTTGCTTTAATGCTTAAGAATATTAACCTTTCTCAACTTTAGTCCTCAGGTAGGTACATAACTATAGATTAGTCAACCTGTTACACTTTTTAAAAATTTAATAGGCTTTTCTTAGAGCAGTATTAGATTTACAGAAAAAGAGTGAAAAGTAGAGACTTCACATATACTCCCCCCCCCACAGTTTCCCCTATTATTAATATCTTACATATTTGTTTCAGGAAGCCAATATTGGTATATTATTGTTAACTGAAGTCCCTAATTTACGTAGTGTTCACTGTTTGTGTTGTCTATTCTGTGGGCTTTGGCCATAAGTATAGTGGCTTTGGACATAAAGTCCACCTTTACAGTATTATACAGAATAGCCTCACTGCCCTAAAAAACCCATCCACCCTTCTTCTGAACCCCTGGCAACCACTGGGGTTTTTTTTATTACAGTCTTTATAGTTTTGCCTTTTCCAGAATGTCATATACTTAGGATCATACAATATGCAGCCTTTTCAGACAGGCTTCTTTCACTTAGCAGTACACATTTAAGGTTTCACTATGTCTTTTCATGGCTCCATAGTTCATTTCCTTGTATAGCTGAATAATATTCGATTGTATGGATTTAGCAGCATTTATTCATTAACCTATGGAAGGACTTCCTGGCTGCTTCCAAGTTTTAGCAATTGTAAATAAAGCTGCTGTGAATATTGTGTGTAGGTTTTAATGTACATATAAATTTTCACCTCATCTGGGTAAACACCAAGGAACACAACTGCTGGCTCATATAATAAGACTATGTTTAGCTCTGTGGAAAACTGCCAGACTGTCTTCCAAAGTGGCTGGAATTAAAATGAATGGCCATTCCAAAGCTAGTGTCAGTGCAGAGCAACCGGAGCCTTGCTGGTGGGAGTGTAAGATGGTACAGCCACTTTGGAAGGGAGTTGGGCAGTTTCTTACAAAATTAATCATACCCTTACCATACCATCCGGCAGTTGCATTCCTTGGTATTTACTGAGATGAATGAAGTCTTAAGTTCACACAGAAACCTGCACACAAATATTTATAGTTATGCTTTTAAAGTACATAAAAACTATCATTTTAAAGGTCTATCTTTAGTCTCTGAAAATATAAAAATGTAAGTTATTCTCAGAAACTGAAGTCCAAATTCAGCCTAAAATCTCTGAGTGAATGTACATTTAGTTCCCCTCTAATACCAAAGCTCGTAGGCTTTCAAGTTCATTGATCTGGCTCTCTCTTAGTTTCTTTTATTTATTAATTGATTCCTTTTATGTTTTTCTACTTTGTGGAGTTAGGAGTAAGCACTGAGTTTGATGGCTTGTTTAGACAAATTAGTAAAGAATTTCTCCAGCTTAATAAAGCCACAACACCATTATCTCCCAGATGAACTTTGTGAAAGATGCTGACCAGTTTATCCATGTTCTGTGGATGGTTCCGTTTCAGATTTGTTGACAAGAAATGTCTCGGATTTGGGGTTGTTCATTAAGAGTAAACAGCAGCTGTCAGACAGCCAGAGGCAGATCTCTGATGCCATTGCTGCTGCAAGCATCGTGACAAATGGCACTGGGGTCGAGACCACATCCCTGGGCATATTTGGGGTTGGCATACTTCAGCTCAACGACTTTCTAGTGAATTGCCAAGGAGAACACTGCACTTATGATGAAATCCTCAGCATCATCCAGGTATGTACCTCTTTCTTGTGCATACATGTGTAAAGCCTGACTATTCTAATTATTTTCTGCTAAATATATACTCTTTCTATACTTCTTTTCAAAGACTCTTAAGTTTGGGGCAGAAATAGAAGGGTTTTTTTAATACCACATTCATAAGTTCTTATTTAACATATAATTAACATAGGTCCCAAGCCTTCAGTTACTCAGGGTCTATGATAAGCAGTCAGTACATGATTCCTTCTTGTTGTTCTAGCACACGCAATAGAATTAGTAGTCTAGGTTTTCAGTCTCTTTGATCATTTAACAAATATTTGTCAGCTCCTACTATGGGCCTGGCTATGTTTAGGTCCTGGGAATAAAGCAGTAAATAAGATGAAGTTCTGGCCCTCACTGTAGCTTACATTCAAGTGGGTGAGGCAAACAGTAAATAAATAAAGATATAGGGAGGGGCAAAAGTGGGTTTACAGTTGAGAGTATGTGAAACACACAGTTTATTCTTGTATTATTTAATTACTGTATTCTTTTCCATATGAACAACTGTAAACTGACTTTTGCCCAACCTGTATAATGTAGCTTCAGGTAATAATGGGTTCTGGAAAATACTGAACAGAATAAATGGATGCAGTGGTGCCAGAGGTGACACTGGGGCTGGCAGTTGGGGGACGCTTGGGCCCCGAGTGAGTAAGCTATTGAAGGTCTGAGGAAAGAACTTTCCACACAGAGAGCAGCAAGCTCAAAGACCAAGGCAGGAGCGAGCTCGGGGTTTATGAGAAACAATAAAAAAGCTGTGCCATGGTTGCCACATAAGCCGGAGGAACAAGGGTAGACGGGGTTTCAGACAGGTAGGCAGGGGCCCAACCATCTAGGCATTTGGGCCACAGAAGGAGCTTGACTGACATCCATAAGAAATGGGAAGCTAATGGAAATTTTTGAGCAGGGAAGTAAGTAACATGACTTGATTGCTGTTTGTAAGAGGTCACTCTGACCACTGGAGAATGAACTGTGCTAGGGAAGGAGTGGAAGCACAGAGGCTAGCAGGAAGCTTGCATAAGTAATTCAGGCGAGATACGGTGACCGCCGCAACTACAGTAGGTAGGAGATAGGGGCATGAGACAGTTTATTATGTCTGCAGCACATGCAGCAGAATTAGTTTAGGTTTTCAATCTCCCTTTTCAGTGGATTGAGAATCAGTGGATTAGCTCTCTGGCAATTGGATTTAATCACTGGAAATATTTAAAATGTAAGGTTATTCTCATATGCTGAGTGCTCACTGGAATATTATTGAGTACAAGCACCATATGAAGTGTTCTATGGGAATCATCTCATTTCGCCTCTCACTGGCTCTATGGTAGCTGCTATTATCACCCCCCTTTTCACCTGAATAAGCCGATACCAGTTGTTTTCATATAAATCAGCCTTAATCTTTTCTTTTGCTCTTCTTGTTCTCTTATATAAATATGCTTTTTATAATAAACTCACTTATAACAAATGTTTTCTTTTGGACAAAAAAACTACATCTTACCACTATGTAACTAAATTAGTTCAAATATTTGGTTTAGGTGTTTCCTGATGAAAACAGAACAGCTTTAAAAAATGATGTGATGGCTTTTTTCCCCCTTAGTTTCCTTTACCTGAATAACACTCTTTTTGTATCCCTTGCAGAAGTTTGAGCCTAGCATTAGTATGTGTCACCAGGGCCTAATGTCATTTGAAGGATTTGCAAGGTAACTTTTAAAATATATTTTGCCTATCTTTTAAGAGTATGTATTTTTCCCATGCAATCCTAAGAAAATTTGTTTCCTCCTAGGTTTCTGATGGATAAAGATAATTTTGCATCAAAAAATGATGAATCACAGGAGAACATTAAAGAATTGCAGCTGCCCCTGTCCTACTATTACATTGAATCTTCACACAATACCTACCTCACAGGCCATCAGCTCAAAGGAGAATCCTCAGTTGAACTCTATAGCCAGGTACTGAGAATTCCACTTGGAATGTGGTCATCTTTAAACCTGATTTACATAACCCCCAAAGTCACAAAAACCTGACCCCAAACTCCTGTGAAGAACTTATGAACTACTACATGCAAAATGTGAGGAAGTATGATGTGTGGGAAAACAGCCTATGTACATACAGTTGTTTTCTTTCCTTCTTTTTGTTTTCTTTTTTCCCGCTATCTATACTTAACCTCTATTCTGGGCAACCAAAGAAACAGAAGTATTTGTTTGAGACTCATAGCTTTTAGACCCTACTTAGTCTGACCTACTCCTACTAAAATTAGATTTTCCCATGGGAAAGTGATCTAATCATTTCCCTAAATGCTAAATAAATCAATATATTGTAGTGGGAAAGCATTGTAGAAAATGCAACTCTCTATGAAGTTATTCCCAAAGTATTGGTTGTTTTGCTTTGCAATTTGTTACACAAGCAACCCATCCCTATGGTAACCAACTTAAGAAAAAAAATCTGCACAGACTGTAGGCTCTGTCCTCACACTTAATTCAAGGGGATGTTCTGGGAAACTCAGTAGGTTCTCTGGACTAGAAAGAAAGCACATCTTTTTGACCTATACATCCAACTATCAATGATCTGAATGTCAGTTGCCTCCTTTTTATATTGTCTGCAAATTCCTAGTGTCTGCTGCCTGTTTTTAGAACTCCTACAAGAAGAGGTAGTCAATCAAAAAGGAGCTAGGTTAGGCCCAGGGAATATTAGAGTGTGTGGGGCATGTGAGAGGAGAGGGGAGTTCGAGTGTGAAAATTGCCATTGTGTTGTTTACACATGCCCAGCAGACCTGAGGTTCTTTTGTTCTCCAGGTTAGTCTGGATAGTCCTCAAAGCATGATCAAACTTCTGTTCCAAAGTTTATCTAGTATGGAATATGTGTTCTAAACTCTAAAATCAAAGTTATGAAATTAAGATGTCTTTAGTGATTTTCAAAATAGAATTTCAGCCCAGGGGCCTCAGAGGCTGACACTGAGATGAGCAAGCAATAGAGCAGGAAGGTCCCACACCTGCCCCCACTGCAGCTGGGGCATATTGTGCTGTACATATTGGCCCTGCATTTGCACAGAGAATTCCAAGGTTAAAGAAGTTTGAAAGCCATTGTTCTCAGGAGCAAAAAGTTAAGGGAGAGAGAGAGAGAATCTCTCCCAAGAAAACAAGCAAAGACCAATTAGATTTTATTCCTACTTCACTTCCCTATTTGATTTTAAAGAGTTTTTTTTAACTCATTAACATTATAACCCAAGTAGAGATTGCTACAGCTTTTGAATAAAGTACAAAAGCCCCTCAAATAGATTTACAGATGTGATTAAACCTAGTATGAACCTTCCTTTAATTTTATTTCTTACCACTCTCTTCCTCAGCCCTTCTAATTACCTCCTAATGTTACTCTATGGGATAGAACAGAACTGAGAAAAAAAGCCCTGTTTTCACCTGGAATTTCCAGCTCTGGTTTTTCCTTTCTAGCCATTCATGGAGACATTAAGGTGGGTGTGCTTCCCGGTATGACGGGCACACCCCAGAGATGGAGCAGCCTTGTGTTTCACTGTCATCCACACAGCAATTTTCAGCCTCAAACAATGTACCTCTAGAAACCCCAGCTGTAGGGAGTAACTGATAACCTTGGGATTTTAGGCCAGAGAATAGCTTCCAGCTGGAAAGTTTGATCACCCAGGAAGATTGAGTGCTGCCTGATGTGCAATGGGAAGAATCTAGAGAATATTTCATTACAAAAATATTAAAATAAGAGGGATTCCACTACCTGAGTTTTGTTGCAGAAACTTTAGTGGCCATTAGCCCCCAGTATTGGAGTGCTATCACATACTTATGTGGATTCTTAAGCCAGCAGCTTGGCCCATTTGCAGATATATTCTGCTCTTGATGCATTCAATACCCTTTCGAGACTTTCTTAAAAGATAGTCTACAAATAGATGTTATGGAGGAAGAGATTGCTACAAGCAAACATTACTGAGCTATACCCCCCACACCCATGTCAGGAACTCTGCTTCCAACTCAAGTTCCAGGACAGCAAAGAGGTATCACTTCATCCAATTCATTGGTAGGGTTTGCTGAAGCACCTTGCTGAAGAGGTTGTGAGATGACATACCAAAGCTTAGGGAACAAATGTGCTGTAATTGATTGCTGATGTCTGCTAAGGGTATGGGAAGGTGAGTTTATGGATTATTTGCCATCTCTGCTCTAGAAGCTGTTCTAGGATTAGACAGCAAGGCAAATCCTTGGTAACTCCTTGCTTATACTCTTCTTACATCAGGGCTGTCAAACTGATGTAAGGGCCGAATGTAATTTTAGGACAGTGTAAATGTAACTACTCCTTAACTGTTAAGGAGTTGAAATACACTTGGCCCTTTGAGGGCAATAGCGAGGCTGATGTGGCTCCCAGTGAAAATGAGTTTGACACCCCTGTCTTACATGCTCTGTGTTCATAGCAGATATATTAGCCAGTGGCAGAATTTGGATCTAAATGGAAAGTTTGATCCTGATTGGCTTTATATAAATGTCTGGACAGTTAATTAAGGAATCAGTGGCTGAATTTCCTCTGCCCTCTGGCATCACCTCCCCTGACAGCTGCCTAAACAGAACTCCAGCCTGGCTCTCTCATTTCAGCATGTGCCGTGTATATATAAGTCCCTTGAGGGGCAAAAGTTCCTGGGACAGTGATCAAATGCTTTTCCTATCAAATTTTACTTTCCAGTGGTATTCAGCTCTGGTAAGGACTTTTTCCACCTTAATCTGTTCTGATTAATTGTGGCCTTTGGCCAAGATGCAATATTCATTTTAGATCGAATTTCCTTCTTCTTTAGTCCTGAATGTAAACACTGGTATATAGAATCATGAGCTGGATTTAATTTAAGACCTTATCACCATTTGCTCATCTGGGGTGGATTTCTTCCTTGATCACACAGGTCCTCCTGCAAGGCTGCAGGAGTGTCGAGTTGGACTGCTGGGATGGAGATGATGGCATGCCCATCATTTATCATGGACACACACTGACAACCAAGATCCCCTTCAAGGTAGTGCTTCGTAACTTAGTTTAAACCAAGTCATAAACAGTCATTATCTTCATTTGTCATTTAAATCAGTGACTCTATCAGAGGATACCTTAGGTCGGAGGTTCTTGTCCTTGCTCTAAAGATCCCACAGAATTGTTTACAGTATTGTGTAAGATTCACACATGGTCACTTTTCTGGGAATTGACCTAGAACTCTTACTAGATTCTTATTCAACCAAAGTTTAGTTATCACTACCTTAAATAGTTTTCACATAATAACACTATTGTTGTAATGTTTACATCATATGATGATATATATATATATAATTTAGGTGCTGTTCCTTTGCTGTATGAATTAAAAGTCGTTTGTCATGGTGTCCTGCTAAAAGAGGACAGCATGTATTAAGAGATGATTCAATAATTAACTTCATAAAGTAATGAGAATGGTTCCACTTGGGGAACTAGTCACCCAGGAAGACTGGTCTCAGTGGATCATTGTTTCAAATTCTAAGTAGTCTATTAGTTGTGTAATTACTATTCTCATTCAGAGGGTCTTTGGCTATGTAATATCCTTTTTCTCTGAACTGTGGCTTGCCTGGGAAAGAATATTGTTATTTCTTAAGCCAGGTGGTAAAAGACAAATACCATATGATCTCACCTGTAAGTGGAACCTAATCAACAAAACAAACAAGCAAGCAAAATAGAACCAGAGACATTGAAGTAAAGAATAAACTGACAGTAACCAGAAGGGAGTGGAGAGGGGATAATGAGAGAAGGGGGAAGGTTGTCGAGGAACACGTATAAAGGACACCTGGATAAAACCAAAGCAGGGGTAGGATCGAGGGTCAGAGATAGGGATGGCTGGGGTGGGGGGGCAGTGGTGAGGGGAAAATGGAGACAACTGTACTTGAACAATAAAAAATGTGAAAAAAAGAATATTGTCATTTCTGTCATAATTGGAGATGATGACTAAAACACATTTTGTCTTTAATTCATTTTCCTGTTCACCCCTCTTAAAACTCTTGTGCTTTACACTGAGGGGACAAGGAGTTGATCATCGTCTTTCCACACATACATAAAATATATGTGGTCTCTGACCATTGTTGCCCCAAATAGATTGATTATAAACTCCTTGAGAGCAGGAAAGTATTTTATGCCTACTATTTTTGATGCTGTAACTAAAACAGTATATTTTACCTATAGTATATACAATATACATATATTGATTTGTTAAATTTACCATGCTGATAACTGTTCCTTATAGTAGGTGAACAGAACTCAATATGATCAGTTTAATGGCTTTATGGAAAATAGCCTTATTCTCTTGCTTAATTTAAAATATAAAAACCACTTTAGCCAGAGTCTTCTCAAAAGAATAATTTAGATGCTTTCTGAAGCTGTAAGTACCTTGCCCTCTGACATCCTGGACAGATATCTAATGAAATATCTAATAAAGCAGACTCTAATGAGCAGACTCTCTCATAGGAAGTGGTCGAAGCCATTGATCGCAGTGCCTTCATCAACTCTGACCTGCCAATCATCATATCGATTGAGAACCACTGTTCATTGCCTCAGCAACGAAAAATGGCAGAAATTTTCAAGGTAAGAGTCAGGATAGTATCTTGGCCTTTGTCTTACCATTACTGTTGAGTTCTATGTGATTCTTCCATGGGCCACACCACAGCTGGACCTCAGCCGTGAAGCATGTACAGTTTAGGGTCTCTCAGACCTGAGAGATGGGGGTGCCCTGGAAGCTTGTGCTTTCCAGGACAGTCCATCTTTTCAGCTGGAGTAATAGAAGCATTGCCCTGAGGTCTCCTTCAGAGAAAAGGAGAAGCTAACTCTCCACTACTTCTTGAACCACATGACAGGATGTTCCCTGTCCACCATTTATAGAAAAGCCGAAAATATCTCAGGGCAAATAAGTCTAATCATCTCGTGGCCCACATCACAGATGCAAAATGTGGCAAAGAGCTCAGACTGGCCACACCAGTTGCTATGTTAACACTTAACCCTTCTTCCTATACAAGGAAACTATAATGCAGGTTTAGGAGCAAATATTTCATTCAACTTTCTCCTTCCTCCACTGGCAGAGGCATTTGTGAAAACAAGTCTCTCAGTGGGAGAGAGGAACACAGCCTGCAGAAAATGTTCTCAAACACTAATGCCAATAAAACTAATTAGCCTTTCTTAATGTCTTCTCTTTGCCATCATTTAGAAGAATAGTCTCTAAACTTTTTTGATGATGTGCTTGTAACAGTAAAACACTAAAACATGTATTCCTATTGTATGTTTGACTTATTTCTAAATTATTTACATATCCTACTTACTAACATATTTTATATATTATTTAAAACATGCAAAAAGTAGAATATAAAGGGAATAACAGGAAAGATAAACTAAAAAATAACTTTTAAATACTGTTACTTATTGATGGTAGAAAAACCCTTGGCTTTCATAAAAAATTTTAAAGTGACTTTATTATTTATTTATTTTCTAAGGTTTTGATGTGATTGAACATGCTTCATTATTTCTGACATTTTAAATCTTCTGAATCAGGAGATTTCTCCTTGTCCCTCAGGGACCTTCATGAACAGCTCCTGACATACAGACTGATTCTGCCTTACAGACCGAGGGAGCCATTTCCAATGCACACATGAAACATTAATAAGCTTCCGTTTTTGTTCCTTTTAATTAAGAATAACTAAAAATAGAAATTGCCGTATTTCCTCCCCTCACCCCAGGGGATCATCCTGTGCCTGCCCTGCTGCCCACCTCCTGGAAGGACACACATTCCACTTTGGAGTCCAGGTGTCAGTCCTCGTAAGATGGTGTGCATGGTTCTCTTTACCAGATGGCGAACTCGCCCATTACCTTTCAGCTGTGTCCCTGCTCCATACTCACTTCAAGTTTTCTATCCTGTTGACTTTTTACCCATGCCTGGAATGGGTCATATTCTACAAACCACAGCTTCTAAATGAGTCTCTGTTTTCTTTACTACACTAGACCTCAGAGCATCATTCTCCCTGAAGAGTTAGAGCTGGCCCCATCCAAAGAACGGCCCAGACATCCCCTCCTTCTAACCACCTCTTCCTCCCAGTAAGATACTATTGGGAGGAAAGGGGGGACACCTTTTTTCCTACTTCTTCTTCCTAGGATTTTAAAAACAAGTCACTGGACTAAAAATAATAGAAATTTAGATAAAAGGCACTGGTTCTATGTTTTCTTTATTCTTTTTAGACTGTGTTTGGAGAAAAACTGGTGGCTAAATTCTTATTTGAGAGTGACTTCTCAGATGATCCCATGCTTCCTTCACCTGACCAACTTAGAAGAAAGGTGCTTCTTAAAAATAAAAAGCTAAAAGCTCATCAGACGCCGGTGGATATCTTAAAGCAAAAGGTACTCTTCTCTTGATAAAGAGGTTATTGGTATGCTATGGGCCCAGAACAAAGACATTAATGTCATTCTAAGCTTTCAGATGACCTGGTAGAAAACCAGGATTTGAAGATTGAGTTTCCTTGAATGATATATTTAATATTTGACTTTCCATTTTATAGACCGATAAATATTCTCATCCCATTCACCTAAAATTTTATTTTGCGAAATTGAGCTCCCTTGTAGAATGTACTTGTTATTAAATTTATTCTGAGTGGGACAGTGTCTGACTCTTGTCTCTGGACCTGGGCTTCACAGCTGTCAATCCCATGGCAGCTGCCATAACCCCCTATAGGGAGAGCCTCCTGTTGGGAGACTATCTGAACCTGGGACTGTGACCCTGAGGTCAGAGTGGAATCCTAGTAGCAATAGCCCTATGGTCCCAGCATGGCAGTTGGCACAGGTATCACTGTGGCTTGTGGACTCCAAGGAACTCACATGCCTGACTCGCCCATGGAGATCTGCACCTCAAGCACCACAAACCCACCTGTGCAGGAAGGCCCTGAGCCCAAGGATCCCTGAAAAAGTTAGTCCAAGACCACTGAGTCCATATACCAGGTTGCACTTACTTTTCCCACAGAATGACAGCTGCCAAAACCCTTTGTCCTATTTAGGAGGGTGCTGTTGGCCCTAAAACACCACTTTTGAAACTTACAGCAGCCACGAGTTGCTACAACAACCTCAGTGCCCTGCAGGAGTGGAATGAGGCAGCTCCAGCAGCAGGGACAGCCCTGAGCTAAAACTAGACTGTGCCTGTGGGTACAGTAATTTACTTCTGTGCCATCATCTCCAAGCCTCCAGGCCCTGTTCCAGTCCCACTTTAGTAGTTCCCAGAAAACAGAATTCAGCTGAAGGAAGGAGTCTTTTATAATTATGAGCCCAGCAAATTTGTCCTAAGTCATTAGTAAAAATGTCAAGTCAAATTGAGTCAAGTATCCACTGTGACCTAGTTCAGTAGTCAATTTGAAGCAATCCTAAAAAGTTCCAATTTGTACAGCTCATATATGTCACATGATATTGAAGAAAGAGCACTAAGCAGGGAGCTGAGATTCCAGGTTCTAGCCACTGGCTCACCATGTGACCATGGAACAATGTCTCTGGCCTCCGTTTGTTTATCTGTAAAATGAGAATGTTGTGGTGGCTAGCCTCCAAGGACTCTCCTCACACTGAAATCTCACAAAATCTCTGTCCAAATGAATCATAAGACCCCTGTCAGGATGCAGACTGCTCCATAAACATTCGCTAACCCACTCTGCAACCTCCATTTCAAGTGTTTCTTGCCACTCTAGAATGTTAATGCTTCCCCAAGGGACCCCTTGGAGCGTGCTGTTATCTGCTGTTCTAAAAAGTACCAGGGTGTTCTCAGATTGTCCAACTCACCCACAGTAAGACCAGGTGGCCCAATGTCCAGGCTGAGTTAGGAGCTTATGTTATAACACCTGATAACCTCAGTGATTCACCAACAGCCCAATTGCTTCCCTCAGGGTCAGGGAGGAAGGTGAGGCCAGAGGTTCCATCATCTTTAGACTTACTCTTCTGAGCAGAAAAGCAGGTGTTCACAGAAAGGACCCCAGCAGATCCAGCCCAGCCAATCCCTACTGATCAGGTTTCCCTGGCTCAAGCAGCTCAGTATTATCATGGATCCTCTAGATTTATGGTCATCGATTTTTTTGTGTGTGTTCAAGTATCCCTTAAAAGAATTTTTAAGACTACGTACCTCTCTCATACACTTTCCCCCACATACATTTATAAGGTGACATTAAAAATTGTACCACAACTGTAGTTACAAAGAATATATGTTCAGATATACTATTTATTATACATAAATTATATACAAATATAATGTACAGAAACAGTCCTCATTGTCAAATAAATGGGCCCAGTCAGCCAGACTTATGTTTGGTCAGAAAAAAGTCTTACCTTATTTTTTTAATTCAGGTGAGTATTGTATTATCATTCCTGTGATGACTACCTCACTTTTGAATTTTAGTTCTATGATGGATGGATGGATGGATGGACGGACAGACAGACTAAAGCAGGAAGGGAAGGGAAGGAAGATAGGTAGATGGATAGATATGCTGACAGACACACAGACAAGACATGGAGCCTTGAAAGTGTTTGGACCTGGATGAAATAAGATACTCCCCTCTTTGAGTTTCTCAAGACACTTTCAGGAGCTCCAAACCTCAACTGTCACCTCATCTCAAGCATCATCGTAAGGTTGTTGACTGATAAGTGAGAGTATATTTTCTTTTGTAAAGTAGAAGAGCAATTATGAAAAGAATATGGGAAAGGAGAACTAGCCAACCATAAACTTGTTCTTAGGCAAGCATGTTTTTAAGAATACACTTAGCACTGGCCTTCAAACCACAGTGTTGTCGGTTGGATTCCCAGTCAGGGCACATGCCTGCGTTGCAGGCCAGGTTCCCAGTAGGGGATGTGTGAGAGGCAACCACACTGATGTTTCTCTCCCTCTCTCTTTCCCTCCCTTCTCTGTCTAAACATAAATAAATTTAAACATTTTTTAAAAAGAGTACATGTAGATGTTGAAAATCTTGAATCTATAAATTGTTTTTTAAGTGTACATACCTGCATATCTCTAGAAGTCTTTGTAGACCCTAGAGGTACATGTTACCTTGTTTGAAGATTATACACAGCTCTAGGCCAGGAGTTACAAATCAGCCACCTTCAGGGGCCAGTCAAGAAACAAGAAAGTATGAGGAGCCAGATGGACAGTGTATGTGACAGTTGGAAGTGGTGAGGACAGGAGTGGATCATGTACACCCTCGTAAATGAACAGCTCTGATTACATTCTTTGTAAAACACTGCACCAGCCAAACACATCTAGTCCAGAGGTGAAGTTGGCCCTGAGGGCCACTAGTTTGCGACTTCTGCCAGGTTCAGAAGGCCTGGGATTTACTTGATTCCAGAGGCTACATTATAAAGTCACATGACTACAGCTGACCTTTGGACAACACGGGTTTGAACTTCGTGAGTCCATTTATATGTAAATCTTTTTCCAATTAATACTGTAAACATATTTTCTTTTCCTTATGATTTTTTAAATCACATTTTTCTCTAGCTTCATTATAAGAATACAGTACCTAGCTCAGTGGACTGAGTGTGGGCCTTCGAACCAGAGTATCGCAGTTCAATTCCCAGTCAGGGCACATGCCTGGGTTGCAGGCCAGTTCCCAGCAGGGAACACATGAGAGGCAACCATACATTGATATTTCTGGCCCTATCTCCTTCCCTTCCCCTGTAAAAATAAATAAATAAAATCTTTTTAAAAAGAATACAGTACATAATACATATATAACACAAAAAATGTATGTTAATTGGCTGTTTATGTTATTGGTAAGGTTTCCGGTCAACGGTAGGCAGTTAGTAGTTAACTTTTTGCAACGTCAGAAATTATACTAGATTTTAGCTGTACGGGAAGTCAGCACCCGTAACCCCTGTGTTGTTCAAGGGTCAGCTGTACAATATTAGCCTGTGTTCTCTAATGTCTGGCCCTCCTCAAACGCTACATCACTTATTCACTGCCCAGACGGGGAGCTTTTTCCTCTACAACACTGTTCCTCTGTGCTGTTTTCTTTACCCAGCAACTACAGCTGCCCTGTGCATACCTCTGTGGTTGTCGAGATGTGTTTGAAGGTTCTTGGGGCTGTTGCCTTTCCCATCCTGCACACAGTCACTTGCAGTTATTCTGCAGCCTCCACTCCGCTAATGAATAGGTCATGTTGTTTCAGGAGCCTCCTTTATGTTGAGCCCAAATCTTTCTTCCTGTTCCTCCTACTCGTTGGCAGTGCTTCTTCCCTCTGCAGCTGCACAGACTAATTGCATTTCTAGAAAGCTAGCATGTGTCTCCCCACCAGCTCTCTCTCCTCCAAGCTAAACATTCTGGTTGTGTCAACTGTCCCTCACAGGATATGGCTGCTAAGATTCTTCCCTTTACATTAAGAATGTTTTGGATAGTCTTAATTTTGTGGGTATTCTTGAATTTGCCAATCTTAAAATGTGATTTTCAGAGCTAAGTCTGACAGCATGAGGACAGTGAAAGTGTTACTTCTCTTACTTTGAACTTTATACCTCTATTAATGCAGCCTAGAACTACTCTCACTTTAAAAATTCTTTAATGATATATTTAAAAAATAAAATAAAATGTGAGAACACCTCAAAGAATAAAAATACAAAATCTTTAATGTGCACTAGGCTCCCATTGAGTTTGTGAAAAACAGAAAGAGTTCAATTATTTTTACAGAAAGTGTTCGTATGCCTAGTCTCCCCATTTTCCAGGTTCACGGTTAATTTTAACCTTTCGTGTGCAGGAGCCTCCCATTTATCTCTGTTAAATTCATTCTTCTCGATGTTGGTATGTTATTGCAGCATGCAGAGTTCTTTGTGAATTTTGACATCTATCATCGATTTATTTATTGGCATTTTTTTTTCCAAATTGTGCCTTCATCCCAGGTTGCCCTTAAGCCAGGCTGCCAAGTAGAGAGCTCTGTGGCCCTTCTCACAGAACATCACCAAAGTTTAGTGCTTATCTGTCCTGGCTGGTGCTCCCATCTCCTGCAGCCCACATGTCTCCAGAGTCCCTTCAACCCCTTTATAGAATAGAAAACTGAGGCTTGCCTAGACATTTATGTGACTTTCTCAAAGCCACCCAGCGCCTAGTAGCAGAGCCAAGATTCAGATTCAGGTCCTGAGGGAAGGCCTTTTCAAACACAACTCAGAAGTCAGAATACATTGATGAGAATCACCAGAATGATTTTTTAAAAACAGAGATGTTTAGGTCTGGAATCTGCCCAGTGAGGTCAGAATTTTCAAGGAAGTCTTGATAATCTGTTTATTTAAAAATAATTCTTATCATCCTGGAAGTTTGGAAACATTGCTTATCTATTATTTCCAACAAAGGGAGTTACATTATCCCAAAAAAACAGAGGTTAGTGTGTGGGAGGTTTGTCAGTAAAACCACACTAACTCTTCTTAACCACCTCTTCATTTTCTGTGTTCTCATAACCAACTAATTAGTAATCCCGTCTGAAATTTTGTCAGGTAACTTGGTGCTTTCCTGCTATATAATTTCTACAATTTACCTCTTCCTCCTTTTGGAAAAATGGAACAAAGTAATCCCATTTCCAGTTTTTTAAGACCACTTCCAACCTGATTTCCCAGGGAGTGTTGGCAGTCATACCAGTGAGGTCTTCCAGTTACCTGGCAGGTTGTGGGTGTGTACCTGGTAGTCTACTCACACCACGTTGGCCGAATGAATGTCTAGAGCTCCAGTGTGCTCAGACCCAGCCTCTAAGTCAGAAGGCCTGGGCCATTTCCATACAAGGAACTTACCCTCAGCAAGGATAGACTGATTCAGAGGGGCATCTTTGAATCCCTCCCTCTGCCTCAAGCCCTTGCTAAGGCTCTTACTAAGCCTCCCTATCCACTCCTCACCAGATCTCCTAGATTCTGCCTGACCCTGGCCACCTGAACTCCAACCCACTAGTTCACACTAGATGGTAGGCACTATGTTAGGCTCTGAGGGAACAGAGCAGAGTAATACATGGCTCCTGCAAAGACCCATCTCCTCATCTGCCCCTCACTCTAACCCCTGACCTGTCTCTGAATTGCTTTCATTCAAGGGCTAGGGTCCTGTTGTTCTGCCTCAGAATAAGTAGGGCATGGCAGAGAATAGGGATGTCCACTCCTGGCTGTCCATTTGGGCACCTCTCCCATACTTCTTGCACTGGTGGAAGTATGAGGGCATCTAAGGACCTTGGCACTCACCTTCTGACATTTGCTAGTCACTGAGTTTTTGTGTGGCATCTCTCCAAGTGTATAGTTCTCACATTCTTCCACCAGTGGGCCAACCAGGCTCCTTGCATCATCATTCCAATTGGCTCTACCTTGAATGCTTGCTGCACAGAGGCCCTTCTTTCATCCGTGACAAATACACTTGCATTTGTATCTCACTTGTGCCTCGAAAACATCCCCTGAAGCTTTGAAGAACACTAATCCCATGAGACACTCTGAAAAAATTTTTAAATTCCCTGCTTAAATAAGCATGGGAAGTGCTGTACGCAAAATCTTTGACGAATCATGATGCCCTTCAGCATATTAAGTAAAAGTAAAAGGCATGTGAAGCTCCGTAGCAGGAATGTGTTCTGGTTTGTTTAAGCTGCTGTTTCCAAACTTCCATGTGTTTTGTGGTTACTGTTAATTGTCAGTTTTTACATAACAGCCAGTGTTCCTCAAACCCACTTTGAGAAATTGCTGCCTAGACAATATTCAGTTATGCAGAGTGGATATAGATATAAACACAGCCTAAACAGTATCTTCCTTATGTATACATTTTTATGATAAAGGTAATATGACCACAATTCAAGAAGTTTAGGGAATAGAGAATTATTTTAAAATATGTATAAGTCCAAAGCCCCAAACAATCTGTATTAAAAGAATTTTTAACCTTGGTAATATCCAGAAATAAAACTCAGGGGTTCATTGAGCTTCTATTAAAAAAGAAACGTACATCTTTATTTTTATTAACCTGTGGTTGAAATTTAACATTTTCTTATATTATAAATATAGGGAAGAAACCACAGTGATGTTGGCAGTGCCTGTGTCTTTGTTACCAACAGAAATAGCAGGTTTTTCATATTATATCCCAATTGTTGCTAATATCTCCAAGAATTATGTATACTCATCACTATTTCAAAAATGTTACTTGGCCTACCATTATATATGGTTTTATTGTGTTGATAAAGAAACACACATTCCTGTTGTACAGTTTTGTTTTATCAGTATTTGATAACTGTTACTCAACATTCTTTTTTTCCTTTGTAATCTTATATATTTGGTTTTATGCATTTAAATGTCATTCTGAGAAGAGATCCTACCTTACCAGACTGCCATAGGGGCCTGTGCCACAAAAACAGGTCAAGAATCCTGCTGTATTTACATCTAATATTTAGCCTTTTGTGCATGTACTTATATCATTATGAAAGACATACAGATATTGAGCAAAGGACATAGAAATGTACAGGGATGGGCAAAAGTAGGTGTAAGTTGTTCATATGGAAAAAGACATGCAGGTTATGATTATTACAGTAGCTTCATTAACTCAAAAGAATGTCACAATGTAACTGTAAACCTATTTTTGCCCACTCTTATAAATATTTTTGTAAATGCACACTTGTATATATTTACATGTATAAAAATTATATACACACATATAAATTTTCCTGTATTTCAAATTATTTTCTTATGCTAGTTGTCCAGAACTATATTTATTCTTGTGTCCTATAATATCCCCTCACAGTAATTCTAGTCAAGTATAGAGGCACATGAACTCCCTCACAGAACATAAGTTTTTGGAAAGTTTCTAAGCCTATTTTGTTAATCTGATTGATGGTTTAGATAAAGCATATTGAAAAAACTTTATTTAAACCAACAATAATTCTTTTGGTCTCTCTACCCATAGAGATTCTAACATTTTTCTTAAGGTCAAAGGTCTTTGATATTATTTTAAGAAGAAAAAAATGTCCTCTTAGCAGACATTTACTTTCCCAAAATTGATGGGCTGGTTCACTTCATCATTTGGGATTGATGGTGATTCTCTGAAGCACCAAAGTTTCTCCTGGAGGGTTTGCCTCAGGGAGCCACGATTTATCGTGGTTTTCCCTAAAAGCTTCAGGATTCGTCTTACAGAGATGTTAACATTCACCCAATGATTAACCTTGTACTTCAAGAAAATTTAGATTTTTTTCCTTTCCCCAGTGAATCAAAATAGGATAAGCCACTTTAACTGCCTGATATAAGCATGAGATAGTCGTTTTGAAAGCTGTAAGTTAAGGTTCACTAGCTCACCATCTGCACTCTTGATAATTATTGATATCTTTCAGGCTCATCAGTTAGCATCCATGCAAGCTCAGGCCTATAATGGTGGGAATGCCAACCCCCCACCTGCTAATAACGAGGAGGAGGAAGATGAAGAGGACGAGTATGATTATGATTATGAATCCCTCTCTGATGGTAAGAGAAACAAACCCTGTGCTGTGTGAAGGGACATGCCTGGATGATTTTCTGTTGGTTTTTTTTTTTTTGGGGGGGGTGTCTTTTTTTCCAAAATAAGCCTAGCGTTCCATAGACCAACAATACAGGCTGTTGTAATATAGTGTCCAAGAGTCTGAATCCCATCACTTAGTGAAGAGGACCAAGTTAGCTACTACACCTACCACTCAAGGAAAGAAGAGGAAGGTGTGGGAAGCAAGAAAGGGGAATGTCATTCCTAAATGGATTTCTAGAGGAAGAGGTGAGGATGGGGTTTCACCGCATAGAGAAGCCCCATTCTCACCTTTCAGGTTCTGGACTGACGGATGCTTTTGGCAGGAACTGTAGATTTTTGAAATACCTACAGTATTTTAAAGATCCTACAAAATACTTTGTAGGTATTTTAAAAATACCTGCAAAGATCCAGGAACTGGATCTTTGTTGTCTCCTGCACCACCTGCAGGGGGCAGCATCACGTTTCTGTACTCTACTCCTTCTTTTCACTCCTGCTTCCTAGGAGTATGAAAAAGAAAGAAGCATCTTTTCCCTATCCCACATTACTAAGCCAACGAGACGTTTTCTTCTGGCCCCGTTGAAGGGAGAAAACATGGGTGATGACTAATGGTGCAATACAAAAAAGTCACATAAATGATGTTATCTAGAGATTACAGATAAAGGACTCTTCTTACATGGGAATTAAATTTCAAGTGTGTTTTGTTTACACTAAATGAGTGTCATTTGTTATAGATTGCAAAATGTTTTCTCAGGTACCATTGCTGATGGTAGACTTTTATTTTGGCAACTTCTGGAAGACAAATTGTAGTAAGGAAAATATGCCAAAGTTCCTATTTACATAAACATGATATATGTAGAATATGTTACTTATAAGTAGGATAATTGTTTTGCAAATATGCAGATTTGCACAGACCAGCAACTATTTACCACTGATGTTAAGACAGCCAAGCTGCCCTCCAAATGTCTGTGTCTCACCCAGCAGAACTGTCTCCTCGCCATGTTTGGTTCATGAACTTCCATCATGGCCAGCAGTTACATACAGGCTCTTTGTGCCCCACCCCCCAAATACAATACTAGTCTGTCCATTTTTTTAAAGTAAAGTATAGTTAATATACAATATTATGTTAGTTTCAGGTAAGCAACACAGTGACTCAACATTTATATTCCTTACAATATGATCACCACAGTAAGTCCAGTAACCATCTGTAACCATACAGTGTTACTAGGATAATACTATTTTTTTCTGTGCCGTGCATTACATCCCTGTGGCTTTTTAAAAAATACCTGGAGGTCTGTGCCTCCTTTTCTCCCTTTTCCCCCTTTCACTCGTCCCCCATGCCCTTCCCTTCTGGCAACCATCAGTTTGTTCTCTGTATCAGTGAGTCTGTTTCTGTTTTGTTTTGTTTCTTTTTTCTTTTTTTTTAGATTTCACATGGTCTTTGTCTTTCTCTGTCTTACTTATTTCACTTAGCATATTACTTTCTAGTTCCATCCTTGTTGTTGCCGATGGCAAGATTTCATTCTTTTTGGCCTTCCGCCAAGATGGAGGTGTAGGTGGAAACACTTTGCTTCCTCGCACAACCAAATCTAAAAACAACAAAGTTTTAACAATAATAAACGCAATCAAACCACAGAAAATCGAACAATATGGAGTCCGAAGCTAGCAGCAGAGTGGGTCGGGCCAGGCAAAAAAGATCCCCTGACCTGGGTGGCGCTCAGGCAGCCAAGGGCAAGGTGTGGGGTAGCTGTGGGCAGACCCAGAGAAGGCTCAGTGTGGCTGGCTGTTTGAGGTCTCGCATTTGCGCACAGACAAACCAGTGAAGAGACGTGCGTTGAGACAGACCACGCAGGCCCCAGAGCAGGGCACCGGGCTCGCACATTTGCGCTCAGATAAACAGGCTGGGGCGAGCGGAGAGGACCACCATTGCTCCCTCTCTGACCCCACCCCCACATACAGCGTCACAAACCAGCGACCTGGGTGGCCCCGCCCTGGTGAACATCTAAGGTGCCTCTCCTCATATGTAACAGGCACAAACAGATCAAAACATGGCTCAAGAACAACTCAGAGCCCCAGAGCCGATAAATCTAAGCAATGAAGAAATAGCCAAATTTCAGATGCACAGTTCAAAACATTGGTCATCAGGATGCTCACAGAACTGGTTGATTTTAGTCACAAATTAGAGGAACACATGAAGGCTAAACTAATTGAAATGAAGAGAAATGCACAGGAAAGCAATCGTGATGGAAAGGAAACTGGGACTCAGCTCAAGGGAGCAGACCAGAAGGAAGGAAAAAATGACCAAACAGAAAAATATGAAGAAACAAGAGTTCAAAAAAATGAGGAGAGGCTTAGGAACCTCCAGGACATCTTTAAATGCTCCAACATCCGAATTATAGGAGTACCAGAAGAGGAAGAGGAACAGTCACCAGTGGAAAACTTATTTGAACAAATAATAAAAGAGAACTTCCCCATTCTGGCAAAGGCAATAAACTTCCAGGAAATCCAGGAAGCTCAGAGAGTCCCAAAGAACTTGGACCCAAGAAGGAACACACCAAGGCACATCATAATTACATTAGCCAAGATTAAAATGAAGGAGAGAATTCTAGAAGCAGCAAGAGATAAGGGGACAGTCACCTACAAAGGAGTTCCCATCAGACTGTCAGCTGATTTCTCAAAAGAGACCTTACAGGCAAGAAGGACTGGAAAGAAGTATTCCAAGTCATGAAATCCAAAGACCTACAAACAAGATTGCTCTATCCAGCAAAGCTTTCATTTAGAATGGAAGGGCAGATAAAGTGCTTCTCAGATAAGATCAAATTCAAGGAGTTCATCATCACCAAGCCCTTATTATATGAAATGTTAAAGGGACTTACCTAAGAAAAAGAAGATAAAAAAGATGAACAGTGAAAGGACAGCAAACTCACAGTTACTAAGAACCACACCTAAAACAAAAGCAAATTAAGAGGACAGCTAGATCAGGAGTAAACCATAGAAATGAAGATCATGTGGAGGGTTAGAAACAGGGGAGTGGGAGAAGGGGGGAGAAGGTACAGAAAATAAGGAGCATAGACAGTAGATGGAAAATAGGGGGGAGGGTAAGAATAGTAGGGGAAATATAGAATCTAAAGAACTTGAGACACGTGTTCATGAACTAAAGGGGGGATGGTGGGGGAGGGGTGTGCAGAGAGGAGGGGAATGAAGGGGGGAATAGAACAAATGTAATGGCATAATCAATAAAATTAAAAAATATATATTAAAAAAAGATTTCATTCTTTTTTTTATGACTGAGTAATATTTCATTGTGTGTGTGTATGTGTCTGTGTGTGTGTGTGTATCTCATGTCTTTTTTACCCATTCATGTATCCATGGGCATTTAGGTTGCTTTTATGTCTTGGCTATTGTGAATAATGCAACAATGAACATAGAGATGCATATAATTTTCAAATTATTGTTTTTGTTTTCTTCAGATAGATATTCAGAAGTGGAATTGCTGTGTCCCTTTAATGTTTGACCTTAATAATAGTTGATTGCTTCATGTCATCAACTAAAAACCAATTTATTTGACCTGAAATCCCATCAGATAATACAAGGGACTTATTCTCTAATGGGGAGGTCAAAAGAGGAGTAAAAAATGAAAAAGCGTCAATGTAATTCTTGTATTTTTTCCTGAAAAGCTGTGGGAATATGAATATTTTTATGTTGACTTATCTTTCCCCATGGGTTCCTATGACAGTCATGGTGATGTTTTCCTATAAAAGAACAAATTTATTCATATAAGAAGTGAAAACCACATTTAAGATATCAACCAATCTAGATGTCATTTGCTTTTGTAAGAAGTTAGTGCACTGGAAGGTAAATTCACTACCATAAAACCATCCTGTGTATTTTCTGTACTTTTGTAATGAGGAAGAAGATGGATTTTCTTAATTACTAATATTATTATTATTATTATTATTATTATTATTATTATAGGTGTTTTGATATACAAATAACAAAGTGAACAGGTAGGAGAAGGATCTTTCTGGTTTACAGACACACATCAGAGACAGTGCAGGCTGGGTTCCAGACCACCACAATAAAGCAAGTCATAATCTTTTTGCTGGTGGAGGATCTTGTAAAAAAATGCAGTTTGTGGGGGGGGAAATGCAATATTAGTAAGACACAGTAAAATGAGAGGTATGCCTGTATTTTCAGTAAAATTTCAACCCTACCCCACCATATTTCTATATACTTTAGTGTTCCTTTGAGACCTACCTGTGCTGTGATGAGGTGTGCAGAGAGAGAGGGCCCCACCGGGTTCCGCCCCAGGGGACAGGAGACTTGGGCATTGTCCCTTTACCACTTTAGGCCTCAGGCCTCAGATGTGTCATGAGATGGTTCTGTTACACGTTGACTGATGTTCTCCCTCCTTCCAGCACTACCGTCTAGGATGTACAACACTTAAATCCACTGCAGCCACACGAGTATTTTCCATTTCGTTAGTAGATTCCTCTCACTGCCTGGTTCTCACGCTGGCCTTATCATTATGTCATGACTTGTTTAAGCTTGTCCTATTCAGGTTTCTTTCTGCTACTGTTAAGTACCCTGTCAGTCTCGTATTTTTGGCTGTGGTACATGTTGCCTCGCTCATTTCTACTTCCCTGTACCACCTTCACTTTGTCCAGCTGAGATGAGAAGGAAATAGAAACCTGCCTGCTGTGGGTAGGACCATTCCCAGCTTCATAAGGGGACCTCAGAGGTTTCTAAGCTTCTTATAATGCTGGGTGCAGTTGAGGATGAGATGGGGGCTGTGGCCAGTCGCCTCAAAGAAATAAACATGCTCTCAAATTTCTACATAAAATCACAAGGAGTGTTCACAGGCCTTCTCTGGTGCTTCGAAGCAGCCCAGGCTGGGAACCCATCTTTAGAATCTGGGTGGCCCAGTTTACTTCTGTGACAGCTGCCCTGGTCTTCAATTTTCACATCTATAAAACGAATTCATCTGTAGCCTTTTTTTGGCTATAAAGATGTAATGATTCCAAAACTACTTCCAGAAAATACAAAGGAAGTTCCAAATGAGGCTCATGTATTTCAGGAACCGCTACTCTGACTTTTAGGCAGTGTGTTCTAAATGACTATTTATTTAAGTAAATTTCATTAAATAAATATAGATTAATTTTCCCGATCTTGCCATTTATCCTGACTAGCTTTGAACATGTACCAGAGTACAGATTTGAATTGGCAACTTAATATAGAGCTATTCTTCGATAATAACTACATGACTCTAACAAATTAATCAACTTATATCCATTTGACATAATGTATTATTGGGAGTATTAATATAAAATGTGAGTGTGGAGGCATGATCAACATTAACAGCATGTGCACTTCTTTTATTGTTAGCTGTTGCATCCTTAACGGTCAAAATATTGAATTGATGGAAGATTCCTTGTTTCATTGATCCCATCACCTATGCTGTTGTTATTTATGCTTTGCTTCCTACCTTAGTTTAATTTATCTGGCTCTTTTGTCTTAACTTTTCTTACTTTTCTTCCCTTCCTGACTCTGTTTCTCTGTAGCAGATGTCCTTACTGCTTCTCCTGCTCCTAACTATCAGGAAGGTAAAGCCATTTGAACTGAGCGTTTTCACTGCATGAGCGTCAGCATCAGTTTCCAGTTTCTTAGGCCTGATTAGCATGAAGCTGTGGCACTCGGGTAAATGACAATGTAGTAGAATAATTGAGCTCACAGACGTCTTGGCAGCCTGCATGGCTCTGATTTGGTCTAAGGATATTTTGGTCTAAGCATTTGTGGTCTGATGAGATAGTAAATCCGAGGTGAGAAATCTGCTTTCTTGTTTTTCATTTTAAGAGAATATAAAGTCATTTTGAGTAGAAATTGAAAGCAAGAGCAAAGTATGAAATTATCTCATATTTTAGATTAATTCCTATCCCTAAGATTCTCACTTAATAAATTGATTTTTAAAATTGTGAAAACTTTACTTTCCAATGAAATATAATTATGAAAAGTGCATTGCAAATGACAGTGTCCTTTTTTCTTCTGCTTTTGACATTTCTAGAGGTAAAAGAAGCTAACAGCTTCATTTTAAAGTGAGAGTGAGTAAATATTGTGTGCGCCATCTGGAAGTGCTTCAACCACTAAATCCTTCCCAAACTGGTGTGCCGAGAGCTTCTTGACACAGATTATCCTCCATAATCTTTGCGTACTTCATCTACATGAAAATGAGCCTTCTCATTTAGATTATGTCTATATGACACATTGTTTAACAAAGTGAAAAATGATGCTTCAAGCCACCATTTTGGTAACATGTAGGCAGCCTCGGCCTTATGGGCAAGCACGAGTATCTGGATATGTTTGCAATGACGTAGACATAGCCCTTAAGTGAAACATTTGGTTCTTGTCTGCTGAAACCTTCCAACTCATTTTCAGACAACATTCTAGAAGACAGACCTGAAAATAAATCATGTAACGACAAGCTTCAGTTTGAGTATAGTGAAGAAATCCCCAAGAGGATAAAGAAAGCAGATAACTCTGCTTGCAGCAAAGGAAAGGTGGGTGAATGGTTTCTGTGAAATTGCATGTGTTGGTTTCAGGTGGGATTTCACTCCCTCCCTATCCCTTCCCTTCACCTTTCCCCTTGCTTTCCCTTAGATGCCAAAGCCCACATGGTGATGCTATGGGGCACCCACCTGCCATTTGTAGAAGGTTAGTCATTGACTTATCCAACCAGTACCTTCTGAAGGTGTACTGTGTGGCCAACACTGAGGTGGCACAGGAGGTTGTTTGGTGATGGAGACCAACCTGTAAACAGTGCTTGTAGCAGATAAAAACAGGTCATGCAGGCCTAAAGAACAGCCTGGTACCTTCAAGGAATTGCTAGGAGCTTTAAAGATGGTTGGGATGACCAAGAAGATTTACGGGGATAGACCATGAAGTGTTAATAGAGGACTAACACTGAGATGGAAGGATACATGAGATACCCACATCCTACCCTCAGGGGCCTCCCAGTATGTAGGCTGTGAGCCAGTCTACAAAATACCGGCCCTGACATTGTTGGAGAACAGAATAATATAATATGTCAAAAATGTGAGCTATAGAAGAAGCAAGCTCAATTACCTATTCATTCAACAAATATACATGGACTATTCCACATTTACAGCACTGAACTATATCCCATGAATTACACTCATTTCTTACTCTCAGAAAGTTTGTACTCTGCCTTGGCTGGTGTGGCTCAGTGGATTGAGCACTGGCCTGTGAACCAAAGAGTCACCAGTTTGATTCCCAGTCAGGACACATGCCTGGATTGCTGGCCAAGGTCCCCAGTGGGGGTGAGAAGCTGAGAGGCAACCACACACTGATGTTTCTCTCCCTCTCTCCCTCCTTTCCTCTCTGTCTAAAAATAAATAAATAAAGTCTTTTTTAAAAAGAAAGTTTTTACTCTAGGGAAGGTGTTAGGACACAAGGGTAAATATAGAGAAGGTGAAACACACTGGTGACATGAGAAAGGAACAGAGAAAGTGCTCGTGGGTGGCATATGCCTCCCATGTCAACTGACATTATTTTTCCTTTGACAGGTATATGACATGGAGCTGGGAGAAGAATTTCATCTTCCTCAGAATAAAAAGGAAAGCAGACAGATTGCACCCGAGCTTTCTGACCTTGTCATCTATTGTCAAGCAGTAAAATTTCCAGGTAAGAAGAAGGAAAATCATCTAAAACCTTTAAAGGTATCAAAAGATAATAATATACTATTTATTTAATTGCACATTGTGAATACTCTCAAAATAGCTAAATTGTGTTGCAGAATTCATTGTTATAATACCTCATAAATATTTGTTACTATTGTTATTTGCTGTGATGCTCATGAGTAAAATACCATAAAATGTTTACTTTCCAGATTATATTATGTCTTTTTAGTTTATCTAATATTTGATAATGATAATATTCATAACATCTAGCAGCTATATTTTATTAAGCATTTAAGTACCAGGATTTGTGTCAGTATTTTACATACATCATCTTATTGCCTTCCTAATAAGTCTATGAGGTAGTAGATTTCCTCGTTTTTAAATACAACAAGTCTGAGAGAAAGTAATTGGCCCTATATTTCAGAGTGGATCTGTTAAGACTCTTTTGTTTAAAAAGTGGCAGAAATTGACTTAAGCAAAGAGAAGTTTATTGGCTTATGAATTGAAAAATGAAGAAAGTGAAGGGAGCTTTGAGCAGTACGGTTCAGTGGGTTGGGTGTCATCCTCAAAACAAAAGGTCACCAGTTTGATTCCTGGTCATGGCGCATCCCTGGGTTGCAGGTTAGGTCCCCAGTCTGGGCATCTTTGAGGGGTGGCCAATCGGTGTTTCTCACTCTCTCTTTATCCTTCTCTTCCCCTCTCTCTGAAAAAAAAAAAATTAAGTAAATAAAATAAAAATTTTTTAAAAGAAAGAAAAGTGAAGGGATACCAGTTTCAGGCACAGCATGATCCAGGGCTGTCTCTCATGCATTTGTCACTGTCTCCCCTCCGTTGGCCCTGTTCTCTTTGTGGTTGTCAGGCAGCTGCTACAAGCTCACACTACATGTTTCCATATTCAGCTTCAGTGTAAGAATCTCTTCCAGAACTTTCAGCAGCAGTTTGATTGTTTTTCATTAGTCCTTCTTCCATCCCTGAACCAATCCCTGTGGCCAAGGGCAGACAGTGTTCTGACATTCTAAGGCCCAGTCACATGCCCCTTCCCTCAGCTGAGTAGCAAGACTACACCCAAACCACAAGGACCAAGAGCGGGGTTGTTTCAGTGGGAGAAAAGGCTTTTCCAATTGGCCATTTCTAGAAGTACAGTGCTGGTAAACTGCTTCCCCCAAAAGCTTCATTTCAGCTAATAAATGACAGGACCACAATTGTAAAGCCTATCCACCTCCATTGCACTAGCTCGCCTCTCTTGTTAGGGTGTGTTGTCAGCGAGCTGCCCCAGCTGTGTGCCCACAAAGGGGGCAGCAGGAAGCGGAGGGCACAGCGTGAAAATCCACAAATATGTGGAGGTCAGAAAACTTCATCTCCTTATACTAACCAAAAGGATTCCCTTGCACAAGGTCTCTGGAGACAGAAAAGCCTCTGGAATTGGGGGGTTGTATAAATGTTGGTAAACAGGGTATAGAAACCTGGCCTGCAGAGGGAGTTAAAATACCTACCCTCATTATTTTCAATATGGTCTGAAAGGAGATCCTGGCTTCCAGAGGTTCAACTTCAGCACCAGTTCTCACACTCTACCCTGAAAGTGGGGCAAAGGTATTGGACTATTTACAAATTAGGTAATAGTGTTCTTTTTACACACCGGAAGAAATTTTATGTGTATTTTTTTAATCCTCACCCAAGGATATGTTTATTGATTTTAGAGAGAGTGGAAGGGAGAGAGAAAGAAACACCGATATGAGAGAGAAACATCAGTCCGTTGCCTCCTGTATGTGCCCCAACCAGGAATCGAACCCACATCCTAGGTATGTGCCCTGACCAAAGATCAAACCCGCAACCTTTTGGTGTACGGGACGATGCTCCAACCAACTGAGCCACCAGGCCAGGGCAACTGTTGGGAATTCTTGTCAGCTGCTGCTGCTCATCTGCCAGCAAATGCTGTTGAAGAGGATGTGTGAATGGATGAATAACAAGCAAAGATTTCAAAGAAATGCAGTAACCTCGCCACTTAAGTTTAGTTTCACGGATCATGACTTCCTCTCATGTAACTACAACATGACCATAGTCACAGCTGGTGAAATTGTTCTTATGATGAGGAAAAATCCTTTTTCTGTCACAAGAGCCTCGTGGCCTGTGTGTCCTTAATCACAGGAACAAGCGAGGCCACTTCATCCTAGAGTCCCACTCACCGCATCTCTTTTCTTTATAAATTCAGCTGACACTGTACCCAAACCATTCTGGGCTTTGTCTTTTCTTCTCAAGCACCAAGGAAATAAAGAGCCCTTATTCCCAAAGGCATTTGAAGTCAGTGTGAAAGCCCCACTTCAACGGTAGGACTCACCTCCTCAACAGCCTTGACTAAGTTAACTTTCCTGCACTTTGGATCCCTTGTCCCTAAAAGAGACATAATAATCCTAACTTGCAGGGTTGTTGTTGTTATACTATCTGTAAATAGCTGGCTCTCTAGAAATGGTGGTGGTTGCTGTTCCTACTGGTAAAGGGGCCAATGGGGCAGATGAAGGCTCTTTGCTGCTCCTTCTGTTACTTCTGCAGCCTCTTTGGATTCTCCCCTTTCTTGGTGGCCCAGCCCTTGTTCTTTCTTCCTTACCCCACCCTGAGGGAACAATCAGGCCCTTCACCGAAGGTCGCACATCCCTGGGGAATGTGAGCACATGCCAGGATGTGTGCAAAAGCACCAGAATGAACACGGTGCCTCACTCAGGCCCCTCATTGTTTTTACTTGGGAGAAGTAAATCTACTGTTATGATATTGTGTAGAGGGCAAAATTCATACACAATTTTAAGATAAATAATAACTCATTAGTGCAAGTTTGTGCGTCTTTGTACTAATGGATACTTCAGAGAAAAAAAAATAAGAAGCCCCACAGCTCCTATGAACTGGGTACTTTCTCCGAACAAGACACTCTACTAAATACGTATATATACACATTATCTCACTTAATCGTAACCACAGCCCTTTTACAGATGAGGAGGAAGTTGGGCAGAGGGATTAAATAACTTTGATGAGGTCACTCTACCAGGAACTGGATTTAAACCCCACAGTTTATGCTTTTATTACATACTACTTTATCCTGTCTTCTTCGATGATGTTTTTGGAAAGTGCATTTTCATCTCAGAGCGAACCTCCTGAACGCTGCTCCAGCTGAAGGAATTACTCTCTCATGGTACAATTGTAGACAGTCAGACAGTTTGGAGGCAACTCTGGCTTCACTGGTGCCTTTCACTCATGCTTCCTGCCCTGGGTCCAGGCCTGTGTGGTGTGCATTCACTTCCTCACTCAGCAAATATCTGTGGAATCGCTGCTGTGTACCAGGCACTGTGCTGGGCACAAAGGATCCAGAGAGTGAGAAAGAGAAGCATGAACATCACTATCATAAAATGCATTTCCCATCACCCTGACTGGTGTGGCTCATTTGGTTGGGCATCATCCCGCAGAGCGAGAGGTCACTTGCTGGATTCCTGGTTGGGACCCGTGCCTGGGTTCTGGATTTGTTCCGTGGACAGGGTGTGTAGGAGTGGCAGCGGATCAGTGTTTCTCTCCTCTCTTCCTCCTTCCCTTCCCTTCTCTCTAAAAAAATACATAAATAAAATATTTTTTTAAATGTATGTCCCATTTAATTCTCAGACGAACCCTGTGAGTTCCTAACATTACACCCATTTTGAGGCTAAGGAAACTGAGGAAGAGAGAAGGTAGATGTTAAGTCAAGGCTCACATACTGGCAGGAATTCAACCTAGAAAATATGACTACAATCTGGCTACTTACCATTCTTTCATCTCTCCAGATTGAGTAATTAGGTCCTCATAATTAATGTGGACCAGAGCACTTTCTTTGTATGTGCCTTTTCAAAATCTGCCTGGTGCGCCATCAAGTGGGGGTAGGTGTGACTTCATGCTGGTTCTGTAGTAATCATGTAGCTCTTGTCACAGGTGCCCACAGAGATTTAAAAAAAAACAACTTTGCTCTAATTTCCTGCAGTACTATTATTAACAGTGCTAAAAATGCTAGTAGGTCTTTTGTACTGGGTTACAAGGGAGTAGTAGGACTTCAAAATAAACATTAACAAGGATGGAAAATGTTGAGTTCCCTCGCTTGTAGTTTTTGGCTTATTTATTTTCATTTTATGGGAACAGGCCTGTCAACTCTAAATGCATCTGGCTCTAGCAGAGGAAAAGAAAGAAAAAGCAGGAAGTCCATTTTTGGCAACAATCCGGGCAGAATGAGCCCTGGGGAGACAGCATCGTTTAACAAAACATCTGGAAAAAGTAAAGTCACCTTCTCACAGTATCTTTGCTTGGTTTCGCATGCTGGATACGTCCGACATTTCAGCGTCTTAAGCACGTCCCTTGAACTTTTTAATTCTTTTTTTATTTTCCTGAATGTTTATATCACCTAAGTGTGGTATAAATATTTTTAAAATTTACATCTTTAACTTGCTAAAAAATAGTGTTTCACTGAAGATGTTCTAACAGTGTTTGCCTCAAAAGGAAAATATTGGAACCACCTTGGAACATTCTAGTGGTTATTGGAACTGCTTTCTTCACCATTATAACTCCAGAAGATATATCCATTTTATTACTAATTACTTTTTATTATAAAAGTAATAAATTCTCATAGTTAAAAAATGCAAATAATATAGGGTATTATTAAAATTCCTTTCCATTCTCAATGGCTCAGTTCTACTCCCCAGAGGTAACCACTGTTAAGTTTATTGTGTTTTGTTCAAGAAAAATAAGATCCTTTTTAAGAGGATCCAAATGGGATATAACTGAACACACTTGTATAACTTTTATAGTGCTGTAACTTTTCAAATCATTTTCTGTGCATTTGTCTCCCTCATTCTACCTAGTGCCTCTGTGCCATTCCGTTGTATGCCTACTGTCATGCATTTAACCACTTCCTCGCTGGTAGAACATTTGGGTTGCTTCCTGGGTTTTGGCGTTTTTGGGGGGGTTGCTTTTTTTTGCTATAAAAAATGCTAGAGTGAACACTCTTGTACATATATTGTTGTGTATTGTGCAAATATGTTCACAGGACAGATGCGGTACTGAGGCAACGGACTTTCAGGCTTTTAATTTAAATTGGTGTTTCTATGCCCATTTTTAAACTCATTAGCTATCATTTTGTTTCAAGGAGGTGGACTAACTCACAAGAAACACTATTATAGTGTCACACTATTATAGTGTACACTTAATAGTGAAACGCTAACACTAATAAGATCTAGTGACGTGGTTAGAGTTGTTTACTGGGATGTTGTTCAGGTTGATCTTTCTAAAACATTTAAAGTTTTCTGCACTAATCTAAGGCTAATCTTTTGGGGGGTTTAGGTTCCTGTGAAGGAATGCGACAGGCCTGGGAGGAATCTTCTTCCCCCCTCAGCCCAACCACGTCCCTCAGCGCTATCATTAGAACTCCCAAATGTTACCATATCTCATCGCTGAATGAAAATGCCGCCAAACGTCTGTGTCGCAGGTATTCTCAGAAACTGATCCAGCACACCACCTGTCAGCTGCTCAGGACCTATCCGGCCGCCACCCGCATCGACTCGTCCAACCCCAACCCCCTCATGTTCTGGCTGCATGGGATACAGCTCGTGGCACTGAACTACCAGACTGATGGTAATGGGCCTGCTGCACCCCCAAGGGGGCCTCTCACCTCTCTCCTCTGTGTCTTATACTTCAGTAAACCTGGTTCAACAAACATTTCTTTAAAGGGGCAAGGTTCCAGATGGGGGCATACCGTATGTAAGAGTGAAACTACAGGTGAATTTGATGCTGAATTGTACCCTTGATGTTTCAGAGTTGAGGTGATAGAAAAGCACCTTCAAAAGGTCCCTGATAATAGTATCCTGTTCTTGCCCACTTTTAAGGCACCTTTTAAACATAAGGCTGCTCTTGTGTGTCTTTGAGCAGGACACTGTTTAGGTCTGTGTCTAGTTTTCTTCTCAAGATCCTTTGGTGCAGAGTTCCCAACACCCCTTAGTGAGCTATCTTGCTAAGGTATTCTTTGCCATCAAAAAGTAGTTGTCACTCCAAACAAATTGCAAGTTAAAACCATTTTAGCTTCTTCTCATCCCTTTGAGATTGAAATGGAGACTGTTGATCATTGCTCTAAGAGCAGCCGACAGAGACAAAACAAATATGTGAATGACATGAGCTGAGAAGGTGGGGTTTGTGTTTCTCCACTGTTGATAAAACTCTCATAATGGGAACAACTGATGAGGTCTAAAAGTCCAAAATAAAAGCTACCATTTTACTGCACACTCGCTGTGCGCCAGGCCCTATGCTGAATTTTCCTTGACCCCCATTATCTTGTTCAGTCTTTGCAACATCCCTGAGTGGTGTGTACCGTGATGATCCCCATTCCTCGGATGAGCTGACCAAGTCACAGAATGTTCGATTTTCTCAGGGTCACAGAATGATTAACAGTAATACATTTGAGGACTCGGGTAGTTTAGAGGATAAAGTTTTTTTTTTTCCACTTGGTTATGGAAGCAGGAGGGCAGCTGCAGAAGATAAAGCAAAAGTAGGTGGGGACTGTTTCCTCCAGCTCACTCAGAAGCCAGTCTTTCCTTTGAACGGCCATGCAGCCTTTTCATCCTCTCACGTGGGCTGTCTCAGATCCTAACTAATAGTACTGGCCCATCAACCACAGCATAGCCCTATCTCCAGCCAAGGTCAAAGCCACCTTTAGCTCTGGGACCAGCTAGCTACCTAACACAGTGCCAACAGTGCTCATTTGTGGCTGACCCTGCAGCCTTTTTTTTTTTTTTGCCCTTGTTATATTTGCTTCTTTTGATTGAAATTAAATAACATAATGCAGGTGAAATACCATTCTCAGCATAGCGGCTGGCACATAGAGAGCATTCCACAAATGTTAACGATGATTAAGTGTTTTTGATAAGTTATGAAAACAGTATGATTTGGAGTCACACAAATGGAAATAATAATGAAATATTTTCAAAGTTGTAAAAATTTCTTTTTAATCTGTCCCAAGTGGCTTGTGGGCTCACATCTCTGACCCTGTCTGTAGCCCTGTGTCCACTGGCGCCCTTGGTTATTATGATACTGAAATATTTTAAGTAAACTGAAATGACTAGCAAATGGTTTTCTCAAGGAAATAGAAATGCATTTGGTTTTGGATGTGCCCTTTCTCCTGATGTGCTGAGGCCGATGCAGACACACTGGCTCCAATGATGGCAAAGAGAGCCACCGCTGAATGGAATTGCCCCTCCTTGGGCACCCCTGCAGTCCAGAAAGCACACAGTGAGGCTACAGCTTGGTCTTCACTCACCCCTGAAGGCTTTGCCTTTTTCCCAAGTCAAGCTGGGAGTCCATGTTTGAGCTGCCTGCTCAAGGGAGGCAGATGGCTGTGTGGATGGTTCACCTTCAAGTTTCGCTATATAATCTTTTAACCCAGGAGAGAGTGCTCCCAAAGACCTCCCCTGATCCAATGCAGCGAGCAATGATTAAACATCTCCCCATGTTGGAAAAAGCACAAGCAACATGCAGTTTCAGCATGTTCCTCTGCAGAAATGGCCTTCATTTATACAGACAGGGGATAGAGCCTGGTAAATGTCTTGCACACAGCAGACTCAATACATGCACGCTGAGCTGAAATAGACTATCCCTGTCTGTACCACTACAGTCCAAACTTGTGGTTCTTGATGTTTGACCCAGATTTTTTCTAGGTACTTTTCTGTGAATTGAAAGTTCAAATAGAGAGATAAAGGTTAATGTTGGAATCACTGTATTTTAATTTCCACAAAAAAATTCCTAGCTTAGGGAGTGCTTGATTTTCCATCAAACATCCCAAACAAGTATCAGAGAACCTTCTCCGGTATCCCTCTAGCTTCCAGCAGTGTTCCATGCATCATCTGTCTCACCATTTCCTGAATTTGAGGGCACCCCAATGCCCCAAAAGGGTGTCTGTGGATTTGAGTTATCTCTTCCCAGGATTTCTGATGGCTCCATCAACTGCAAGAAGGCTGCAGTGGTCCGGAACCAGGAATAGCCCAGTCTACACTCAGTAAAACCTACTCTTGCGTTTGGAAACTGACTTGAGCCTGGTATGCAAGCCCTGCTTGTTGCTGGCAGCCATCCCTCACTCAATGTTCTTTCCTTCAGGGCAGAACAGTTTCTGCCGGGTGTCCCAAGACTGACAAGTGTATAGACATGTGGCCCCAGTCAAACAAAAGCTTCTGTTAGTATTTAACATGCTTTCTTGAATGATTGTCAAATTCTTTGCAATGATTTTTCCAGCCCCCAAGTATAGGCATAATTATTACAGGAATGGTGTCTAACTAACACAGGACTTTAAAATTAATAGAAGATCATAAAAGCAATGCTATGGCTGATCTGCCATCACATGCAGGACTGAGAGGGGTATCGTGTGACACGGATTCTTGCACACTCTTTCACTTGGTTACAACAGGGGTTTTAAACCTATAGCCCCAGATGAAATCCTGGAACCACCCTAGGCTGTGTAGGAGGGCTAGATGTGATGTCCCACCTTTATTTCAAACTGAGCAGCTCCACCTGGATCTGTTTTACCTATTGCATTTCTAGATGCAATTGTAGTAAACAAAAAGTGCTTTAAAGCTTTAGAAAGCCACAAGATAGACACAGACTTCATGAAGTCAGACTTCAAACCCAAACAGGTGTTGACATCATAATCATAACCTAACAGCCCCTGTTTCTCAAGACCTTCTATGTGCCAAATGCTGGGTAGGGACTCACATTATCTCATTTATGATACATTATGTGATTCGGCTGTTAAGATTGGGAACTATGGGGTAGGCTGTCAGGGCTTGAACCCCAGCACCCCCTTCTTACTAACAGTGTGCTTTGGGTTCTTTCATTTCTTGTGCCTCAATTTCCTCATCTATAAAAAGGAGAACACTTCATGGGTTATTGGGAAGCATTAATACCATTAAAGTGCTTAGAATGGGTACCTTAGAAGAGTGTAGTATGTGTGAACTGCTACAGTTTTCAGTAACATACAACCAGCTCACATTCCTCAACTCTGCATGAGCTAGTTGCTTCACTCACTCAGCTATCCCAGCCATCCCAGCCCAAGTCTGTGTTCCTCTGTCACCAAGTAGCCTGGGAAAAGAATTCTCTTCTTACTGCAGGCAAGACAGTCAGCCTCAGTGAATCAGTCCCTTCAGGACTGGAAGGGGCCGGAGACACAGGGTCCAGTGCACTGATTTTATATGTAAGGAGACCGAGCCCAAGTGGCTTTCACAGGTCTAAGACATCTTACCCCAAGAAGTCCTGCACACAATCCTGGCCAACTCCACATACACAGACAGGTTTTACTCACGAGACACGTGGAGGCCAACTGCATATTTTTCCGTGATGCTTACCACACTTTCCCTTGATGTCGGTCCATGTAGCAAAATTTAGTCTGCACATGGAAGGAATCTATCAGAGGGAATATTTGTCAGGTGTGTCTCATAAACTCGCTGTTCATTTGGGCAACCTCCATACAGACTTGCGCAATCAGATGAGCATTCGAGTGTGTAAGAGCCCGAAACAGGGCAGGAATCCCATCGTGCAGCACAGAACTGGGCCAAGTGAAATCCGGCCAGGGAAGACTGGAAGCCGCCGTGAGGGTTCCCAGAGTTTACGACAGAGGGGATCGTGGACATGATGTGAATCACATGTGATGATAGTGTTTTTTCCTATTTAACTACAATTAAAAAAGAGGTATAAGTGTTGTAATATATGAGTTGAAATTGAGATTTCATGGAAAAATATATTTCTCTGGCTCTTCTCCCAGTCTTTCTTGGATTATTGAGATTTTATCTTATACTTGCAAAAGCAAGAATTGGTCATACAGTTATCTGCATGGTTTAGCATATGGGGATAAGAAAATGCTTTTATTATTCCTTTCTAAGAGTCAGTATAAAATGATGTATGTCAAAGATATTTTTTGGATGGGTGTTGTAAATTTTTATTTGCCAAAGGAGTTTTTTAAGTGGTGGAACCTGGGTTGGGGTGAGAATGCTGGGTTTATCCCATAAACTGAGCTCCATGAAGACAGGGACTTGGTGTCTTGTTGCCTGTTGTATCTCTGGGGCCCAACCCAACCAGGCACACAGCCACTCCATCAGGCTATGGGATAAGTGGATGGTCACCTTTTCTTCATGCTTAAGCTTAGGGAAAATCAACACAAAGTTCTCTTGAACTTCGCATTTACAAGTGACAAAGTAACAGGCAATATTGACTTTGTTTTGCAGATCTCCCTTTGCACTTAAATGCTGCCATGTTCGAGGCCAATGGTGGCTGTGGCTATGTTTTGAAACCCCCAGTTCTGTGGGACAAGAACTGTCCCATGTACCAGAAGTTTTCTCCCTTGGAAAGAGACCTGGACAACATGGAGCCCACCGTCTACTCTTTAACTGTAAGTGTGGCCCCTGTCATCAGAAGTAGCAAGGTGCTTCCGCCTTGCTGAATACGAACTAGTTTTGAGTTCAAGGCATTACAGAGTTCTCATGAGCAGTTTGGCTCATGCAGATTTAGTCCCCAAAAGGATTTCTTTGCCTATTAAAAGCTGTGGCTGTGGTTTAGGAATGCCACCACCAAGATATGTCTTTGCCAGTGCCTGGCAGGTGGAGTTACCAGCTCCCTGCGTCACTCGCACACTGACGAAGGCCACCCTGTCCTCCAGCGCCCCCGGAGTCATCCCTGAGCGCCTGCCCTAGAAGTTGAGCTCCTTGTTAGAGCAGGTCATCTTAACCTGTAACAGGCTCTTAGAAGATGAAACAGCTATCAGTATACAAATCAATTACAAATACCTTTCCTCGCAGTTTAAAGTTTATCATTCCTGTGCCTTTCCTTAGTCCTTTCATTGCCTGCTTAGCTAAATGTCAAAACCCTACAGACTGCTCTTAACCACAGCCCCAGGTAGCTCAACACTCAACATTATTTGCCCATTCTTTTCTCCTCTGCCTCTTAGCAGACAGAGGAAAAGCCCACTGGATGGGTGACAGCAAGGAGTGAGGTGATCTCTTCTGTCCAACTTTACAGCTTGTCCATTTAACTCCAGAGGAAGAAGGCCAAACTGCCTCCACTCACGACACCTCGGATGCCTGGGAGAACTGACTCCCAGATCTTCCTTCCTTCCATCTCAACTTCTTGTCTCTTTCCCTAAGACTAGGGCATGGGCCCCTCTTCTGTTGACCATCCTAGGTAGACTCGAGTAGAGTTCCATCTGCTAACAGAAGGCTATGAATTAATTTTTAACAGTGTTTCCTGTGACTTGCTGCTAAACTAAAGTATGCAAGAAAATGACTTTGAAGTTACAACATGTATACCTAAAACATCTTGAACAGAACGTTCATAACAAATTTGTGCTTAAGTCGCTTTAAGGCCTCCCTCCTTTTCTCTCTCCTTCTTCAGAAACTTAATTGCTAGTTTTGGAGATACTTGAACATTTTGGTGGTCAGAAGGTCACAGATCAGTGAGGTGACAAAATAAGCCTTTCCCATGACTCCAGCCATGGGGTCGCCTGACTACAATCGCTTCCCTTTTTTGTTTAGCCGTTTATTAATCATCTCCCTCATCCATTCCAGAGTGTTCTTTGTGTAGGGAAGCAGTGAGGAGCAGAGGGTGCCTTTGTTTCCTTTTTATCTTTGGTGACGTTGATCCTCGTGTCCTCCCTCAGGTTGTCTCTGGTCAGAATGTGTGCCCAAGTAACAGCACGGGAAGCCCGTGTATCGAGGTTGACGTCCTGGGCATGCCGCTGGACAGCTGCCACTTCCGCACGAAGCCCATCCATCGAAACACTCTGAACCCCATGTGGAATGAGCAGTTCTTCTTCCGGGTTTACTTCGAAGACCTTGTGTTCCTTCGTTTTGCAGTCGTGGAAAACAATAGTTCAGCAGTCACTGCTCAGAGAATCATTCCACTCAAGGCTTTAAAACGAGGTAGAATAATAGCATTGTCATGAGGTTAATAATGACTGCAGCTGCATGACGGATGTCCCAGAGCTCTTCTCTCTACTTTCCTATAGTTTGGATTTTTTATACTAAAAAGTTAAAATTAAGAGGCAGATAGAAAGAATACAATCCTGAGCACTGTTTAAGTGCATCTCAGAACAAGTTTTTCTTTTACATTACCCTAAAATCCGAGGTAATAACAACACTCCTTAGGAAATACGCCTCCCCCACCACTGCTGATGTCAGGAGCAGTGGTGGTTGGCTCTCACTCCCCACATCCCTTCCCAAATTGCACCCTCTGCACCCCTGGTGCCTCTAAAGCAGAGAGACTGAAGTGAGGAGAAGAAACCAAGAGGAGGGGAGTGTGAGATGTAGCAGTGGCTCAGTGGGCCGAGACTCGAGTCAGTGCCTGGCAAAGGTGCAGTGTCAGAAGCCAGGGCTGGGTGTTAGGGGTAGAACAGGGAGGATGCAGAATCCCGAGCAGTGGCCGAGACTGCTGGCTGGTGGGTTGGCTTAGCGGTGGACCTGCAGGGACTTTCTTCCAGTTGCACCTGTCCAGACCGTCTGGGCACATCCTGTTAAAGTCTGGTGTGCATGGGAGTTCCTGAGGCTCTTCTTAGTAATAAAATGCAGGCTCTGGTGCGGGGGGAAGGGGGCAGGGGGATCTGGGGCGGGGCTTGAGATTCTGCATCTTGAACAAACTCCCAGAGTGCTGGCCCTGTTGGTCTACTTTGAGTACCTGCGTTCTAGTGCATACATCCTCCCACAGCCACGCTCAGGCTGCCAGCCTCCGAGCTCCGCAGACCTGTGATGGTCCCATACATTTTGGTCCCTTCCTGTCTCTCCTCTCCATTATGCAAGTAGTACATGGTCACTGATCAGTGAGCTCGGACTGTCATGCCAAAGTGCCACAGACTGGGTGGCTTTGGCAACTGAAATTTTATCTTCTCGTAGTTCTGGAAGCTAGAAGTCTAAGATCAGGGTGTCAGCAGGTTTGGCTTTTTTTCTGAAGTCTGCCACCTTAGCTTGTGGATGCTGCCTTCCCACTGTGTCCTCATGGTGGGACGTGGTCATCCCTCAGTCCCTGTGCTTAGCATGTGGTGTCTCTCTCTGGGTGCTGATCTCCTCTTCTTACAGAGACACATCCTTCTGGATGGGGCCCCCGGTGAAGATCCATTTTAATTTCATCACCTCTTTAAAGGTCCTATGTCCAGGTATAGACACATTCTGAGGTCACTGGATATTAGAGTTTCAACTTATGAATTCTAGGACACAGTTTAGCCCATAACAGTTTTACAAAAATGTGAGAAAGTATGAGAAGCAAAAACAATATTTTTTAGATTTATTTAATTATTGTTCAAGTACAGTTTTGTCTTATACTCCCAACCCTACCCACCCCCCCAGTGCTCCCCACCTCCCTACCATTGCCCCCGCCCGCCTTAGTTTTTGTCCATGTGTCCTTTATACTTGTTCCTGTGAATCCTTCCCCTTTTCCTCTGAAATTCTCTCCCCTCTCCCCTCTGGTCACTGTCAGCCTGTTCTGTATTTCAGTGTCTTTGGTCATATTTTTCCTGCTTGTATGTTTTGTTGTTTAGGTTCCCGTTAACAGTGAGATCATATGGTATTTATCTTTCAGCACCTGGCTTATTTCACTCAGCATAATGCTTTCCAGTTTCATCCATGCTGTTGCAAAGGGTAGGAGCTCCTTCTTTCTTTCTGCTGCATAGAATTCCATTGTGTATATGTACCATAGTTTTTTGATCCATTCATTTACTGATGGGCATCTAGGTTCCTTCCAGCTCTTGGCTATTGTAAATTGTGCTGCTATGAACATTGGGGTGCATAGGTTCTTTAGGATTGGTGTTTCAGGGTTCCTAGGATATACTCCTAATAGTGGAATTGCTGAGTCAAAAGGCATGTTCATTTTTAGTTTTCTTAGAAAATTCCATACTGTTTTTTACAGTGGTTGTACCAGTCTGTAATCCCACCAACAGTGAACTAGGGTCCCCTTTTCCCCACAACCTCTCCAAAATTTGTTGTTTGTTGCTTTGTTTATGATGGCCATCCTGACTGGTGTAAAGTGGTATCTCATTGTGGTTTTAATTTTCATCTCTCTGATAGCTAGTAATATTGAGCATCTTTTCATGTGTCTTTGGTTCCTCTGTATGTCCTCCTTGGAGAAGTGTCTGTTCAAGTCCTTTGCCCACTTTTTAATTGGGTTGGTTGTCTTCTTAGAGTGGAGCCATGTAAGTTCTTTGTATATTTTGGAGATTAAACCCTGGTTTGAGGTATCATTGGCAAATATGTTTTCCCAAACAGTTGCTTCTCTTTTTATCTTAATACTGTGTTCTTTAGCCATGCACAAGCTTTTAGTTTTGATGAGATCCCATTTGTTTATTCTTTTCTTTATGTCCCTTGCTCTAGGGGACATATCAGTAAAAATGTTGCTGTGTGAAATTTCTGAAATTTTCCTGCCAATTTTCTCCTCTAGGATTTTAATGGTGTTTCGGCTTATATTTAAGTCTTCTATTCACCTTGAATATATTTTGGTGTATGGTGTAAGTGGTGCTCAAGTTTCATTTTTTCGCACGTGGCTGTCCAGTTCTCCCAACACCATGTGTTGAAGAGGCTATTTTTACTCTATTTTATGTCATTGTCCCCTTTGTCAAATATTAGTTGCCCATAGAGACTTGGGTTTATTTCTGGGCTCTCTGTTCTGTTCCATTGGTCTATGTGCCTGTTTTTATGCCAGTACCAGGCTGTTTTGATTATAGTGGCCATGTAATACAGTTTGGTGTCAGGTATTATGATCCCTCCTACTTTGCTCTTCTTTCTCAAAATTGCAGCTGCTATTCAGGGTCATTTATGGTTCCATATAAATTTTTGAAGTGTTCTACATCTGTGAAGCATGTCATTGGTACTTTAATAGGTATTGCATGGAATCTGTAAATTGCTTTGGGTAGTATGGACATTTTGATGATGTTAATTCTTCCAATCCATGAACATGGTATATGTTTCCATTTGTTTGTGTCTTCCTTGATTTCTTTCTTCACTGTTGTGGAGTTTTCTGCATAGAGGTATTTTACATCCTTGGTTAAGTTTATTCCTAGGTATTTTATTTTTCTTTTTGCTATATCAAATGGGATTTTTTTCCTGATTTCTGCTTCTGCTGTTTCATTGTTGGTACACAAAAATGCCTTTGATTTCTGGATATTGACTTTGTATCCTGCTGTTTTGCCAAATTTATTTATTAAGTTGAGCAGTTTTGGGGTAGAGTCTATAGGGTTTTCCATTTATACTACTATCATGTCATCTGCAAAAAAAGGACAGTTTTGTTTCCTCCTTTCTGATTTGGATGCCTTTTATTTCCTTTTCTTGTCTGATCACTGTGGCTAAAACTTCCAATACTATATTGAATAGAAGTGGTGAACGTGGACAACCTTGTCTTGTTCCTGATCTCAGTGGAAAGGATTTTAGTTTTTGCCCATTGAGTATGATGTTGGCTTTAGGTCTCTCATATATGGCCTTTATTATATTAAGGAATGCTCCCTGTATTCCCACTTTGCTGAGTGTTTTTATCAGAAATGGGTGTTGTACCTTATCAAAAGCTTTTTCTGCATCTATTGATATGATCATGTGGTTTTTGTCTTTGCTTTTGTTTATGTGATGTATTACATTTACTGATTTGTGAATGTTGAACCATGCTTGCATCCCTGGGATGAATCCCACTTGGTCACAGTGTATGGTCTTTTTGATATATTGTTGGATGCAATTTGCCAATATTTTGTTGAGGATTTTAGCATCTATGTTCATCAGCAATATTGGCCTGAAGTTTTTTTTGTTTGTTGTGTCTTTATCTGGTTTTGGGATTAGAATGATGCTGGCTTCATGAAAAGAGTTTGGGAGTCTTCCATCATTTTGGATTTTATGGAATGGTCTGTGAAGGATAGGAGTTAGCTCTTCCTTAAATGCTTTGTAGAATTCTCCTGTGAAACCATCTGGTCCAGGGCTTTTGTGTGTAGGGAGTGCTTTGATTACTGCTTCGATTTCATCTGCTGTTATTGGTCTGTTCAGGTTTTATGCTTTTTCTTCATTGAATTTTGGAAGATTATATTTTTCTAGAAATTTGTCCATTTCACCTAGGTTTTCAAATTTCTTGGCATACAGTTCTTCATAGTAATTTCTTACAATCCCTTCTCTTTCTGTGGTATCAGTTGTAATCTCTCCTCTTTCATTTCAGATTGTGTTTATTTGGGTCCTCTCTTTTCTTTTCTTGATGAGCCTACTTAAAGGCTTGTGGATTTTGTTTATCTTTTCAAAAAAACAGCTCCTGGATTCAAGATCTTTACAATTGTGCTTTTAGTTTCTATGTCATTTAGTTATGCTCTGATCTTGGTTATTTCCTTCCTTCTACTTGCTCTGGGCTATCTTTGTTGTTGTTCCTTGAGTTCTTGCAGGCATAGTGTTAGGTTGTTTGTTTGAAATGTTTCTATCTTTTTTAAATAGGCCTGTATTGCTATGAACTTCCCTCTCAGGACTGCCTTGGCTGTGTCGCATAAGTTTTGGGTTGTTGTGCAATCATTTTCATTTGTTTCCAGAATTTTTTTTATTTCTTCCCTAATTTCATTCTTGACCCATTTGTTATTTAATAGCATGCCATTCAGTCTCCATGATATTGAGTGTTTTGGGTTTTTGCTTTTGGGGTTGGTTTTTAATTTCAGTCCCTTGTGGTCGGAGGAAATGCTTGGTATGATTTCAATTTTCTTGAATTTGTTGAGGCTTGTTTTGTGTCCTATCATGTGGTCTATCTTGGAAAATGTTCCATGTGCATTTGAAAAGAATGTGTATTTAGCTTCTTTGGATGAAGGGCTCTGTATGTATCAGTTAAGTCCATTTCATCTAGGGTGTTGTTTAATGCCACAATATCTTTGTTGATATTTTGTTTGGAGGATCTGTTCAATTTTGACAGTGGGGTGTTAAAATCCCCTATAATTGTTTTGCTGTCAATATCTTTCTTGAAGTCCTCTAAGATTTTCTTGATATATTTGGGTGCTCCTGTGTTGGGTGCATATATATTTACGATGTTAATGTCTTCTTGGTGGATTCTTCCCTTGAGTATTATGAAGTGACCTTCTGGGTCTCTCTTTATGGCCCTTTTTCTGAAGTCCATTTTGTCTGATATGGGTATTGCTACCCCAAATTTTATTTTTCCTGTCTGTTTGCTTGGAGAATTTGTTTCCAACCCTTCACTTTTAGTCTGTGTAGGTCTTTTGTCCTGAGGTGGGTCTCTTGTAGGCAGCATATGTGTGGGTCATGCTTTCTTATCCATTCAGCTATTCTGTGTCTTTTCATTGGGGCATTTAATTCATTTATGTTTAATGTTATTATTGATAGGTACTTATTCATTGCCATTTTTGTACCTGTGTTCCTCTCTATCTCTCTCTTTTCTTTCCTTTCCTTAAAGCAGTCCTTTTAGTATTTCTTGTAGAGCTGGTTTGGTGGAGGCATATTCTTTTAGACTTCTTTTGTCTTGGAAGTTCTTTATTTGGCCTTCTATCTTGATTGAGAGCCTTGCTGGGTAAAGTAGCCTTGGTTGTAGGCCTCTAGTTCTCATTACTTGGAATATTTCTTGCCATTCTCTTCTTGCTTGGAGTATTTTCATTGAGAAGTCAGTAGCTAACCTTATTGGGGCTCCCTCGTATGTTACTTCTTTTTCTCCCTTGCTGCCTTTAAGATTCTCTGTTTGTCTTGGAATTTTGCCATTTTAATGATGATGTGTCTTGAAGTGGGCCTCTTTGAGTTCCTCTTGATTGGGACTCTCTGTGATTCCTGGATTTGTGTGATTTTTTTCTCTCATCAAATTAGGGAAGTATACCATCATTACTTTTTCAAATAGGTTTTCTCTCCCTTTTTCTTGTTCTTCTCCTTCTTCTTCTGGTATTCCTATTATTCGGATATTGTTACATTTCATATTGTCTTGCATTTCTCTTAATCCCTCTTCATTTTTTCTGAGCCTCTTTTCCTTTCCTTGATGTTTCTGGGAGTTTTTTTTCTACTTTGTCCTCCAACTCGCTGGTCTGATCTTTTGCTTCATCGATCCTGCTTTTAATTCCTTCTATTGTGTTCTTCAGTTCAGAGATTGTATTCTTCATTTCCTCTTGGCCTTTGCTGATAGTTTCTATGTACTTCTCCATGTTGATATAGTTTTCGGTGAGTTTATGTAGCTCCCCTGTAGTTTCTCGTAGCTCATTGTGAGTTCTTTCAATTTCCTGATAAGCAGTGCTTTGAATTCAATATCTGGTAGTTGACTTGCCTCTATTTCATCTAACATTCTTTCTGAGGCTTCCTCCTTTTCTTTCATTTGGGGATTGTTTCTTTGTCTTCCCATTGTTTGTGAGACTCTTCTTATTTGCCTCAGCTTCTTAAATTGATCTGTTCTGACTCCCTGGGTTTATGGTGTGAACTTCTGTGGTAGAATACCTGTGACATTCAGTGGTGCAGTCTCCTTCAGGTATCTTGATGTTCTCTGCTTCCACGTACTCCTTTGTGTGTGTGTGTGTGTGTGTGTGTGTGTGTGTGTGTGTGTGTGTAGCTGTCTGGTCTGTCCGTCACAGTCTCTGGTCTCTTATTTTCATAAACCTGGGGAACTGTTGATTGATTGTGCTGTTCCTCAGTAGATCTGCCAGGATTTTCTCCCAGGGGTACAGAAACTGGAATCACTCTGTCCTACTCCGTTGCCATCTTCCTTCCTCTTCGCAAAAACAATCTTTTATAAATTTATAAATCCTTTTTTTAATCTCTCCAAAATAGTTACTGTTGGTGTATATCTTTTGCAAGCTTTATTCCTCTGTCCATATATACATTCACATTGGTATATAGTATATATTTTTAACAAACAAGCTTCCTACTCACTTTAATGTTTTGCAACTTGCTGGTTTTCACTTACTAATTAAGGTAGGTAGTGAACAACTTTTTGTGTTAATAACTATACATCTACATTATCGTTTTCCCTGGATGCATAGTATTCCATTTTATACTTATACAAGTATTCACACTGTAACGTTTAACCAAGTCTCTGTGGTTGGAATTATCACTAAAGCTGTTTTAAGACAAAGTATTTATAAAACAGTGACTGTATATATAAAAATGAACAGAACTTTCTACTATATTTTGTTTGAATTTGACTTGAAATTAGAAACAGTTCCTAGACAAGTTAATGACCACTAGGGTGCCCCAATCTGTTCCCAGGGGCTGCACTCGCCTGGTGACAAGGCATCAGTTGGCTGCATGCCCGTTGCCACCCCCTGCCCATCGTAAGGTGTTGTTTCTGCCTATCATTTCTCAACCTCCCTGGGGCATCGTCTGGGCAGAGCTCTGCACTGCATGGCTAACGGCTTTTCCCAATTCTGCGTTGTTCCAGGATATCGGCATCTCCAGCTGAGAAATCTCCACAATGAAGTCCTAGAAATCTCTAGTTTGTTCATAAACAGCAGAAGGATGGAAGAAAACTCCTCTGGCAGTACTGTGCCAGCCTCTTTGGTAATTAAGTTCTGTTTCACTGAGCATATTTGTGGGAATTGCTATGTTGAAGGTAGGCTTACTTGTGATACAAGAGAGTGATAACTGGGCAGCTATGGAAATAATAGAAAAAGGCTGACACTTGGCTTTTTCTAAGCACTTTACATATATATTAATTCACTCAATCTTCTCAATAACTTTATGAAAGAGCTATAAGTATCATCTTCATTTTACAGATGAGGGGGTAAGAGCTAAGTACCCTTGAGGTCATTTAACTATAAACCTAAGTTCATCTAGTGCCAAAGCCGTACTCTTAATGTGAGCCAAAAATAACGTTTAGAAAAGGAGCTAATTAAGCAAACCTGCTAGGAAGCATTCAGGGCTTCTAGAAGCTTTACATTAGCCCAGGAAAATCCCTTATTTCTTCAGTGGTCCAGGGGCAGATGTCAGGTGAGCGGGGTTGGGGTAGGCAGCCAGGTGCTGCTGTTGTTGCGTAACTTTCACTCCCCACCCTGGCAAAAAGTGCCACTGCTGCAGAATCAGTGTTTTAATAAGTCCCCAGGTAAGGCTTTTTCCCATTAAAGTTCAAGAACCAAAGGACCTGTGCTCACTCCAGGCATACAGGGTTGTTTACATAAACAATGCTGCTGTAGTAAACTGGCTCACTCCATTATGGCTGCTCTTTAAAAATTAATTTAATAGGATGTCCATTGATGACCTGTTGACATATTAATAGTCTGATCACTGTTGTATCAATCTTATCCTTCAACACAGTCCTAAGAGCCCTTGGAAAAGCACCTTATAGGCTTACCATGGCGCTGGCTTGACCACTGTCACCTGCAACCATTCAGGCTTTGTTTTCTGCTTCTCTTTCCCTCGCCTCATCAGTTCCTTCTCTCTCTGTCCCAGACCTTGTTTCCCTATGTTCTCCATCCTTTCCCTTCAAAGTGTGCCCAAGATTGAGAATAGCACTTTGGCCAAAGTGGAAGGAGGTATTTACCTCCATCTTGTGCAGAAGACCGGGAAACAGGGTTGGGGCCACCTGGCACTTAAGAGCCAGAATTGGATGCTTTCCAAAAGTCAAGGCAGGGGCCTGATTCTGGGTTGGTTGCCCTCAATACCTACCAGAGCTGAAGAGTCTAACATGCCATGAAAGAACCATTTTTCCTCACAAGACTTCTTACACCAAATGTCTCATGTCCTTTCTGACGTCATTTCTTTAACTCTCAGGCACCAGCTGGCTGTCCCACCTCTCAGTTCAGTTCTGACTCTCTCTGCCTGGAGTCAGTATCAGGTCCCACAAGACTACCCACAAGGGCTCAGTCCCACAAGACAACCCACACTTCAGGTGCCAGTCTAAAGTCCCTCTTCAGGTTCAGTAATTTGCTAGAATGACTCACAGGACTCAGGGAAGTGCTTTACTTACCAGAATATTTTGTTTACTATCTTACCATCCAAAATTCTAGCCTAGTGCCCCCAAGAGAGATGGAACTCAATAGACACTGTTGAATGTCAGTTCAGAAGTCAGGACTAAAGTACATTTCAGATGATATCAGTTTTGTAGTTATGATGGAAAGAGATACTGTTAAAATAAATTAATATGTTGTTGGTATACTCTACACATTCTCGTTAGACTGTTAAAGGAGATGCACTGTTGCTTCTGCAACCCCAAAGGGTGGGTCAGGTTGTAAAGGATGCTCTGTGTGTGCATTGACGTGTCCCTGTGCATCCTTCTGAGGACCAGCACTTTGGTGTTGGATACAGCCTAGAAATTGCATGAAAATGAGAAAGAAAGAGAAACCATGTGGTCTTCCTTGACAGATGTTTACTACAGAAGAAAGAAAATGTTTTCAGACTCACAGAGTCACGGTACATGGGGTCCCAGGCCCAGAACCCTTTACTGTTTTCTCTATAAATGGAGGCACCAGGGCAAAGCAGCTTCTCCAACAAGTAAGTACACTCAGCCTGCGTGTGTGTAACTATGTTGATGATTTGCCTTTTGTTTTTTGTGATATTCAATATTGACATCCACCCTACAGCTGACCTGACAGATCTTGGTACCACTGAATAAGCTACCTTAACCTGTAGAGAGGAATTTTTAAGAATCCTTCAGCTACATAACAAAACAGTGGGCTCAGGAAGGATGGAGACCAGGATGAGTGGTCCTCCAACCATGTGTGCTGTTTCCCTCTGCATCTAGACGTGGGCCTCATAATGCAGAGCCCACTAACCCTCTAGAATTTGCACACAAACTGAACGAAATCTGTCATTCTAGGAACCAGATCAAGTACTTAGAGCATCAGGATGGATCTTACAGGCCATGAAGGCATCTTTTGTCCCTCTAGCCTCTAGCCTTCATTTGCATGTCGAACAGCCCCCTGACCCCCTTCCCTTGGCATTAGATCTCGATCTCAGTCCTTGAGGTCCTACCCCTCTAGTGATGTGGAGAGGCATGGAGGGCCCAACACAAGAGGACGAGAGCCTGTTACCCAGCCACTGTAGCAGAACTGGCCCAAGTCCCTTCATGCTCTGGGTCCCCCCAGGGATCTCAGTGGCCTTCTGCAGGCAAGAACACTGCCCCACAGGAGGACTTGTAAGAGGGAGAAAGCCAAGAACAAGGAGCAGCAAGAGAGGGAGACAGCTACTCAGAAGAGCAAGACAGGCCCAGGAGTGATTCCTTTCCTCCTCACAGCAGAGGCTCACTCCACTCCTGCTTGCTACAGTGACCTAATGTCCTTGCAGACTGTTTTATCCTTGACCCATTTAAAAATTTCTTCTTCTAATTGAGGGGAGGCAAAGGGGAGCAGTGACCAAAGGGAGTGACTGTGGAGCTCTCTCTGAAGTTAGGGCATGCGATGAACTGTAACTGCGTCATAGAATGGGTGGGGGATAAAAATCCATTCATCAGCCACACATAAGGCATGTTAGTAAGTAGTTCTGCCCTTTGAGGGGAAGTGCTATGGACAGGCCAACTTTTCCCCAACATCATCATTGACTTAGAGTCAGAGAAGACAGCTTAAGTGTCAAATTTCACACATTATGAAATAGCAGCTACTACCAAGTTGGTTTTGTGGGGATTTTGTTTTTTAAATCAGTCTATGAAATTTTGTGTCTCCTATCACAAAGCACTGTTGCCCAGGCTGGTGTGGCTCAGCTGGTGGGAGCATCTTTTTGTAGACCGAGGGGTTGCGAGTTCAATTCTCCATCAGGGCACATGCCCATGTTGTGGGTTCAGTCCTGTCGGGGTGCATGCAAGGGGCAGCCAATCAATGTCTGTCTGTCTGTGTCTGTCTGTCTCTCTCCCCATTCCTCTCTCTAAAAGCCATGAAAAAATGTCCTCAGGTGAGGATTAAAATTTTTTTTAAAGCCCCATTGGGGTTTTGGAGACTATAAAATGTGAAGATATAAAGTAAGGAAGCATCTCTATGGACCACCCGTAAAAGGCAGCCCACAACTTGATTGTCACCCCTATGCATAACCACGTGGAAGTAGAGCAGGACTGGGGGGGAGCTGAGAGTCTGTACTGACTGGTCCCTGGAAGCTGTGCGTCCTGGATAGTTCCTGCAGCGGTCACTGCCAGAGCCCAGCATCCACTGCAGACCAACGGCTGGGGCGAAGGGAGCAGAGTCTTCCTGAGACTCTTCTGCCCGCACCATTCTCAATCCATTCTTTTCCTCCAAGCGAGACGCCGCTGAAGCCACAGGTATGGAGGAGAAGGCTGTTGCCTTAATCCAGGCCTGATGGTGGCAGCCTCCTCTTGTCACTGAGAGTGACTGTGCGATGGCCCTTGACTATTGAGTCCTCGTATTGTGCCCATGTTATATTTGATAACCAGTGCCTGAATCATAAAACAGATCATAAGATTAAGAGGCCGTTACTGTGGAGGCAGAAAACTAATTTTCCTCCCACCTTCTAAGTTCTTCTGGCTGAACTAATAATCAAATTAACAAAAGACAGATTAAAAGGAAAAAATACTGGTAACCAATTTTATTATGTATGTACACATGGGAGTTCTATAAGAATGTGAGAGCAGAGGACAGAGGAGGGAGCTATATAGACACAGACACAGACATAGACACAGACACAGACACAGACTCAGACACACAGACACAGACATAGACTTAGACACAGACACAGACACAGACACAGACACTGACACAGACTTAGACACAGACACAGACATAGACTTAGACACAGACACAGACACAGACACAGACACAGACACAGACACAGACATAGACTTAGATGCCTAAAAGGCCGGGAAGGCAATTCTCATGAAGATGGAAAAGGAATGTTTGGTAAATAAATGTCTGCTGGGCCATGTTTAACAATGGGACATAGAGGGAACTCTGAACAAATGAGCATGGCTAAGTTCCCCCCATTGTGCACTAGTTTGTATTAAATTATAATTATCTGTGATTATCCCTCTTCTGGAAGCATCTAAATTTTTTTAGGCAGTAAGGGGGAAGGTTGAAGGTTCTTTCTGAGTCTCGTTTCTTGAGAATAACCAGCCTAAAATAATCAATATCCCAAACATATTTAGGGGTGGCACATTCTGCCTCCCCTCATTACTTATACTGTTCCCACTTTATAGAGGGGGAACTGAATCTCTAAAGGTTAAACATACTGCCCAGCACCTCACAGCCAGTATTAAAGACAAACTTCAGACCCAGGTCTGTCTGGCCCTCCAGCCTGTCTCAACCACTCAGTTTGACTGCCAGGATCATGTAGCCAACAAAGAAAACAGGCCTCCAGGCCCATAGTCAGGAGCCTATGGAAAGGAGAATTCCCAGGAACTTAGATCAGATGTAATTAGAGATGATGGAGAGAGTATCTTGGTAAAAGCTGGACTGGGTTTGTTGCCCTTGGTCCTGTGTTGTAAGATTACAGAGAGCTAAATTCATAGATTTAAAAACCTAAAGTTTTTAATTCAGTAGGAGCCCTCATTCCAGCAGTGAGAAAAATAGTTATGATGTCTGGGGATTATGACTGCATTGTGTCATTGCCCAGAATGGATGCAAACAATTCATCTGGGGCCTAAGAGAATTCTTAGACCTTCCAGAAAGAATTGAGCCACACTCCAGAGTAGGTGCCACTTATGTGCACATCACAGCTACCTGAACACAATGAAAATAGACTTGTGATTTTTTTAATTAATTTTATTTGTATGGTATTAAGGTTGTCCCCACTTTTTCCCCCTTTGCCCTCCTCCACCCAGCCCCACCTGCGGCAGTCCCCACACCGTTGTCCAAGTCCATGGGCCATGCACACGTGTTCCTGCTCAGTCTCTTCACCGTCTTTCATCCAGTCCCCACACCCGGCCCCCTCCCCTCCAACAGCTGTCAGTCTGTTCCATGTACCTGCACCTGCGTTTGCGTTCCTTAGTTTATTTTGTTCATTAGGTTCCATGTACAACTGAGACACATGGTATCTGTCTTTCACTGACTGGCTTATTTCACTTAGCATAACAGGAAATGAAGATGTGTTTTGAATTAGTTTTTGCCCACTCCTCAGAGGTGCACTAAATTTGTCTTTGCTTTATCTTTAGATTCTAACCTCTGAACAAGACACCAGACCTATTGCCACAGACTATTTTTTGATGGAAGAAAAATATTTTATATCTAAAGAAAAGAATGAATGCAGAAAACAACCGTTCCAGAGAGCCGTTGGTCCAGAAGAAGAGATCGTGCAGATTTTAAACAGCTGGTTTCCAGAAGAGGGCTATGTTGGCAGGATTGTCTTGAAAACCCAGCAGGAAGTAAGTGTGTCTGGGCACAACCTCCACAGTCACGCACAGCTCAGCCTGCGATTGACCACCTCGCCACCGGCCACCTCCCTCAAAATCAGAATTTCTCATCATTCCAGCATGATACATATTATTCTTCTTAAGTAAATGTGGAGAAGTGATTTTATTCCTCTGTACATATTCAGAATGTTATCTCTAAGTTACAGAAATTGAGCGTAAAAATCATCCCTTATAAAACAAAGTGAGCCGAACGGCGCGGGGAGGAGGTTGGGGGTGGAGGGATGGAGCAGAGAGGGAGGAGGACGTGGACCACAGTGTGGGGATTGCTGGGGGGAGGGGGTATAAGGGGGCTAAATGGTAATGGGAAAATGCAATAAAGGGAAGAAAAGCAAAGTGAGCGAGAACTCAAAGGATCCCGTGTACACATCGTCGGCTGTTGGCTCGGCACCTCGTCTGCATGTGTGAGAAGACACAGTGAGGGGCGCGGAACTGAGCGATGCCAGGCCTGTAGGCCTTTTGGGAGCCCTGTGTTTTGGTATTGGTTGTGTCCCTCTGGTGCCTCCTAAAGTTTTAGCTACTAAAAGGTTCAGTGCTTATAAGTAAATCAACAGTATCTTTTAAAAATATTCTGTAACTTCCCACAAAGTAAGAATAACCTCTTGGCTTTAGTCAGAATTCGTACTAAATACATTACGTTCACTGATACTCCCGTGATAATTCCCACAAAGGAAACAGTACAATGTCAACTCCAAATTGGTTGGCTTCTGTTGGGGTTCGTTGATAGAGGCCACCTTTTTTTCCTGAATAAACTGATAGGCGCCCACTAACTTACTGCCATTTTGCTTAAATGACAGTGAATTTAAAATAAGGTCATCACCCCAGGCAGAGACGACCATGCCACATGATAGGCCAACAACAAAGCAGTGGAGTCCGTCCAGTAATGCAATTAAATAAACGTTGATTGAGCACATGAGAGGTGCCAGGCCCTGTTCTGGGCACGTGATCCGCTCATGGGGGATGTACTACAGCTTGACTGGCACAGCGCCCGCTGGTGGTCCATGCTCACTAGGGCACAGTGGAGAAGAAAAGGAGCCCATTGCCGGCTTCCTGTGTCAGTTTTTCCCTCGGCACATGACCGTGAACATGGCCTGCAGCCTCTCCTCGGGGAACCAGAGCCACTGCCTCCCCTTCTAACCTTGCCTTAGACCATAGAAGGGCACTTCATTAAGCAAAGAAATGTAATTGTCTCCCCAGCTTCCTCTCCCTGTCAGGCATACAAATTGCTAAGCCAGAGAAAAAAAGCAGTTCTAATAATAATAGCTTTATGAGAAAACAGAGAGCATAGCTGGACTTTTAAAGCCATCTTTAATTTCTCAGTTTTATTCCTATTTCTAATTGTCTTTGTCATATGTAAAAAGTACCCTACAGTTAACAATTTCAGTGAATTCTTTAAATCATATGTTTGCAAAATGATTTACAGACTCCAAAGCTCTCGAACACCCACTATTTTCAATGACCTCATGGTACCGTAAGGAAACAAAGGTTCAGGAGGTTAAATTATGACCAGTGAATAATAGAATGAACTCGAGTCTTACGGCTTCCAGGTCAGTGTTATTTCCACCATCCGTGCTGCCTGGGCTGGAGCAGTCAGTCCTCGGGGGTCCCCATGCCCAGCACTGTGGGAGGCGGCGAGCCGCAGGACACCCGGTGGGCTGCTGCGTGTTGTGTGGACCTTCATCATGTGTTTGGAAGGGCTGGGACGTTGGGGCTGCCCATACGCACCTTAAAGTGTGTATGACAACAGGCAGCACAGAGTTCACAGTTAAGTGTCTAATAAGGGCTGGTGGAGCAGAACTGTTTTGAAGAAAAAGGGGATAAATTAGAAGTCTAAAAAATATTTTCTGATGAGAATACAAGCTCTCTTCTATATGCTCTTGTTGGGATGCGATTCTTAAAATGACTGAAATGTATTTCAAAAATTAACAAATCACATTTCATGTATCTAGGTTTACCTGGTACATTATGACACACACACATATTACCTGACTGAATGAATGAATTCAGCAATTATTGAATACAAGTAGACACTGGCCTCGTTGTTCGATTACAGCTATAAGTATGTTCATTTATTTTGCTCTTTGGAACTAGTAAATACGTAGGCAGTTTGCCCACGTATTCAAAGTCCCCAGACTGCTCTCTGTGACCTCCGGTCTCCCCTGCCTGCCTTCCATACCTTTCTTGTCTCCTGGGCTGTGGGGCTGTCGGGCAGCACATCTTCCTGTGGCCAGCGTGCCTCCTCTGACACCTGCTGGACTCGAAACCTGGCACACCTGGCTCTGGGCGGCTCACCTGACTTCTGCACACCTCTGTGCCCTGATATGTAAAATCTATGACAGAAGCTGCTCCCCTGTTTGACTCAAAAAGATCATCATGAGACACATGATCAACATGTAGACAGTATGCAGAAAAATGCTTAGTAAACTGTACATGGTCATACGGTGAGGGCTATTGTTATGGTCATTGCATGTGGCTCCTAATGCAGCTGAAAACTCCTGAAAAATAAGTAAGCTCTGCATGAGGCTCCAGGAGCTCTTTTAAAAATAAAAGTGCATGGTTTTCAGGATATTTTATATGGCAATTAGAACCTTTGTGCTTTTTTGCCTGCTTGCTTGCTCGCTTCCTGGTTTTCGGGGCCCTGAGATGATAAATTATGTTGTGTGACTTACCACTTAACCCCACTCTCTGATTGATGAAGTATATTGTGAGCAATGCCATGAACTAATGCAGCAAAATCTCTAGGAACTGACAAGGAATGATGACCACAGTCTTTGAAGTAGAGAGAAAAAACAAATTGTAGAACAGTGTATGTAGTAGAATACAATCTAATTTTAGTAATAACCCTAACTGTCGCCCAAGCCCATAGTAGAATGAATGGGGTCTAAAGGCTTCAGTCATGTAAACTGTAGGGACCAAGACTGCAAGATCAATGAAATGATTGGGGTGAGTCTGTGTGGGTGGTTGGCCTGTCCCCTCTGGTCCTGGCTACAGTTTGGCGCCACCTGGTGGCAGTTACCCATTTGATTTTAATAAGTATTAATGAGGACCACTTGGGTCTTGTGGCTGATTTTAACTTCCAGGATAGTGACAGTGATTCTTGGGTTCTGGCTAGTTAGCACCACTTCAGTGGCCTGACCACTGGAGATGAGGCGAGGGGGTGCTGGGGATCGGATGACCTCCCTGCCAAATCCTCACGGCCTGTGATGGGTTGCCTCCTGGTTACTTGCCTTGCCTCTCCTTCCCCTTCCTGCCTCCCCCTGCAGAAGATAACTGTAAACCACCCTCATCTGAGAATGGGGCTAACAAAGAGCAGGGACCATTTAACAATCACACTAGCTAATTATTCACATAATTCAAGGGTTCCACTGTATTTATTCACATGCACAAAAATATATTTGTATATCCATACATAGTACATGTTTAGAAGGATATATAACTTATAGTTAACAACAGTCTTCTTTTGTTCTGCTTTATGGAGAATGAGGTGGGAGAGACAGTGAGAGTGGGAAAAGTTTGCCTTTTTATAGTATTTATGTATTTCTGTACCGCTTGAAAATTTTCGTAAGGTGCATATGTCTATAGGTATAGCTAATAACTACATGGGTAATATACATAATTCTATATGTAAAATTCACTGGAAGATGGTCACCAAGTGCCAACCTAATGACTAAGTCTCATAATTATTGAATGCTTTTTTGATATTCATTTCTTTTTTAAGAGATATCTTAATATTTTATTTTTAATTTAATTTTATTTTTTAATTCTAGTTATTTTTCAGGTGTACAGCATAGTTGTCAGACAGTCATATACTTCGCAAAGTGTCAGTGTTCATTTCAGTGGAACTGACTTCCAGCCATTGTTTGTGCCTTTCCCTGTGGGTCTTGTCCACTTAGCCTGGCTGAATGTTGGGCTCACACTTCACATTTTACATGTCTTGCATTTCTTCAGTGCTCCAGGTCTATGTAAGAATGGGTGGGCTTTCTCTTGTTTTGGTAATTGTCAAAATAGTGCATTATTTTTTTACAAATATGTCTACAGTTGATTTGGACTCAAAATCCACGGCTAATGGGAGCAGATCCACTAGCTCATTCTGGGCCAGACCTTAGCATTCTGTCCACATCAGCAGAAACACAGTGCTTCTTTTTCTAAGACCTGTATGCCCTTAGAAAATGTCTTTTCTAAGACATTTTAGAATGATTTATGAAGTATTAAGTAGTATATAAATGATAAAGCTAAGAAATTATTTCCACATTACTAAGATACACATCTCAAATTTTTGTTGGATTTTTCTTTTCTTATTCTACATCATCTCACCACCTAGCATTCTTTTTTTCTTTAACATAGAACGTAGAAGAGAAAAGCATTGTTCAAGATGACAAAGAGGTGATCTTGACCTCGGAGGAGGAGAGTTTCTTTGTCCAAGTGCATGACGTTTCCCCAGAGCAACCTCGAACCGTCATCAAAGCTCCCCGTGTCAGCACGGCGCAGGATGTCATTCAGCAGGTGAGTGCCTTTCCCTTCTTCTCCTTGGTCCTGTCCTCTGTGTAAATTATTGGGACAAATCAATGTCAGCCTGTTGTATTAATGAAGCACCTAGACCAGTGGGGACCTAAAAAGGGAGAGTGGGAAATAATAGTTGATCCCTTCAACAGACACTTACCTAGTATCAACTGTGAAGCACTGGTAATAATGAATTTAGGAAGTGGCTCTACAAACTAATAATTTCATTGTCCCAGAAATGCCTAAGTCAATACCTAATAACCGGCCCTGGCTGGTGTTGCTCAGTGGATTGAGTGCCGGCCTGTGAACCAAAAGGTTACTGGTTGGATTCCCAGTCAGGGCACATGCCTGGGTCATGGGCCAGGTCCCCAGTAGGGGGCATGAGAGACAACCACACATCAGTGTTTCTCTCTGTCTCCCTCCCTTCCCCTCTCTCTAAAAATAAATAAATAAATATTAAAATAAAAAACACAAGCTAATGATCATCTCCAGAGAACAAGCAAGAGGCCTACCCTGACCCTCTTCCACCTCTAGGTCATGCTTCTCTGTGCCTGTGGTTTCAGAGAACTAGATTTCCTTTCTCCAAAGCCTTCTCATGTTTTGCATTCATGAAACACCCTGGGGAACTGGAATAGCATAATGGTTAAGGGCACAGACTCTCAGTCAACAGGCTCAAGGTTCAAATCTCATTTTTACTAACTCTGAGATCTTGGGCAAGTTATGCAGCCATCTAGGCCTTAGTTACAGTGGTTTGCTTTTTAAAAAACCCTCTGATTTGTAGCATTTGGCGATTTCTGTTGTGTAAACACCCCCACCATATCTGATTTCACAGTCTTCCATTTGGCTCCAACATACTACCTTGTGGCAAGGCACCACTTAGATAACAAGGAGCCAGGATAATAGTTCTCTGCTTGTAGGGGTCTTTGTGAAGATTGAGTCAGTGATATATGTAAATTGCACAATTCCTAACTCAAGGTAAGCACTATCTAAGTGCTGTTTGCTATTATTGTGGGATAATTTTGTTAGTATAGATTTTAAACTTTGTTTCTTTTTTCTTTTGCTGACCTTTGTGTCCCCAGAGTATCTGGGACATATTTATAGTAGGCCCTCACTAAACATTTGATGAGTGAATAAATGCATAAAAGAAAGATAGTCTTGTACAAAATGAGAAGTGAGGCCAACTGAATTCTAAAATGTCTTAACACCCAAGACTCTGTGGTGAGTCTTTAGCTTTGGTGCATGCTGCCAGTCCAGCTCATGTCTTTATTCTGTTACTTCTTTGCTGTCCATCCTCTGGAACCATTCCCAGTCTGAAAATGGGGATAATCGTAACTAAATCGTGGAGTATTGGAAAGCTAAACCAGGTAATGTGGGAAAGTAGGTTATAAGCTACACAAATGTAAAGTGAAGAATGGGATGAGATGATCTGAAAGATCCCCATCATCTCCAAAAGTCTGCCACCATTTTCCACCTTAAAGTTTAATTTACAATGAATGCAGGTGTTGGAGACACTGTGTCTTTATTCGGTTGATTGTAACTTACCTTTCAGACCTTATGCAAAGCCAAGTACTCCTATAGCATTCTGAGCAACCCCAACCCGAGTGACTACGTACTTCTGGAAGAGGTGGTGAAAGACACAGCCAACAAGAAGTCTTCCACCCCCAAGTCCTCCCAGCGGGTCCTTTTGGATCAGGAGTGTGTGTTTCAAGCCCAAAGCAAGTGGAAAGGTGCAGGGAAATTCATCCTTAAGCTAAAGGAGCAGGTGCAGGTAAAGTTCAAGGTTATTTTGCTCTCTTCACCAATTATTTGATGTTCATAACTACACTGTATTCAAATTTAGGAGACAGTGAAATCTAGGAGAAAGTTTCTTAGCGGGGAGAAAATTGTTTGGCTCTGTTTTCACTGTGGGAAAAGAAACGTGTTTACTTCTGTGAGAAAGCAGTCCAGAGAGGCGGGTTCCCCAGTCTTTTCCAAGGCTCCGCTTACTAGACAGGGAAGAGGGGAGGCTCCTTCTGATAACAACACTGCCAGGAGGATGCTGGCTTTAACCTAATACCAACTGGAGTGTTCTTTTTCCCACAGGCATCCCGAGAAGACAAAAGGAAAGGCATTTCTTTTGCAAGTGAACTCAAGAAGCTCACCAAGTCCACGAAACAGCCCCGAGGACTCACATCACCTTCTCAGGTCTTGACCTCAGAAAGTGTCCAAAACAAGGAAGAGAAACCTGTAGGCAGCTTGTCCTCCAGCGACGTGACGGACTACCAACAATGACCGTGGGGAGCACATTAACCAGGTAGACAGTCTGCGCCATCTGCAACAGCGCTCCACTTACACAACTTCCTAAGGCATGATCTGTGCAGTATCGTATCTTTTCCAAATGGGGTGTCCCCTCAGGGAGGAAGGAATGGGTACCAAAACAGAACAAGGGCTCTGAAGATGTACATACCTTCAGAAGTTGTAATTTTAGACCTTATTTTGTAAATTACTCAACAAAGGGTCCAAGAGGACCACCAAGCTGCCCCAGCTGCACCAGCCTTATTTCATCAGACTTAGAACTCTTTCAGTTGTTGGTAACAAACACTCTCAGGGGCTGCTTTGTATCATTCAACTTTCATTCCTTTGGGTTTCTAGTTTTATTATTCTAATGTAGGTGTGATTTGGCCTCAACAACCTCAAGTTCGTCTGCCTCATTTAAAAAAATAAAAATTTGGTATTCAGGATGTGATGATTAAAAACAAAGCAAAGAATTGTAACAGACTTCATCTTCAAACTGCAGTAAGTTAGGCCTGGGGTTGCCAGACCACCACCTGGTATCCACATACAGAGTAAACGTCGTCCTGTCTTAGAACAAATGATTTATATGGGACCTGACTTTTTTTCTAAAGAACCAAACGCAGATTTCTTCTTTTCACTTACTTTCCTAATGAACCCAAGGGATCATTAAAGCCCCCTTTCCAGCTGTGGTATTGTAGTTCTAAGATTTAAAATTCACAAGCAACAAAAATAAGTAAGTAAAATTTGTGAGAGACCACAATGAAGGTATTGCTGCTTATAATAACTGCAGAGTTTCATCATCTCTCTTTATTACAATCAGAATTTTCTTATATTAAATTGTAAAAGCTCACAGTTAAAGAACTCATTGATACCTCTTGGTAGGGCCGACTTTGATTTGTAACTGCCCAAAAGAAAGCCTGATACAAAGAACCCATATTTCTACACTTAAGGGCCAACTCTTAAAATAATTGGTGCCCAATATCACACTTACAGAGCTCTTTCAAAACAATAGACCAGCCATGACCGGTGTGGCTCAGTTGGCTGGGCATCCTCCCACGAAGCAAAATGTCACCAGTTCAAGTCCCACTCAGGGCTCACGCCTGGGTCGCAGGTTCGGTCCCAGTCAGGACACATACAAGAGGCAACCAATCAATGTTTCTCTTGCACATCAATGTTTCTCTACCACTCTTTCTCCCTCTTTTACCTGCTCTCTAAAATTTATAAATAAAATCTTTAAAAAAATAAAAGCAGACAAGACCAAATACAGGAAACCACTTCCCCCAGGACATCTGCACACCAGCTGTCCCCAGGGAGTCAGGGTTGCTTAGCTTCTATACGCAGTCTCGTCAGAGAGAAGCGTCAGAACCGCAGCAGCTGTCACGCCAGACAGCGTCAGAGGATGGGGAACATGCACGAGACGGTGAAGCCCTGGCGGTCCGTGTTCTGAGAAGGTTCAGCACCCATTCACGGTTCAGATGACAGCTGGTGTGCCAGTTCTGAACAGACCCACTCCCTGTCCTCCCTCAGTGTCCCTGAGACAGTCCGAGCCTCCTCCAAAAGCCCAGTGAGCTGTAGGACGAAGCCCCGATGCTGAGCCTCCCCAGCGTCTGGAAAATGACTCACCGTGGTAGTGGGTCCGTGAGCAGGCCAAAGGATGGTGATGAAAACTTAAAATACTGCTTTCCATGTCCAGAACTCAGCATCAAATAAATCACAGGCGTGGTGTTATACATACATCTCATTATAACCTCTGTAATGATACAGCGAAATTACACTCTGCACATAAGCAGCCCAAGATTACTTAACTGCGTTAGAATACAACTCCACTGGAAATTTGACTTAAAAATAATATGCTTGCTATAATGAGCATTACTAATTGCTTCTGGTTTAGGAGAGTAGGGAGGGTGGTGATTTAGATAAATGTCTTTGGACTGAATTTTTCTGTAGCAAACAGACATTCGGAATCATTCAGTTGACTTCAGCTTTGCTTGAACTTAGGGAAGCTTCTCTTTTAAAATTGCCATTGGCGCATTTATGGGAATGTATATCCATGTTATGAACTCCTTTACAAGTGGTATTTCCAAGAGCACTTGTGAAAAAGAAAGGGCTTTCTCTGTGTACTCATAAGAAAATGAACGTAGTGTTTTACTGCTTTCTGATGACATATTTCATGTTGCTCATTCTAAAATTTCTACCTCTAAAGTGTTAAGTCACCCCTGTGTGATACTTTTAAAAATTTCTAAACAAGTAATTATTTACCTTACTTTTTTGAAAAAATTTTTTTATTGATTATGCTATTACAGTTGTCCCATTTTCCCCTCCACCCTGCACACCCTCTCTCACCCACAATCTCCCCCTTTAGTTCATGTCCATGGGTCATACATATTAGTTGTTTGGCTTCTACATTTCCCATATTGTTCTTACCCTCCCCCCATCTATTTTCTACCTGCCATCTATGCTACATATTCTCTGTACCTTTTCCCCCTCTCTTCCCCTCCCACTCCCCTGATGATAACCTTCCATGTGATCTCCATTTATGTGGTTCTGTTCCTGTTCTAGTTGTTTAGTTTGTTTTTTGTTTTAGGTGTGGTCGTTAATAATTGTAAATTTGCTGTCATTTTACTATACATGTTTTTTATCTTCTTTTTCTTAAATAAGTCCCTTTAACATTTCATATAATAAGGGCTTGGTGATGATGGACTCCTTTAACTTGACCTTATCTGAGAAGAACCTCATCTGTCCTTCCATTCTAAATGGAAGCTTTGCTGGATAGAGCAATCTTGGATGTAGGTCCTTGCCTTTCATGACCTGAAATACTTCTTTCCAGCCCCTTCTTGCCTATAAGGTCTCTTTTGAGAAATCCACTGACAATCTGATGGGAGCTCCTTTGTAGGTTACTGTCTCCTTATCTCTTGATGCTTCTAGGCTTCTCTCATTCATTTTTATCTTGGCTAATGTAATTATGATGTGCTTTGGTGTGTTCTTTCTTGGGCCCAACTTCTTTGGGAGTCTCTGACCTTCCTAGACTTCCTGGAAGTCTATTTCCTTTGCCAGATGGGGAAGTTCTCCTTTATTACTTGTTCAAATAAGTTTTCCACTTGTTGCTCTTCTTCTTCCCCTTCTGGTACCCCTATAATTCAGATGTTGGAACATTTAAAGATGTCCTGGAGGTTCCTAAGCCTCTCCTCACTTTTCTGAATTCTTGTTTCTTCATTCTTTTCTGGTTGGATGTTTCTTTTTTCCTTCTGGTCCACACCATTGAGTTGAGTCCTGGTTTCCTTCCTGTCACTGTTGGTTCCCTGTACATTTTCCTTTATTTCACTTAGCATAACCTTCAGTTTTTCATCTATTTTGCTACCAAATTCAACTAGTTCTGTGAGATCCTGATCACCAGTGTTTTAAGCTGTGCATCTGATAGGTTGGCTATCTCTTCGTTGCTTAGTTGTATTTGCTGTGGAGCTTTGATCTGTTCTTTCATTTGGGACATTTTCTTTGTCTTGACGCACCTGTTAACGTAGTGAGGGGCAGAGCCTTAGGTATTCACCAGGGCAGGGCAATCCACATCACTGTGATGTGACATTGTATATGGGGAAGGGGTCCAAGAGAGACAATGGTGCTTGCTTCGCTCTCTGCCAGATTTCAGTCACTTCCCCACTTCACACAAGCAAACTGGACCCTCCTGGTGCTGATTCCCATCTGGGTGGGCTTGTGTATGTTCTAGGACCCTGTGGGTCTCTCAAATGAACTCTCCTGTGAGGCTGGGAGTTTCTCCTGCTGACTCACCCCCCACAGGTGTTTTCAGTCAGTAGTTTGAGGCTTTATTTCCCCGTGCTGGGGCCCTGGGTTGCGCAGTCCGCCTGCTCCCCAGTAGTTTCTCCCAGTTTATATGCATATGAATGTGGGACTGCCCAGTCCACTATCCACTGCCTCACTGGGTCCACCAGCCACCGCCTTGCTGTGAGTCCTCTCCACCCTGGCTGCCTGTCTCCGCCCCTCCTACTGGTCTGGATGACTGTTTCTTCTTTAACTCCTTGGTTATCGGAATTCCATACAGTCGATTTTCTGTCGGTTTGGGTTGTTTCTGTTTTTAAATCGTTGCTGTCCTTTTTTTGGTTGTGTGAGGAGGCACGGTGTGTCTACCTACACTTCCATCTTGGCTAGAAGTCTGTTTCTTCATTCTTTTCTGATTGGATGTTTCTTTCTTCTGGTCAACACAGTTAATTTGAGTCCCAGTTTCCTTCCCATCAATGATGGTTCCCTATACATTTTCCTTTATTTCACTTAGCATAACATTCATTTTTCATCTAATTTGTAACCAAATTCAACCAATTCTGTGAGCATAGTGATTACCAGTGTTTTGAACTGTGCATCTGATCGGTTGGCTACCTCTTCATCTTTGTTGCTTAGTTGTATTTTTTCTGGAGCTTTGATCTGTTCTGTCCTTTGGGCCTTTTTTTTTTTGACTCAGCCTGCCTGTTAACATAGTGAGGGGTAGAGCCTTAGGTGTTCACCAAAGCAAGTCAACCCAGTCCCAGGGTTGTGACGCTGTATGTGGGGCAGAGGTCCGAGAGGGAACAATGGCATTTGCTCTGCTCTCTGCCAGATTTCAGTCACTTCCCCAACTTCCCACAAGCAAATTGGGCCCTTCTGGTGCTGACTGCCTCATGGGCAAGTTTGTGTACATTATAGGACCCTGTGAGTCTCTCCAAAAAAACTTTTCTGTGAGGCTGGGAGTTTCTCCCAACACCTCAACCCCCACAGGTGTTTTCATTCGGTATTTTGAGGCTTTATTTCTCCACGCTGGGACCCTGGGTGTGCAGTTTCGTCCCACTCCCCAGTTTTGTCTGGTTTATCTGCACATGAATGCGGGACCACCGGGTCAGCCAGTGGCCTTGCGCACCACAACCCTCCACAGTCCACTGCCTCTGCTACTGCTTTGCACACCCAGGGTGCCACCTTGCGCACCTGGGGTCCACCAGCCACCCTGCTGTGAGCCCTCGATGTCCTGCCTCTGCAGCTCTGCCCCTCCTACCCGTCTGGATGAATGTGTCTTCTTTAACTCCTCGGTTGTCGGACTCCTATACAGTTCAATTTTCTGTCAGTACTGGTTGTTTTTTGTTTTTAAATTGTCCTTATTTTGGTTGTACAAGGAGGCACAGTGTGTCTACCTATGCCTCCATCTTGGCCAGAAGTCCTATTTACCTTACTCTTATCTGAAGTAATAATTGTTGAAGAAAGTTCACCTTTAAAAAAGAAAAGTTGAACAGCTTTATTGTGATTTTTAAAAGAAAAATTTTTCTAAATACAGTGTCCCAGAACAGAAATAGCCTAATGTTCCACCTGCTCGGAACATCATGTTATAACACTGTGACGATACAAGGATATAGGCCCTCTGCCAAACCCAGGCACCAGAGCTCTGTGGGTTCCAGTTGGTTAAACACTACACCCTTGTACACTGTAAATGTTTCTGCTCCTCCATTTGAAATGGAGCCCTAGCCAGGTAGCTCAGTTGGTTATAGCATCATTCTGATAGGCCAGGGTTATGGGTTTGATCCCCAGTCAGGGCACACACAAGAATCAACCAATGAATGCATAAATAAGTGGAACAATAGATCTCTCTCACACATACATCAATATTAAAAAATTTAAAATACTAACAAGCCTATGGATACAACTTTACAGGTAAAGATCTTTTGTCAAGACATTAAAAAAGTCAAGAATGAACATGGTGGAAACAAATGTAATTTCCTTGTTTTCATTCAACTTAAACAGGAAACTGGTGATTTCTGGACTGAAGCTTTCTTCACACACGATGTGAGGTCCACACTGGGGACAAGCAAAATGACACAGGGCTAACGAGCTACCGTCTTCCTGATGAAGGAAGCAAAGGAGCCCAGGAGATTCCATCTTACAGATGTCAACAGTTGTTTAAATAAATAAATATATATATATGTCCAGACAGTATCCAGCCATGTAACATAAGAGAGACATTTATCAAAGAAAATACCAGACACAGGAACATTGTAAGTAGGACAATGATGCCTCAGTCCCCTTCAAAGTAGGGACCTTGCAGTTCCAGTCGCCATCAGCTTCCCTGTTGTCTTTTCCTGAATCTCACTGATGGTCTAAAGTCTCTTCCCTTTCAAAGGTGATTTTAGTTTTGGGAAAAGCCAGAAGCTGCACGGCACCAAATCTGGGCTGTGGGGACTGAGTCACCTGGGTGATTTGATGTTTTGCCAAAAATCTCTGCACAAGATGTGATGCATGAGTGGGTGTGTTATCATGATGAAGCTGCCAATCACCAGTTGCCCATAGCCGCAGCCTTCTGAGTCATCTGAATAGTTTCTGCAAGAATGTTAAGGCTTAATGCAAAATTTGATGCAGATTCATTGCCCTACCCGCTCAATCTTTTTTAATACAATGGTCACTCAGTACACGTGCTCACTCAATGGCATCTACTGCCTCCACTTACTAGCACAGTGAAGTCGTCATTGTTCACATATGTGCATTCCAGTCTACTCTCCTTGGCTACCAGATTTCATCAATGTTGTGCAAACCATTCTCATTATATTAACAATGACTGGACTTTTTCCAGACAAACCATTATATACATATTAAGCTTGCAAAAATTGACCTAGAAACAGGCATAGCAAACATTATATGTAAAGGGCCAGACAGTAAATATTTTCGAGCTTTATGGCCCATCTGGTCTCCGTTGTAACTGTTTAGCTCAGTGGTCACAGTGCAAAATCAGCCACAGACAACACGTAGATGAAAGAGTATGGCTGGGTTCCAATAAAACTGTCCACAGATGCTGAAATTGGAATTACATCATTCCATGTCACAATGTTCCCTTTTTTCACAATCACAGAAAAATGTAAAAATTATTCTTAGTTCAAGAGCCATACAAAAACAGGTGGCAGGCTGGACTTGACCCATGGGCCAGTCTGCTCACCTAACGTAGAAAACTGGGAGCAAGCTGGTTTAGTCATACAGTTTATGGCTGGGAGTTGGAAGCTTTGGGGCACAGCAGATGTAAGTACGTCCTACAGGGTTCATTTGAGAGGAATTCAGTTTAGTTTCCATGTTGTGTACCATAATGTACTCTTCTTTAGGATTTTTCACATATCCTAAATGTTGGGGTGTTTTCCCTTGGAAGTTTATCGCCTGTATATTCACAGATTAGTCCACTTTTGGTTTTCACAAAATTGATTTAGAATGATGTGTAATTTAATATCTATGAGTTGTGATGTCTTAAGAAACTTAACCATTTTTTTAAAAGCAAAAGTAGATTGAGTTGGTGTTTATTTATTTTGCAAGGTTTGTACTGACACTGTACTCATGTATTTATTATACATAGCTTTCTTGATAGCACTTGTGGATTAGAAGCATTAGTGATTCTCACTATTTGAAGACAAGTCTAAAAAGAAAATGTATGCTCTGAATATGTGAAGTGGACCAGAATTTCATGTGTAAAAGCTTCATTTTCATTTCTGATTAACTTAAGAGCTATTGATCCAAGTCATACTTGCTACTTAAGGTAAATTATTTTTAAAACCTTGGTGTGTAAAACCATCACGTACATGTAAAGGATTCTTCTTATTCTGTGTAAGAAGCAAATTACAACTTTTAAAATGAAATGTGTGTTCCCTTAAAGTAAAATTCAAATTTTATCACTAAAATAGACATTTCTTCTTAAAATTATAAAACACACTAAAAATCCTAAACTGTTTTGAAAGTTGTGGGTTATTTTTACCTATTATAAAAGAGAATAAAGTGATCCCAAGCCCTTCACAGATTCTAGAAACAGAAGTGTTAAAGATATGCTGCACAGCTTTCATGTTATTGTAAGTTCTGACTGACCTAGAGCCTTCAAGCTGGAAGAACCTCCATTTGGTTTCTCAGCAGAATTCAGGCTCTTCTAGTTTGGTGTTTGTACAGAGCTACAGGTCGCTTTTGAAACCAAATGATCAGCCTATAACAAATGCACAATGCTGGCCATTTTTTAAAAATCCATTCCAGAGGTACTTTCTCAAACTTTTATAAATCAATTAGGTGTTTACCCCTCTCGGGTTTGGCTAACCAACCACGAATTGAAAAGTGAGTTCCTGGCCTACCTGGCTGTAGCTGAGTAAAGACTGCAGTGATGAAAGGAAAAGCGAAACCGGCCTCCCTTGGTTTATCATCTGGCCTTGACTTTCAACTGCACTCCACCCCACCGCCTTGCCTTTTTAACGTAGTTGATGTGGCTGCAGCACACCACGAGACTGAGTGTGAGGCTGGGTTGCACCGAGTATGTGACCTGCGTTGCAACTCAACTTGGTCATTCATTCCACTTGGAGTTGAAAGTACATCCCTAGTTGTATTTGAGTCACTGGGATTTTAGAAAGAAAACATTACTCGAAAATGTAAAAGGTCTACTCTGCTAGTACAACTAACCAGCAGAAAGAAACCTGGTATTTGCCAAAAACATGAGATTTTAATTTATGGCTTATCTGAATTATACAGCTATATTAGTATACCAAATGAAACTGTCCTGTTGTTTAGAATGCATCTATAATAGCCACCCAAACTATAACCATTACCACTTCATACTTTCCAGACTACTAAAAATCTGGGTAGCAGACTTTTACAAGTAAAGTTGATATGGAAAAGAATCCAAATATGCAACCTGGGTTTATTACAAGATTTGAGGAAGAAATATTTTAAGTGGCTTCACTGAAAACAAAAGGAAAAGAGCATGAATTCACTCTTGGTTAGGCAATGCCAACTGTTAAGAAAAGTCGTAGCTGGCAAGAAAGAATTCAAGTGGAAACCCACCATGCACTGATGATGGAAGAAACAGATAAACTTCCTCAGTCACCTGTGCATCCGAAATTGGCCGCTTTGCAAAATGGAAAATTATACAAGGGTGGTAAGGAATCGGGAGTAAGTTTGGACAAATCTGTAGGAGGTAACACTATTTGGGCAGGAAGGGTCCCCTGGGAGAACACCTCTTCATGTCATCCTTAGTAAAAGTTACTTGTAATTTCTCCTTTGGAGGGTAAACATGGGGCCTAGACTTAACAAATGAGTTACCCGTGCTCTGTTTTTAATCAAATTTGCTCTCATACAAAGGTCTCCCATCACCATAGCTCCGAAGGCTCTGGCGGCTCATTAATGAAAGTGGGCCTCTTATATGGTCACTTCCCCTTGCTTTGTTCTCTCCCTTTGTCTCTATTAACTTCCTCTCCTCTCCCCAGACTCCCACAGGCCTTGTTTAATTCTGAAAAGTAATCAGAGCTTGTATATTGGCCTGGTAAACTTGAATTAACTCTAAAAACACAAAGCCCCGGAAGCTCGGCTCCCACGCCCATAGAATAGGACAGGTTTTCCCGGTTACCGTCCGATTTCACGCTTGGCAGGTGACATGCAGCCTGGAGGGGGAGGGCTCTCTAGATGGCTGCCTCAGGCTCCTTTCAGCTGTTCACCACATCAGCAGCGAGGCAAGAGGTGAGCCCAGGGGCCCTTCCCAAAGTTTTTAGAGAAGGAAAATGGCCTCACACACAGCCCGTACTTGGGCCAACATTTCCGTGACAGTGCTTGTTAACGTGTGTGTTCTCTGCCATCCCCACGCATCAGCTTCCGCAGAGCAATCCTTGACCAGTGAGTGGTTCAGTACTCTGGCACAGGAGTACCTGCAATGAATGTCTGTCAAATATCTGCTGAATCTCCATGATTATCAGACTATTCACAGACGTCTCTTAGATACAAACCATACTATGCTCAAGGCTGCCATCAAGCAAGCGTCTGAAACCTCCTCTATTTCCGATTACACAGGTCTCCAAACAACTCACTCTGATGCTGTTAGGTAATGTATTTTTTTCAGTGTGGGCGAATGACTTAACTCAGCTTTCAAGACCACGGAAGACTGAGGCTGTGAATCTTACTCCCCATCATTACCCCACTTCACTTGTAAGTGCCTAGCACAGTGCAAAGCACATAGTAGGTGCTCTGTATTTGTCTAGTTTAAAAAATAGGGCTGTAGCTCAGTGTAGCCTCAGGGCATGTCTGTGTGTGTCTGTGTTATTACTGATGGCTACCATTACTCCATTCTGAAAATGAAACTTATGAAAATGAGGCTATATACACTAATGCTCAAATTCATAGAGGATGTTCAAAAACTAGATATATAACTTCATGGTCCCACTGTGATTCTCTATATATGTAACAAGAAGGTTAAAAGCATAATGCAGGTGTGAATTGGTTGATGAATTTCTATTTTAAAATTTATTTTTCTTCTAAACTATAGTTTCTAATGCCAAAGTGAAATATAGACGTATCTGTATATGTTTGGAAAATAAATGACGTGTGGCATGTACTGGTGACTTGCCCTCCATAAGAAAGACATTCCTGACCCTTGTTTTATATCTAAAAGGTGGGTTAAGAACAAATATTTATATGCTGAGGCATACATTTCTCATCATTAAATAATCAAGCCTAAAAAAACTGGTCTTAGAAACACTTTTTAAAACACATGTAAGAATTTGCTGAAGAGATTACATCACTATTAAAGCTGATACTCCCCATTCTGTTAGAATAATAAGGAAGCTTTCTGTTTTCATTTACTTCAAGACAAAAAAAAAAAGCTTTAAGCTCTACTAGGCCAAAATCACTGGCCTCTCTAGCTCTGAACCAGGACCAGGACTATTTAGTTGGACTGCTGTGGACTGCTGTGCATTTTTCTTTTTAATTCTCACATTACAAAAATAGGAAGCAGAAAAAAAGCAGCTGTTTTATTTAACTATTCACAGGAGAAATTTTTATAACCTGGTCATTAAAATACTTCATAGGCCATTCTTAAAATATGGCAACAGATGTTAAATCAAATATTGCTTTATAATTACAAGAATATGGGATTTTTACCTGCACAGGAAAAAAAAAGCCCCCCACTCGGTACCCTCTGTCCTCAAGACAGAGCTGGGAGACTGGGCGCAGGTTTCCCCACCCGCAGTACTCCCCCGATCACCCCCTCAGCATGTCAGCAAATGCGAAGAACTTCGAAGAGACTAGAATCACAGACAAACTTTCTTTGAAGGTAGCCATAATGAACACTCATTCGTTTCTTCCGAGGCCAAATCAGTTAATATGTGTATTAAATTTTAAAAAGGCAACACATTAAGAAGGAAGTTTACAAATATAAGGGGAGGAAAAGGCTTTTGAGTCTCCTTTCTGAACAAAAGGACATTTTCAGAATTAGGGCAGAATCCTGTGCCAGACAAAGGGTAATTCCTCCTCTGATAATTTTCTCAGGACGTTTCCCTTGTATAAAAAGAGAAGGTCCTAAGCGAACCATTAGCGTATGTGCATCTGCACAAATACACTAATGTACAGAAATGTCCACCGACTCTTCCTTCTACTACCGCAGTGATGGCTTCAAATATTTGGTGAAATCCAGAGGCAAATGAGTAGCAACTTCACTGCAAAGTCTTTTGGTTAGTTGATTTAAATCTTCATTCAAAAATGAATCCCCTTGCAAAACTTTATCCTGAAAAAATATTAAAAGTGTGAGTTGAAACTTATGCTATCAGCAAAAGCCGGTGGCAACACCGACAGCAAACTGACACGTGAGACGCACGTTGCTGGGTGGGGCCCAGACGTCCCCGCACCAAGTGGCACTGTCTCCTAGCTGCTCTACCTACAGAATTCCCGCCCCTGAGATCCAGCCCACCATCGCTCCTGAACATGAAAAAAAATTCTGCCTCTGAAGCAATCGGGCAAGGTGGAATCAGTTATTAAAAAACTTACTAATTTAATTTTAATTTTATCTTAAAAAAACAATGAAAAGGTATGACATACCTTCTTTTTGGGGCTTGTGGTTTCAACAGGAGGATTGAAGGCCATCGCTGCCATGCTGTAAGCCTCAAAGAGCTCCACTGGGGACCTACACTCACAGGCGGAAATCCAGAGTCACAAAAAGACAGTGACTTGACAAGACTTAATTGTTCTCAGAGAGGACTCATTATTCTAAACCCACACATTAAGATATAATCCTGCCACGTCAACATCCGTAATTAAATCCTAAATCCCTGTGGGCTGACATTATCCAACTGACTCCACCTCAGAGGTCTGGTGCACATGCAGAAACACAGGCCTGATCGGAGAAGCTGAGGAGGAGACAGAGGTCAAGTTCCATGTGACCAAATCCCAACGCAACCGACCACAGTTACGTACACAATGTGCAACTACGTGTCACTTGGTCGTGGGAGCCAGAGGAGTGAAGCGTGCAGTTACCCTCCATGGATCTGAAAAAGCACGTCAGTGAATCCTTAATGGTCCGGGGTTGGTTGACACTCTCCAAAGGAGACCGATGGGCAGGGGCCGGGCAGGGGCTCTGCGTGGGGTCACACCCCAGCTCCACTCCCCGGGGGAAGACACATCAGGAGTCCCCTTTCCCAAACCTCTGGGGCAAAGCGATCCCTCTGGAAAGGGCCACCACTGGCGTAAATGGGACAAATGTTCAAGATCACTAAGGAGAACTTGCCAGGAAAGGTTGGTGAAAAAGATGACAGAAAACTGTTTTCTCCTTTTTTCCCCTTTTAAAAACAAAGCAGGGAGAATGGGGGAAGAAAAAAGTAAATGGCCATTTTATTATTTTATGGCCAAAAGGTATCTCTATCCTATCCAGAAGGAAAAGGGTTTATGAAAATCTACCAATTTTATGCCTCATTTCGAAGGGTAAGTGGCTAGCTGCCGCCATGTGAAAAACTACAGACCCATTTTGCCAAATCTCTCAGTATTTCAAAGTCCAAGAGAAATTGGACTTTCAGGTGAATTCTTCCAATATTAAAAATACAAAAACTAATTCATTTTCTGTTCAAACTCTCAAGAGGCCAGAAAATCAGTCTGCTCATCTGCAGGTCATTTGCCAATGATCTCGGAATATAAAAAAACCAATGCATCTGTAAAGGAGAAAAATCTACAACAAAATATTAATTCTGAGTGGTTGGTTTATTACAAGGGCGTCTTTTAGAGCATTTTCTCTTCTGTATAACTAAGGTATTTTCTCACCGATTTCTCAGGGGTAGGTAATTACTCTTTTTTCAATTTTTCTGTGCTTTAAAAAATTTTCAGAAAAGGTGTGGGGAGGCCTGGCTGGCGGTTCGGTTGGTTAGAGTGCCACCCAAATGTGTCGAGGCTGTGGATTCGATCCCTAGTCAGGGCACATATAAAAATCCGCCAATGAGTGAATAAGTAGAACAACAAACTGGTATCTTCCCCCACCTGCCCACCATACCCTTTCCTCTCTCTAAAATCAATAAATAAAACATTTTTTAAAAAATGAATTCAAGTTTTTTTAAAAGGTGCAGGAAAAGAAACCTCCTTAGGGCCCTTTTCCCCATCTGGAAGAGCGTAAGGCGAATGCTGGGGTAGCATCCATGCTTCCTGCAGGTCAGGACGCCAAGCAGAGAAACCGCGGCCCCTGTGGATGGCAGTGCTGCAAAACACTTCTTTCTTCTCCTCATTTCTCCCTTTCTGGCCCTTGAAGGACCATCCAAGAGAAAAAAAGGGATCTCACTGTAGTTAGACTCATGGATCTTCATACATGCTCACATGGAACTGTCTTATTCGTTGCTGAACCTGAGTCATGGGCATGTGAGAATTTGCTATTCTTTCTATGTGTCTGTATATGTAAAAATGTTTATGACCGAAAAAGAGTTGTGCTTTTCCAAAACAAACTACTAAAATCACAGTCAGCATGCTTTCTCTTCCAAACAATTCGGGAACATGAAGTGAGACCAGATGCAGATAACCAACCAACACGTTACATTTTAAAACCTATTACATTTTAAAACAGATTTCTCATAGTCAAGACCTATCAACTGAAACGTCCAGTTTTATAATAAAGCAACATAAATACCACCTTCGGCTCAGCTCTGGTTTGAGTGCTTCGGAGCCTTCCAGGGGGGCCCCAGCCACGAGGTGAGCGGCAAACCTCTGCACGACGGGGTGGAAGTGGCGCTGAGGGGGAAGCAAGACAACCACGTCTGCACAGGTCGGTATTTTATAAAACACGAGCTACCGTGAAGATTTTATTTAATAAACACTAATACTTTTAAAAAACTATAGAGGTATATGTAATGCATAAAAGCCACAGAACTACAGAAGACTGTCTCTGCTCACAGGATTACCACACAACCTGTTCAATGAGCAAGTTTCCAGTGGCACAGGCTAGTCTCGCCTTTGCAGTGTGAACGGAAAAACCAAAAGGCAGCCTCTACTTCAGGGAACGACATGAGTTGACAAGAGGCTTCCTGAAACACATTTTTGCTGTGTCTCACTCTAACGCTGTCCACACTGCAGGTCCACGGCACAGGGGAGACCCTGTGGAAACTTGCGTAGGAGCCTGTACAAATGTGCCTGGGAAGGGAAAGATTGCAATAAATCTCACCCCACAAAACTGTCCCTCTCAGCTTCCCTAGAAAATGTACCTCAACGTTTTAAAAAGTAGGAAAAGCAAAGTGAAACACAGACTATTAAAACATGAATTCTAGGAGAGACGGTCCCAGAACAAGGTGCATTATATACTCTGGCAATAGCAACTGCTTGAGGAAAAGCGGAACAAACTGCTCACAAACAAGAGGGAGGGGCACGCTCACCCGCAGCGCGTGCAGTTCCCAGAGGGCGCTGTTCTGGGCGTTGCAGTACTCGGGCTCGTCCAGCTCGGGGAGGAAAACCCCGCTGCCCTGGGATTCATTGTCAAGCAACAGATCGGTTTTGGGGAAAGTCTGCAAAAATGTCACATAAAAAGGATGAATTAATATTATTAGTTTAAAGAAGGTTACTGTACTTTTATTTATATTGAAATTTCATTTGATTTTATGGTTATATTAGAGCTATAAGCATAAAAACTTCATACCTAGTTTTAATTTTGTAAATTTAAGCTTATGCCACGAGAGAACAAAAACTACAAAAAGTTATGTTCTTGGCTTGGTCTGAGAAGAATTTATCTTGCAAGAGAAAACAGAATATTCTTTTCACCCCGCGATCCCACTTTTAGGAACCCTTCCTACGGAAATAATTACATTAGGTACACATAAGGATATTTACTATAGCGTTATTGGTAACAGCAGAAAGAACCTATAAAATGTGTTCCTCACCATTGTGGTAAAAACTATTGTAGAACACTGTGTATATCATAATCTCCACACTCCCTTTCCACCGAAAAGTAAAAGCTGTACTGTTTGCGTATGCCTGGTGTACGCGTTTTATTTACATAGGAATTTTAAAAAGTCAGTAGGAAGGATATCCACCAAATGGTAAAAATGGTCACCTCCAGAGACGGTCAATGGGGTGGAATGCTGTCCTTTTGTAATTTTATGTATCTCCTTTGGTGCCTGATTTCCTTACAAGTGTGAATTACTTTTGTAATTAAATGACAATGTGAATGGGGAGAAAAGAACACACATCAAACAAAACACCCCTGTTGCGTGGCCAGGGCGTAACTCTCTTCATTCCTATCACTACTTACGTGCATTAATATTCTGTTAGTTGCTAAAATGCCAATGCTTGAGTTTGGAAGAACATGAAGAGCAAGGGTAGAGAGGCGCTTGATGAAGGCAAGGACTCGCTGCTGAGAAACTTGCTTCCTGCGCTTAGTCAGCATGACATCAAGGCACTGGAGCACAATCTCAACCCCTTCGTTGGCAGCACCTAGAACAGCAGGTACACC